TTATTATCTTGGCACAAGCTAGAGTCATTTGGAAAGATGGAACCTCAGCTGAGAAAATGCCCCACCAGATTGGCATACAATCAAGTGTATGGGACATTTTATTAATGATTGACATCAAAGAAGCCAGTCTACTGTGGGCAGTGCCATTCCGGAGCAGTTAGTCCTGGAGTATATACAAAAGAAGACTGAGAAAGTTGTAAGGAACAAGGCACTAAACAATGCTCCTGCATGGCCTCTGCATCAGTTCTTGCCTCCAGGTTCCTGCTTTGGGTTCCTGCCCTGATTTCCCTCCATGATTGAGTATAACCTGAGAGTTATAAGATGAAATAAACCTTGTTCTCCTCAAGTTGCTTTTGGTCATGGTGTTTTGTTACAGCAATAGAATTCTAAGACAGTAATGTTAACTAAGCATAACTAAAGGCAATGGGCAATGACCAAACAAAAATGAAATGAGCTTGTCATTCATTTAAGGATATTCAGTAAATATAGCATTCAACCATAGCCCAAACATCAAGCTGGGGAAGCATCACGTGAAGACAAGGAGGGCCTGAAGGACAAGGAAAGCACAGAGGGTTCACCATGACAGGGGTTATAACAAAACCAGAGGATAGAAGCACTGTGAGTATTTGAGCAGGTAAGCAGGAAGCACCAAGAGGACAGAGTGTCACCCTCAGTGATTTTAAAGAACTGGCAGTTTGTAACAAATTTGTATTAATACCTTGGAAAGATTGAGTAGCCGAGCTTGAGTAAAAGAAAAGTCTCTGAAGATAAAAAGCTCAAATAATTGAGAATATTGGATTTGTTATCTGACATAGATGCTGAAATCTATGTCAGATTTTTCATCAGAGAAAAGCAATTAGGACCGCTCACTGGGATGTCTACTGAATTGATGGTGTGACTATGACGTAAACAGTGTGACAAAACTATGTAGCTTTGGTTAACTTACAGTGGGAAGTGGAAGGCACAATTACAATGACTCTCACGTTTCTACCCTGAGGTAGCTGCTGGTGTAAATGACAATAGAGCTGCCATTTTAACTGGTCAAATGACAACTCCAAAGACAGATAACATTCCCTGTTTTCCTTCAGAGGCAGATATTACAAAAAGACTAAGTTCTGGATACATATATGTAGTATGCATTGTACCTGCAGCTTTCAAGAATATGAATCAAATGAATGATGCTTTATTTTTCCTCTTTCTCAATCTGATAATTATAGCTTTATTAACTCTCATGGGCCATTTACTTAATTTAACCATGACAACCACAAAGGGCGGAGCAGTAAAATATAAAAGCAAGAGTCTACGCCTCCTTACACACAAGAAATAAAGGGATATTTTGTTGTGATGGTAGATTTGTTCTCTGGTACTTAGGACTGTACCCAGGGCCTTACCACACTCAGCAAGAATTTGACTATCAAGTTAGATACCCAGAATTTTATTTTATTAGTCTGTTTTGTTTTAAGACACGTTCTCACAGAGTTTCCCAGACTGGTCTTGAACTTGTAATCTCCCTACAAAAGCCTCCCAAATAGCTGGGATTACATAGCTGGGTTCCAAGGAATTTCTTCTTAAAACCACTTACTTTGCTGCTTTCTATTATAGCTGAACCTAATCCTAGTAAATCTGTTAAGTTTGAGGTACCTGGTTTTTTATTTATTTTTTGAGAATTTCTGACAATATTTATTTTGATCATGTTATTTCCTTTTCAACAATTCTTATCAGATCCTCTCCTTACCCATCCAACTTCATGTTCTTTCTCACTCTTTAAAAAAAAAACTCAGAATCTCTCTCTCTCTCTCTCACACACACACACACACACACACACACACACACACACACACACACACAGGATCTGATTCTTGTTGGACAGCTTGAAGCCTGTCCTGAGGGATGTGCAATTGAACATTGGCATGGAACTGGGCTAGACATTGGAGTTGAAGACAGGGAGTACAGGACCTTCTAAAAAAGGAAAGGACTGTGATTCTGTTCCCGACCTTAAGTAGCCTGATCTAAGAAGGCAAAGGTTAATGAGTGTTTGCTTGGGCAGATGTCCACATTAAACCCTAAGTAACCTAGAAGCCAATGTTGCTTTGTATTTATAATGTCCTTGAAAACAGCAGTAACCACTGTAACCACTGCAATTCTTTGCAAAAAGTGGTTAATTTTCATGAAGGACTTATATCACTTTATGACTGTTGAGTCCAAACCCTTTTTATTGATGAAGAAACTATAATTAAAAACCAAGAGATAAAGACCCTTATGTGCTTAATACAATCTAATGGATAGTAAATGTTTAGGGAAATTACATTGACTTCATTTGTATGGAAAATAACATGGAAGTAAACAGCATGATTCTGTATAGACCCAAATGAACGCTCACATATTTAAGAAAATAAATGTGCAACCTACTTTTACACTTGATAAATTGTTAATTCTATTATACAAAATATTCTATATGAAATGTTCAGGAATTGGGGTCTGTGTAGATGCTGTTTCCTGCTATAGACCTCACTAAAAGTAATAACTTGTGAATAGAAATCTCAGGCTATTTTCTTGAAACTGAAGCCTCACCTTCAAATACTAAGTAGACATCAATGGATGTTACAATGTTCTCATATTGAAACATTATTAAGAATGCCCTTTGAGAGCAGGAGATCCCAGCTGGATCAAGAACAGAGAGGGAGAACAAGGAAAGAGAGACCATGATAAATGAAGACCCCATGGGAATAGGAAGAAGCAAAGTGCTAGAGAGGTCCCCAGAAATCCATAAAGATACCTCCACAAGAGACTACTGGCAACGGTGGAGAGAAAGCCCAAACTGACCTACTCTGGTGATAGGATGGCCAAACACCCTAACTGTTGTGGTAGAACTCTCATCCAATGACTGATGGAAGCGGATGTAGAGATCCACAGCCAGGCCCCAGGTGGAGCTCCAGGAGTCCAATCGGTGAGAAAGAGGAGGAATTGTATGAGCGAGAGATGTTGAGACCAAGATTGGAAAAAGCACAGGGACAAATAGCCAAACTAGTGGAAACACATGAACTACGAACCAATAGCTGAGGAGCCCCCAACTGGATCAGGCCCTCTGGATAAGTGAGACAGTTGATTAGCTTGAACTGTTTGGGAGGCCCTCAGGCAGTGCGACTGGGACCTGTCTTTAGTGCATGAGCTGGCTGTTTGGAGCCTGGGGTCTATGCAGGGACACTTTGCTCAGCCTAGGTGAAGGGAAGAGGGGACTGGACCTGCCTGGACTGAATCTACCAGGCTGAGCTGAATCCCCAGGGGAGTCCTTGCCCTGGAGGAGATGGGAATGGGGGATGGGTTGGGGGGAAGGGCGGGAGGAGGGAGGACAGGGGAATCTGTGGCTGGTGTGTAAAATTAAATTAAATTATAAAATAAGGCCTGGAGAGATGACTCAGCCATTAAAGGCTAGGCTCACAACCAAAAATTATAAAATAAAAAAAAAAAGAATACCCTTTGAGTTGTACTGCATTCCCTTCCAAGAAAGTTTAAATAAATAAACCAGCACCTATAGTTTTGACTTTTCTGGGATTTTGTCATTGTTTACACCCAAACTATATCATCTCTTCAAAGTTTGCTGAGTATATGCACAGTTAATAATGAAATATGCTATGAAAATAAAAATCATATGTGTCAGAATTGTATGAAAAAAATATTTTCAATTAAAAAAATCACATGTGTCCTAACTCCTTACTAATTCTCTGTTCAGGAATGGCTTGACCCCAGTCCTTTCTTCTAATGCAATCTAGAAGGCAGTGGTGAACCAATACATTACAAACATCATGAACCAAACCCACATCTAGTCAATCATTACTTTGTGCTTCAAATTCATGTGACTGTGGCCGGGCGGTGGTGGCGCACACCTTTAATCCCAGCACTCAGGAGGCAGAGTCAGGCAGATCTCTGTGAGTTCGAGGCCAGCCTGGTCTACAGAGCGAGATCCAGGACAGACACCAAAACTACACAGAAAAACCCTGTCTCAAAAAAAAACAAAAAACAAAAAAATTCATGTGGCTGTGACCCCACTGAGTCAGTGACATGAGGACCCATTTTCAGACTCCTAATACAAGGGTTCTTCAAGGAATATCCAAACCACAAATGAATCAGAAACTATGTTGGGGCATCTTTGAGATTTGAAAGCTCCTGCCTAGAGAATAAGGGTTAAGGGACTGGTGGGGAGGGGCAGGAAACATCTACCTACAAAGTGAGAAAGAGGGAGCCTTAGTCCTCTTCTGATACTAGTAGCAAAGTTGAGTTCTTCCTATAGTGAAAGAGGGGGGCTGATAGAACCTCAGTGTTCTCCTCTGGCTTTAAAATATAAGTGAAAAGTTGAGAATAAGAGACAAATGCTATGAGTTACCAGTCTACTTAAAACCTCTTAACCGACTTGCATTAATGTATCATCTATGCTTTTCCATCTCAAACTCCAAGGAGAATTCAATTCATGTTTTGCCCCATGAGAAACTCTTCCACTGCCCACCCCTCACTTTTAAATTGATGTTGGGTTTTTTTTTTCAGACATTTACAACATTTGCTTTGATATTTAGGATGCTTTTATTGCATTTTTAAGTGGAAAAGAAGAGTTTACCTAAATTAAATTTTTCCATTAAGGAATTTTCCTCTTTGCAATTAAATTTGCTATTGGGTAAAGTATAGGAAAGTAATTAAATGCATACAAAATTGTGTGGGTTGTAGATTATTTGGTTGTTTAGGGTCTCCTAGGATACCTCATTATTTTTCCACCAGCCCACACATCCTCTACATTCCTAATAAAACCTTTGGAATCTGCCGGATTTTTAAAGGCTCTCACCACTCTTTTCAATGACTTCACCACAGCATTAAAAAAAGTCTAAAGTTATTTAGCATAATTTAACAGTATTAGCGAGATTTGTAACTGTATCCAAGGATGTGAATTTGTTTGCTGTAACAACCACTTGAGCATTCCAAAAGGCCCTTCAAAGAAAAAAGACTATGCCACGTCAAATTTTCAGTAGTTTTATTGAAAAATGCCTCTTTTGTTTCAGAAATAAATAATATAAGGCAGTGAAATTCACAATCTGCAGTTAAAATATAAAAGCAGCAATTCTATGTTCATAGTCTTGCAGACATTTCCAACTGCTTTGATAACTAAGAAATATGTTCTGCAAAAGTTCATTCTAAATATACAACACAAACATGCAACTCCATTTCTGCAGAATAATCTGCAATTTGGCATAAATGTTAGTGTGTCAAAACAAGGACGTCTACGGTGATATAGAACAGTATCCAGTTGATACAATAACTTCAGCTACGTGGTGGAAGGTCTGTGGTTGTTAAGACACTAAGATTCTGTGTCCTAACGCATAGCAGGAGGAAGAGGAAAAAGGTGAAACACTACAGTGAGCTGGTGCTTCCCTCCATTTTGATTTCAGGAGAGGAATTACTGGAAATGGGATGTGACTGAATTGCAGATTAGTACTGAGAAAGATAAAGGCTCTTTCCAAACATATAGCTGCTCTGGTTTCCAGGGCCTGCTGTTTAACCTAGAAGTTTGGCTGCCACAGCCCACCCTGGGCGTGTTCTCTCCTTGCAGCTTCTGTGAACAGCGTGTGTTGTTGTAAGCTTTTGAACTGCAAAGGCAGGGATGACTACAGACTGTTGTGAGCTAGGCTGCCTGCAAAAACAAGGTTCCCTACAGTCAGAAAAGAGCACTTGTAGATGAAGCAATGCGAAGAAAACATCACAGAAAAGATGTATGCTGCCCTGTCTGACCTGTGAATGAGAATCCCAACACCTCCCACCTCGGTGAACCCGCGGTCTCAGGTTCACTGGCCAGGGCCTGGGCGCAGGGCGCGCCGCCAACGCATGTGGTCAGGGTGCTCCCCTTCAGGCTCATCTGCACCGTAGTCCTCCTCGTATTCTGCTGTCCTCTCAGGCTCCACAGGCACGATGAAGGGCTCACGATCAGGCAGGTAGGCCCCACCCTCGGGCACATAAGGCTCTGTCCGATTCAACATTACAGTTATGGCATGACTTGGAAGGTACATACACAGCAAAAGTTAAGTCGTCACCTGAGGTGATGGCACTCCAGTCTTAATCTCACAACCATAAATAGATGTGTTACAGTGGTCCAATTCTTTCCATGTGCACATGTGCAGAGAGAATTTGATAATCAAATGGGGGGGGGGGGGGGGGACACCTTCAAAGATCCAGCAGTAAATACAATCAATGGACAAAACCTGGGAAGGATCAGCAATTGGGCCATAGAACTGTAAACATGGTACATAGGGAGGATTTCCCTAAATAACTGTTCATGACTTCAAACTCCTCACGTCAAAGGACAACTCGGAGAGCTGAGGACATGAAGAATATTGGTGCCTGGAAACTGAACTCGGGTCGTAAGACCTATCACCAGGTCATACACAGTCCACTGTCTCCCGCGGCTGTGTCTCACACAGAGTTACAGCTAGTGGGTGAGGAACACCTGTGACTACGTCCAAACAGGAAGGAATGGTGATTTTAAACTTCGGTTTGAAAAATTGCAGTTAAAAAAAAAAAAAAAAAAAAAAAAAAAACTGAGTATACACACGGAATACCGAGAACTCACGCATGCGCTGAACTCAGACACGCTGCTAACAAGCAAGAGGGGAGCAAATCCATTCGCTGTTACTACTGCAGAGAGCAAGCGGCCAGCAGGCTTTGGAGCATAAGCAGGCTGTTGAGTTGTTACAAAATTTTAGTGGATAGGATCACATCCAGGTCATGTACAAGCCACAATTAGTTTATTATTTACATAGGACATTTCTCTTCAACCAGGTTAATTGTCTTTTGTAACATGGCGTATCTCTGCTGGTTAGTAGCTTATTAGGCACATCCTTCACAGCCAAGGCTCCTCGTGGCTGTGTTTGAACTTTTTAAAAGATGGTTTTCTACATTACTGCTGAAAAGCATCGGGCTGACACCACTGCTTTTGTATCATTCAAGTTAGTATCGAGTCTCCACCCTCCTGTATGATGCCGACCCAGTTCGTTAACCATATCTGTGGTGAGATTTCCATACAGACTCATTTTCTAATAAGCACGTGCGCAAACATCTCAGAAACAGGATTTTCATGTATTCAAACTGTAAGCAGCACTGGAGACTTAGAAAATTTGTTAGCCGGAACCTGAAACAGGTCAAAGATGATAGTTTTTAAAAGTTGAATTACTACGCAAAAAAAAATATATATATACACATCCATCTATGTAAATGTTAAAGTATATATATATATATCCATATATTTTCAATTCACATATGTCATAAGACAGTAATAATTTAAATTTGTTTTACAAAGAACTAAATTATAATCTTAGGAATGGGTTGCATGGGAGTATGCATTGGATTCATTATTACTTTTGATCATATAAAATTATGCACATAAATATATAGATATATAGATATTTAGATATTCAACTACTCATGCACTATTTGCTAGTAGCAAACCATTTCAAACAGCAGTATCATTTTTAAACTTGCAAGATGCATGAGGATGCACTAATGAAAAGTCACCATTGACCACAACATGACAGTCTTCTCTCCAGACCAACATACCTCCCAAACCTCACCTCCCCCAATGTCAGGCACAAGAGACTTCTGCTGTCTACAACTGGGGAACACTAGAATTTCATTAACAACCCTACAAAAATATTAAGTTCCAGATTTGATAAGCATCAGTTCCATGGCTGGCACAGAGAGTGAATTATTTCAGTTGTCTGTACTGTGCTATCACATGTAAATCAGATTCCCCAAACACTTTCTGTATATATTTTCAGCATTCTATAACTGTATTTCTTTTTTATTTATCTCTCTATTCCTTTAGAGAAAAAAAAACTCATGAATTGGTAGCATTCATTTAACTCCCAGGAGAGCTGTGGAGAAGTTTATGATGTGGTTTAATAAATCCAGAAATGCAGGAAGGGAAAATGGTTACTTAAAATCCTAAGGAGTGAAAGGTGTTTTGTGCTTTAGAAGACAGCAAAGCTCAAAATACAGAACTGAAAAAAAGTTGGCATCTCCACAAAATCCTTAACTCTACCTTCCTTCAGTCCTCTGGCTCTGTTTCTGAGGAATTGGGGTCCTTATGATGGCAACAACATACCTGGATAGCCTTGCCCATTGTACGGGATGCTGGCACACTGGGATGAATCACAATATCCAGGAGGACCTGGGGGTCCTCGGATACCTGAGTTTCCAGGACGACCAGGGGGACCAGGAGGGCCTCTTGAGCCTGTAGACCCTGGTGGACCCGTTCTGGATTCTCCTTGTGGACCTAGTGTAAAGTTAAAACAAATATGTTTCCCTTCTTGTCAAGAACACCTGAGGCAGTCTCCCATATTCAAGTGACATCTCCACTAACTTGACATTAGACCACCATTCACTAGTGCAAGATAAAAAAAATAATTCCATCAGAAATTCCCAGTGTGAACCAAAGAACTTTCTTGTGATGAATTAATGCCAGCAATTCACTAATGTAGCAATTTCATTTAAGGAAAACTGATTTAGCAAGAATTAAGCCAAGCTAAAATTATCTGTGAATTCTCTTGTTTGCTCCCATTCATACAGGGACAAGGATGCCTAGAACGGCTGCATCAGATAGCCAGGTGAGTATCTGGTCCACATCTCCAGTTTACACGAAGCAAATAACACTTTCTGGATTAAGTGTTACTTAGTTATGATTAACAGAGATTTAACCACAGAGATGGCCTTGGTGCAAAAATCTAGAAACCACATAAAGAGAAGAAAACTGTGGGGCAGCAAAATGGCTTGATAAGTAAAAGTGCTTGCTGCCAAGCCTAAAGACCAGAGTTCAATCCTCAGGACCCATATTGTGGGTCTCCTACAAGTTGTCCTCTGGCATCCACATGTACACCATGGAATAAACACACATGTAACACACACAAATCAATAGATGATAAATACATAGATATTTAGACAGACATGCAAAGAGAAAGAGAGAGAGAGAGAGAGAGAGAGAGAGAGAGAGAGAGAGAGAGAGAGAGAGATTTAGACAGAGGATTTTTTTAATCTTTAAATAAACGAAAAAAATTCATTTTCAACTTAGTCAATGATGCATAAAACAATTAAACAGCTATTGTTTTCTTGAAACATGCTGAGGAAATGTTGTAAATGAAAATGTGTGTCAAGTCTTTTCATTTTTCTCACTCTAATAACTCCATATTGAAGAATACTAGGAAAAACAGTACTTGGAGGGTATAAAGCAAACAAAAACAAAACAACTACAACAACAAACACCGCATGGAAAGTCCCTACAAAAAGAGTCCTTCTTTATGTCAGTGACATTCAGGCCTTCCTATACTGAGGTTGTGAGCAAACGCCTGATAGAGCGTGCTCTTCAACAAAGAGAACATCCAACCTGAACTTTTCGCCGACAGACCGCCATATTGGAAGGAGCTGATGCTATGAAGTTGCCTCCCACACTTTACAGGCTTTACCGATCTGATGTGTTAACCAACCTACCTGAGGGTCCAGGCGGCCCTCGGGGTCCTGGAGACCCAATACCCCTTTCACCTTTCTCTCCAGGCAAACCTACAAGAAGCCAAAAAAAAAAAAAAAAGAAAGAAAGAAAGAAAAGAAAAGCATGGGAAAATTTTATCTGGAAACATGATTTTTCATCTTAAATAATAATAACTCAAGTAACTCATTTCCTTAGTGAAAACAGAACCTAATTTTTCCCAGAAGTTCACTCCTTAAGCCAAATTCTTTCTAGACATTTGTGTAATTCCAGATTCATGGCCAAGAAACAAATCTGGCTGAAAGTCAGAGGGGAATTATTTGAAGGATACAAATATGCCTAATATATTGTCAAATAGTAATTAAAAACAGAGATCTTAGAGCAGGCCCTTCAGGTAGACTTCATGAGCTGTGTGTGTACACCATTGACACCATCAGATAGTAGGGTTATAGAACTCTTAAACTAGTATTCACTGTCCCAAAACATCTGGAAGCAGAAAAATCCCATTTTTCTGCCCCCACTCCCTTTCAATTTCATTTATCTACCATGAAATTAAAGTCAAACAAATATCCTAGAACCAGTGCCAGGCCTTGAATGGAGGAGCAGAAAGAATTTGGACCTAAAACCATCAGGCTGCTTAGATGTCCTCGGTTGCTGCTCAGCTCTTGCCATAGTCACAACACAGTGATGCCTAATTCCTTTTGCCAAGACACTGCTTCCCATTAGAGCCACAAGAGAAACGAATGGATTGAAACAGCTCTACTAAGATCTACTGAAAACAGCATCTGTTTTCTCACATCCCCATCACCAGGTTACAGACCTGTGACCTGCAAATTACTAAAGGGAAAGGTGGCTCCCTTTCCAGCTCGTCTGGACTGTCTAAATAACACTGAAGTTGTTTGCCAAATTCCGCCTTCCAAATGCTTTCAACCTGCCCCAATTCTGGCACATGCAAGCTCTTCCTTTATCTCTGTGTAAAGCCAGAAAGGCCCACCTCGTTCACCAGGGGGTCCCTGCATCCCTGGTGTGCCAGGGAATCCTGGTCGCCCCCCAGGCCCTGGTTCTCCTCTGGCTCCAGCACTGCCAGGGGGTCCTGGGGGCCCTGGTGGGCCAGGCTGGTTGCGACTTGAGTGGTAATCATTTGGAATCTGATTCAGCATCTGATTGAATCTGCTCATCTGGCCTGTAAATAGAAAACCTTGTTAGAAAGAAACCCAGGAAGGGGGCGGGGGGGCGAGACTGGGAAGTGGCTTTCCCTTAGCATCTAAGGAGATCCATCTCCTTCCTTATCTCCAGGAAGTGTTCTAATTAGTACAAACAATAAAAATGAGGTACATCAGCCACCCAATACAAAATGACCCTTGATCAATGGCCATTTCCACAAAATGCTCAATTCAAACCATAAGTTTTATTGTGAATATAAGAGTTATCAAAGTGTGGTGTGGCTCTGGAACACATAGCCTTTCAGTGGGCTGAATGATGTCACTCAAAAGAGAACCCTTTTGAAATTAGGACAGTATGTCGTTTTTTCTAGGTACCCAAGGCAATGATACCCAAGTTTTAGCACAAATGAGAACTTTTTAAGTGTATATTGAAAAATATATTATTTTTTGGCCTCATTTCCAAGCACAATAATACACTGAGTTTAGAATGTGGTCAAGGAACTCTCATTTCTAACAAGCAAATTAAGCAATTTTAGGAGATGTGTTCCTCAGGATCATGCTGTGAGAAGCACAAACTAAACTTCAGAGGGGGAGCCTTAAATTCAAAGTTAGCCTGCACTCCATCTTCAGGCACGGAGCTATATAAGTTTGAAACATCTCTGATGAGCTCTGTGACTCAAGTTCTGTATTTGTCCCAGAATTAAAATTTAAAAGTCATTCAAATGGTAAACAATGGATTACCACTTAATAGTTGTTCACAGACTCAGATGATAAACAATGAATTACCACTTATTAGTTGTTCGCAGACTTGTCTTGCAACTGCTCGCATCATGTTCTGGGAAGCAATGTCTCCCTGGTTAATTGAATTTTAAAAAATTAAAATATTATTTCTATAATTTCAGATGTCAACACTTAACTCTTGAAATAAAAATAAGCCAAATTTTAAGAAATACATACCCTATCACCTTTTTCTCCTTTTAACCCAGATTGACCCTGAAACACAAGAATTTCATACTTTAGAAACAGGAAGATATAGTCTAAAACAGCAGTTCTCAACCTGTGGGTCATGACCCCTGTGGGAGTCAAATGACTTTTGCCCAGGGGTCACCTAGGAACATCAGAAAACACAGATATTTACATTATGACTCATAGCAGTATCAAAGTTACAGTTAGGAAGCAGCAACAAAAATAATTTCATGGTTGGGGATCACCACAACATGAGGAACTGTATTAAAGGGTCACAGCATTAGGAAGGTTGAGAGCCACTGGTACAAAATGATGCATGGACAGGAATGACAATACAGAGGGCAGCATCTATCATCTGATAAACCAGCAAAATGACACATCATACTTAAAGTCATGCCACTAACATTTTTCTTTTCTGTAAAAATAATCTCATCCCCCACCAAATAGGTACCTTCCAAAGCCTTGTTCAGGTGTGAATTTTAAAACAACAATTATAAAATACGTGTATCATTTACCATGTAGGCTTGCAACTGAATTATGTACACTTGAACTCAAATTGCACTTGACCTATCACACTTTAAGTTACCATGGTTACTCAGCTCAACTATTCATTGTGGGATCCCCAAAAGCTTGACATCCATTCACTTCCAGTAAGAACTAGCGGGCTTCCTGTCAGCTCCCTCGATGAGTATGTAGCTCATTCTACCTCCAGTTAGTCTTTGTGCAGGGTAGAAAAGAAAACAGATGTTCTTCTTTATTTGTCTCACATCCAAACAACCACATAATCTTTATCATATTCAATCAGAAGCCCCTTCCTGTCCAAAAGAGTTACTTCAAGGGCAGGAACTTCCTATCTTTCAGTAGTATCTTTTCAAACAGCCAGCTGCCATTACAGAAGGAACATCCAAGTCATTAACAAATCTGATGTTAGGATACTATTCCAGCCAAACCAACTTGTCCTGTTCCCATGGAAATCACTGTAGTTCAAACCAAGGCTTAGTGTAACTATTCCAATATCCTCTTAACTGACCTCTCTAATTTCTGCTTTTACCTTAATAGCCTATTCTCAATACAGATGCCAGAATGGTGTTTTTAAAGAAAAATTAGATTGTCTCACTTCTTTGCTTTGAGACATGAGGTCCAAATAAATGCATAGTGAATTATAATGATTGTAAGCAAAACTTGTGCTTGGCTTTCTCATTATCAAAAATATTATATTTTTATGGAATACTAATATTAAGTATGGAGATGTGAAAACTGCATTATTTTTTATTTCTTGCTCTTTAGAAATGTTTCTGATTTACTTTTTCAATTTATTCCTACTATAAATTGCTTGTTTAAATTTTTTGAGAAATTAATACACGAGTATCACATACCATGTATATCATAACTACCCTTCCAGCTCCCCACAACTCCTCTCAATTATTACTGTTACACACACACACACACACACACACACACACACACACACACACACACACACACTCTACTGAGTGAATTTAGTGTTTCTCATATGTGCATATGTTTAGGGATGACCACTTGTGATTGGATAACCTATCAAGGTCTCATCTCTTAAAAAAAATTAAAAAGAAAAGAAAAGAAAAAGAAAAAGAAAAAAAAGCAAAACACTATGTTTTCCTTTCCCAGCAGCCATTAACTGCCTTTAATTCTTCATCTAGGGGTGAGGCCTTGTGATATCTCTCCCACACATGTTAACATGTAAACTAGTGTTGTCATTATGCAGTCTTGTTTAGACAATCATATTGTTAGGAGTTCATGGGAATATCTTCCCTGTCATCTTGTCTGTGATCTCGTAGAAGCATCTTTACTACCAGTTACTAGCAATCACATCTCAAGCAAAAGCAATAGAAATTGTTGAGCCTCTGCTTGCACAGGTTAGCAATGCCCTTGCCTCATACTAATGCAAAATTAAGCACGAAGGGCATGAAGCCCAATAGTCATTTCAAATACTTGTGGATATTTTAGAAACTTAATAACTTTAGAAATTTAGTTGGAAGGTAGTAATTTGAAAGCACATAATAGGTGTAATGTTATTGCAATTTTTATTTCTAACTAAACATAGGAGTGAGAGAGAGCTAAATCAGATATAAATTGAGAAAGGACCACACTGGAAAAAGTAAAATAGCCAACTTAAGTTTGGCTTCTTATTAATTTGTTTGTGCTAAGTGTTGACCCCATGGCCTTGCACTCCACCACTGAGCTACACCATCAGCCTAGTAGGTAATTTTGTTTGCACATGCACACATGTGGTGAGGGCATTTGAGTATACATCTGTAGGTATAGATGTGCCATGGCACACATGTGGAGGTCTGAGGACAGCCTTGGGTGGTCATTGTCAACTTCCACATTATTTGAGACAATGTCTCTTTGTTGTTTTTCTACTGTGGATGCCAGATATCTTGCCTAAGAGCTTTCAGGGATTCTCCCGTTTCTTCTTCCCATTTCTCTGTAGGAACGCTGGGATAGCAGATACTCATACTACATGTCCAGATTTTATAAGTGTTCTGGAGGTACAAACTTAGATCCTCATGTTTGCATGGCTACCATTTTTACCCACTAAGCCACCTCCTCAGGCCTCAATAAATATTTTTAATTGGTCTGATGCTCCAGCATCCTTAGCTACGGAGCAAGAAGCAAATGGTGCAGCTCTGTAGTACTGTCTGCCAAAGAGTTAACACTCATAAACTGAGGAGGTAAGGCACCCTGCACTCTCATCATGTATTTTTATGTCTTAAACAGCATACCATTTATAAATAAAAAGAATGATTTTGCTGACCCAGCTCTGAAGCTCTGAGTGTTTATACAGTGCAGAAATATGTGTCTTGGCTCATAATCCCTTCCTCCTTTTAAAGAAACCCAATGACCACAATTTTCATCCCAGGATATTATAGCAACCCAGCAGGGGAAAAAAGCCTTTAGAACTATTCCCAAGGCAAATCCATGGGTTTATCATTATTTCAGCAGAGGCTCCAAACACATTTATGCCTGAGATAACCTAAATATGGCCAAGCCTTAGAGTTCTCATTATCTGTGTCCACAAGAGAATGGAAGTCAGTTGGCATGCAAGGCATCTACTTACTGGTCTGCCATGGTCTCCAGGTTTTCCTGGTTTCCCACTGGGCCCTGTAACTCCTGGAGAACCTGGGGTTCCCTAGAATCACAGACCAAGAAAGGAAATGTTATGACGAGGAAAAAATCCTAGCCACAGTAACTAAAGAACTGCAGCCAGGTTTAAACCTTGTAAAAGAAGCAGACTACCATTCCACATTAAGGAAGAGGACAGCCACATTTTAAGGTAACACGAGGAGGAAATCCTGGAAATTTAGTCTGAACTATACCTTGAGACCAATGGAAAAATACACGCACACATATAACCAGCTTCATAATTTCTAGACTACAATCTTAGTAAATCTGTTACAAAGCATCTTTACAGAAGGAAACTCCTAAAGTTTTAGTTTATTTTTGAAACAAAAAAAATCAAAATAAAAGCTCCAAAAGATGGGAATGGAAACTTTGGCCAGAGAGGAATTAAAAAGGTGGCTGGGTTTATCACAGTTTAGCCACACTTCTGGCATCTGTAGAGGAGTCTAGAAGTCACTTCTTCCTCAGGGACATTCCCCAGGCTCCAAGTCTCTCCATCCTATCAGCACTCTTCAACCCAGCAAAACCACAAGAATTTCTCCCTGTCGCTTTTAAGTCAACTTTCAGGCATTTCCGCCATCTATCTATTGGGCTATTTATAATATAATATCCAATACATCATGTTCTAAAGCCTACCATTTCCGTTAAACAGAATCATAAGATTTTATAAAATAGTTCTCTGTGGAATTTATGTAAAAAAAAAATGAGCTCTGCAGTAAATACTTAGGCTTAATATTTAAACCTGAAAACATATGTATTAAAGATAAATAGTAAAATCATTTAAACATATGTTTCAGAATCTCTGAATCCTGCCATCCAGACAGGGGCACAGCCACTGTCTCTATCTCACTGTGACCTCACCTATGGGCAGTTCTACTCTAAGAAGTCTCAGAATCTCTTATCTTCAGTATCTTCTCCACAAGTCATAAGAGGACCCTTTGTTTAAGGTGCAGATAAAACCTACTTCCCTGGAATGATTGATGGTCGCTCATTAATAATGTTCTTAACGTTTAAATGTCAGAAGCTCCAGATTCAGGAGGTAACCACTGAGGTCCTGAAAATAACTACTCAATAAAGAGGAAAATCATGAGACTAACCAGCTAGTGGCCAAGTCAGTCTGAGATTTTCTCAACCGTAACTTGATTAAGCATCTGTATTTTGATGTATCTGTTTTCTCTAGCACATTTTGATTTATAAAAACAAACCCAAATAGCTCATATAACAATATACCCCACAGCACAGATGGAGGGTAATTCAAATCAGGTTTTCTCACTAGCAAAACAGGAACAAAGAGATAGGAGACTGGAGACCAGGTGGAGGCAGTGTAACCAACTCAGCTCTTACCGGTGGCCCGGGTGGGCCTCTCGGTCCCATTGCGCCATCTTTTCCAGTGAAACCCTACATAAGAATGAAATCACAATTACAGATTAGAAAGGAAATGAACATGAACAAGTGAAATGATGCAAGTAGATCATTAAGGGTGATACAGAGGACTGAGTACAATTTGGTGTTTGGTAGGTGCTCATTCAATATGAAGACCAACATATCAAAACGACTTATTTCAATTTACATTACACTTTTACTGAGTAATTAGTCCCTGCACTCATTCATTTGTGGAGTTACAAGTAAAGCTATTTTAAATGCCAAACTTATCCTTTTCAAGGAAGGCAGATTCTGGTTTTGACTTCTGTAAGAGTGTAAAGAAGGGCAAAGAGTGATCAACTCTGTCTGCTCGACAGCTGCTCTCTGAAAAGGGCAAAACTGTATTAACTGCCCTGCACCCTAAAAGGAAAGGAAGTTTTCCATTCTCACAACCAGCAGTAAACTCTCTCCTCATCAGCAGAGCCAAGCTGTGTCAGTGCGAGCATCAGGGAAAAGGCAGGGTGCACCTCCCTGCAGGGCTGCCCTTTGGCTCCTGTGTCCACACTGATGAGTTCCTTCACTCGGTACAGTGCCAAGTGACCTCTGCCTGGAGTGAGTCACCCTGCTACCTACTTAGCTTTCATTCCCAAGAACAGATCTCTGAAACCCAGCCGAGGACTTCTGAGTCAGTTTTCTGTTTATGTTTGCTGTGTTCCTCTGTCAGAAGTGATTTTTGTCCCATTTTCTGAAGAGAATAAGAATGATCAGTACCAGGCATGGTGGCTCCATGCCTGTAATGCCAACATTGGGGAGGCTGAGACGGGAGAATTGCTGTGAGTTCTGGGCCAGCCTGGTTTTGAGAAATCAAACATGAAAGAATGATTATTTTGTCCATAATCATTCAGTATCCATATTTCTTAGTCTACTGATTTCACAATAGCAGAAACTTAAAGGGTTTCATTTAAGGGAATTTTAGAAATTCTCCCTATCAAAAAAAAAAAAAAAATCTTTCCAGAAACTTAAAGGGATAAACTTTCGGGCTGCTTTCTGAAGGAGCTAGGTCTGCTTAACACAAACCAGACTCTGAGTCCCATCTGATACAAAACCAACATTACTTCTGAGAGCCACTTAAGAAACAAAAATGTTCCAGTAGCTTTGCTGAGACGGTCGGAATGGCATTTCTTCCATCTAAACATAGCCAACTGCTGCCTAGTACGCTCTTTCTCAACTTTTAGTGAGTGTCATATTTTTAATAATCTAGTGGTGCTTGGGACTTTGAAGGGACATATCTAAATTGGGATGAGGGGGATTTCGTCTGATAGCCCTTAAAGGGGCTGTCTTGGGCCACCTGCAGACCACCATGCTTCAACTTTTAGTTTCACTTCTTGTTACAAGCCTGCAGCTGTTATGGTCTCCCGAGAAACAGTGTTAGAAGAGACTAGCGATCACCTTTCTACAAATATGGAGATTAGATACATGTCCCTGGGGTTCTTCTGCTGTTTCTCCTTTCAAAATCATCCACGGCAGTCGCATGCCCTGCTATTCCTGCAGAACCTCAATCCTTGGCTTTACTCTCCTCCTACTTCCATCTCTGAATTCCTGTTACTTTCTTATTTTGTCAGCCAAGATCCCCAAAAACCAACAGTCTCTCTCACTGTCTAAAATAGTTTCGTCCTTCTCCCTCACCACAATGTTGGCCACGGATTAGAGTTTCAGAAAGGAAATGCATAGGTCCTCCCAGCCCCTCATGCTTCTGGGCGCAGTGACGACAGTAGTGACTGCCTGATTGCCTGTTGCTGGGAAGTCACCCTCAGGACCCCCACCATCTCCATTGGAAGCACACACTGGAGTAGGCTGTGGTGTGTACAGCCAGCCCTCAGCAGCAGTTCAGCCCACTGTCATTTTCTCAGTGGCCATATTCAGTTTGTTGTTGTTTTGTTTTGTTTGGGGGGGCCACTAAGGTATTACCTTTGTATTCTAACTGTTGTTCTTCATCATAAAATAAAATTTTTACAATACTGCCCAAAGTGTCAGTCTTCAAAGAGGCTAAAGAAGTACATCAGTACAGTCTCCAAATTCCTTATCAGAGTCTAGGGCTTGTGCTTTGACTCTTCTTTTTCTTCTAAATGTAAAAGGAAGCAGGGAAACGGTGCTCGGGAGCATACCATGTGCTATTTTGAGTTATCTTGGTGAACCATTGCTCCCACTGAGTGACACCTCCTTGCCATCCATTACTTACAGATATTAAGGTTAGTAAATCACGTGGTTACTGACAGCAAGTACAGCACTAACCCCTCCAGAGAAGGCGGATAGTCGCAGTTTAGCCTGACTGATAGAGCGCAGACAACCCTCACACTGCTGTTTAAGCCATAAAATGCTGAAAGGCTGTGAGATTTATGGGCTTTGAGCAATCTAACATCTCTAAATTTCTCTTACTAAAGCATTTTTGGTCTCTTATTGAAACAAATGTTTCCATAGCATTGGTGAATGAAGCATAAATGTCATGTTCATTTGGTTACCAATTAACTTGTCCCAGAGTGAAATGGCTTTCCTACTTTGCTATTACCTTGAGTCAAGGGCAAATTTGAAGGCTGCCACAAATAGAGAAATTCCCAACTAAATACCAGCTCTTTACACTAGCATCAACCTCAGAAGAGACACTTGTCTTCTAAAGGTACAGAGAGTTCCTCGGGACTTCAAAGACAATGCTGTGAAAGTTAAGGCTACTCTCCAAGTTACATAAAATCTATCTCATGATAAAGATTTTAATTTTAGGATCTAAAATGATTCCTAAGTCTCTTGGATGTTTCTCTAACAGTTAAAAACTATTTACTGCGTTCTTAATCTAATACAACTTTAAAATTCCCAAAATTAAAATTTCAAAATCTTCCCTCAAAGTCCCATCAATTTGTTTAAAGGAACTCAAGATGGTTCTGATGTTGGATGATCCACTGACACCAGTTAGAAGCCTTCCACAAGATATGTGAACTCCACATCTCCAACCGTACAAACAGGACTGTGGGGATTCTGTAATTAATACATATGTGTGGCCCCAAACTTACTCTGTCTCCTGGTGGTCCCATTGGTCCTGGTGGACCAGGTAATCCTGGTGTTCCCTGCACAAAAGGAAGCAAACAATTAGCATGCAGTGAAACACTGTTTGTGTAGAAAGTGATTGTTAGCATTCTCTAAAACGTTTTCAAAAAACAAAGTTTGGGAGCTCTGGAAAGAAACAGAAGACCATGGCCAAACACAGTACCAGGCATATAGACATCAGTCATCAAGGCAATATCAGAATTAAACAGTATACACTTGAACACTAAGAATAGAGTGAGAAATCCAGGTCCAGTGAAGCATGCCTACCCTTCACTACCTCATCTTTCTCACTTTTTTAATTAAAATTCTTTTTTCATATAATAAATTCTGACCATGCTTTTCCCTTCCTCCAGCTCCTCCCATCTCCTCCCCACCCACCAAACTCCACAGCCTCTCTGTCTTTGCTTTAGAAAACAAACAATTTTGCAAAACTCAAAGACAACTTTTCAAACAGTACATGACAGGTTAAAAAAAAAAGTAATTTCGAGAACTCACTGTCCGGCCGGGAAGCCCTGGCTCTCCTGCATCACCTTTCATTCCCTGGCGACCCTAGAGTGAGCATCAAGAGGATGGTTCTCAATGGAGATTAAGTTTAAAAGGAAGAAATGAGTCACTTATGCACTTTAATCACTTCATAAGCACAGTGCAAAGGTTCAGAGATAAGCACATAGGTCTGTTTTGAAGGGAGATGAATAAGCCAGATTTATTATTATTATTATTATTATTAACATTCACTTTCTCCAGAAAATGCCATCCTGTAATTTCTACTTAATATTATGATACTCTTATATAGTTATATCTACTTTGAAAGAATATAGTTTAATACAAGTAATATATGCACTACATTTAGGAAGTTTTTGAGAGAGAAAATAAGTAGAACAATTTTTCTACAGTTATTTATTGTGTATCCATTTACATATCTAAAATAGCATTCATCAGAGGAAAGCATCTGAGTAACTAGCCTTGCATTCTCCTGGAAAACATTTGAATTTAGAACCACATAGAAAATATTGCAGATAACCCAGTCCTAGTGGCTCAGGGCTTTCATCCCAGCTAACCAAAAGACTGAGGCAGGAGAATCAATGTCCTGCACTGGCCACAGGGTGAACTCAAGACCCCATCTCAAAATAAGAAGTTTACAAAGGGCTAGGGATATAGATCAATGGTAGAGAGCTTGCATAGCATCTATGAGGCTCTAAGTTCAAATCCTGCTACCAAAAATAGCTGAGGGGAGAGACAACAAAACAGGTAAGGAGTGGAGGAGAATATTCCATTTAAACACATTGTTAACGTAACATTTTCATTTACTACAGAAAGCCTTTACGCTTACCTGTTCTCCTGGAATGGAGAGTCCATTGGGTCCCTGGGGGCCTGGAGGACCCTGAGGACCTGGAGGGCCTGTATCTCCACGGGGACCTGGAGGCCCCTAAAATGTAGGAGTAAAAGAAAAGGAGGAGAAAGGGGAGGGGGTGATGTAATACCCTCAGTGAGAACATTCAGAAGCTTCTCTTCATAGCCTGAAAGCATCATCACCTAGTCTTCATAAACATTTTGGAAATATATACTTGTATCAAACTGTGTTGATACCATTCTTTCACTCTCTTTACTACACATTTAAAAGGTGGGATGTGAACTGAATTCACAAGAACACTTAGGTTTCAATAAAAGTCCTATTAAAAGTAGACTTTTAGCCGGGCGGTGGTGGCGCACGCCTTTAATCCCAGCACTCGGGAGGCAGAGCCAAGCGGATCTCTGTGAGTTCGAGGCCAGCCTGGACTACCAAGTGAGTTCCAGGAAAGGCGCAAAGCTACACAGAGAAACCCTGTCTCGAAAAACCAAAAAAAAAAAAAAAAAAAAAAAGTAGACTTTTAAAGTGAAAAACATTATTATTATATGTGCTGCATTCATAGATTCCCAATAGCTCAAAGTTCAAATTTCGTTAGATTTAATCTATAATACTTGCTCATTAAGTCAAGGATGGTGATATAACCTGAGGTACACTAAACTAAGGTCAAATACCACCTCCAAGGAAATTCAAACAACTAGACTTCAACATACTGACAACTATTTGGAGTGTTAAAATATACTTACAACTGCCCCATTGATTCCTCTTTCACCTCTGGGACCTTTTGCACCAGGTCCTCCCTAAAACACGAAGAAAGAACACAGTTTGGTGTGAGCATAAGGAAAATAGAAATTGACATATAAAAATAGTGTTTCAAGAAGGAATGCAGTCCCTAAACAGTCAATACTTCCATTGCTATTTGCAAAATATTGAAGTAAAACTGTCATGTCATAGCTGGTATGCAGCTCTGTGGCCAATCACTTGCCTAGCATGTGCAAAGCCCTGGTTTGAGCTCCAGCATGGCTAAGAAATAAATTTGTATCATACAAACACACAGGAAAGTAGAATTTCAAATTTTTGTGCATTCTTTGTTTCTTCTTGATATACTTTACAGCACTTGAATAAAAAGAAAAATGGATTTGAGAATTATATAAATTATATTCTTGAAGAAAAGTAACCAAAAAATTATATTCTCCAAGGAAAATATCCAAATCTCTCTGGATCTCAAAGCATGCACTTAAGAAACAAGAATTCAAAGACCAACAAACAAAGCCAAAATAAATATGATAGTGACTTCAGAAAATGGTACCTCAAAACTGGAGGGAAAAAAAAGACCTGAGAAGTGTCTATCAGATCCAAGACATATGCCAGGTACACATCAGATTCATGATACTAATTCCAGTGACATTTGAATCTATTAAAAGTTGCTTTGTAATTAACCTAAAGTAAATTATTTGCTAGAACCCCAGTATCACAAGGATGGGTCTTCTCGGTATCTTTGAGTTGCTCCTGTATCAATAACCTATTGTCTTAAAAAGCCAATGAGGTTAGAGCAATGACTTCTATTCTTCAATGGAGCTGAAGTCAGGTATTACGAATCAACCCCCAAATTGAGGAGTTACGCACTGACTGATCAGTGTGCTTGACCATAACTGCGGTCTTCAATGTTTCACTTTGAATTTTCTTAGTCTCCCATCCCCGTTGCATAGTATCTGATCATAGTCTCTCCACTCAAGTTATTCCAAACTCTAGTACTTTCTCCCAGCACTTAGACTGTGACCACATATTTGAGTTGAGTCTTCATGTGTTATGTTCATTGGTGTGTCTATGTCAGGTGCATATGTTCTAGGTTCTAAGTTAGTTGATCTTGACCAGCTTTCCAAACCATGGCTCAATTGCATTCATACAAGAAACTTTCAGGAAATGTAAGACATTTCCAAACTCTTGAAATATTTCCATTTGCAGATGGAAACCCAAACTTGTGTTTTTAAGAGAAAAGTCTTAAAGAGTGCCAATGTCGTTATCCCTGGGTGGCTAGAGAAATGGGCCAAGTACTAGGACCAAATTATCCTCTTTTTTAAAAAGAATTCTTACTACATTTATGTATGTATTCCATGGCATACTATGTATGTATTCCTCTGAGTGAAAGCCAGAGGACACCTTGCAGGAGTTGGTTCTTTTATTCCACCTTGTGGGTCCCAGGGATAAAACACGGGTCATTAGGTTTGGTAGTAAGCACAGTTAGCCACTGACTCATCTTGACAGCTCCAAAATTTTCCTATTGATTTACTTCATTTCAGATCTCAAAATCTGTTATAAAGATGGCTGGAAGTTTAGCATATTCTATCACTGAAAGCACAAACGGATAAAAAGCATTTTATGGCTTCCATACTGACAAATGGGTGATCATTCCAAAGATCTTCCTCCAAAAAAATTTCAAAGCTAAGCAATAATGATAAGTAACTATTTTGGTCTCCTTACTGCGGGGCCTGGAGGGCCTGGAGGTCCAACGCTGTCCTGTGTACATGTGCAAGCATTTGGAAGAGCAGGGCATTTTGCTTCATCTCTCTGAAATTTTGAAAAAGTTATTTGCATATAAACATAGTGAGGAGTAGAAGTTGACATCCCATCTACTAGCCCTATTTACATACATGAGAGTCTGTTTCCCAACTGGAAGAAATAATTGCTATTTTTATCACCACTTATAAATGGTTTAACATTGGAACTTTCTCAGATCCTTTGTGCTTTACTTGAGCATATCACACACAACAAAGTAATGTTGACAAGATTAGTAGGACAACTGGTAATTTAGCCCAATTTTCTTTAATCTCTATTGTAGAAATGCTATATATCTTAAACATCAACTCCTATTTTATTCAGAAAAGAAATGCAAAGCCCTTTCTTTCCGTGGTCTCCAAGACTCTCCCTATTCTGTAAACCAGCATGTGCATCCCATGTGTACCACTTTCCTACCTCACTTTCACAGTGGTCCAGCACTGCCCATCCATGTCATGTTTCTCAGATAATTGGAGCACCCTATGGGCCTTAGAGCTGGAGTGTCTTCCTATGCCATCCACATAGTTTGCTCCCTCACTTCACTGGGATCTCTGCTGAACTTTCTCATGACCAAAAGCTGATAGCACCTGCCATCACTCCCCCTCCCTTCAGCTTGACTTGGTTTTCATCCTAGGATCCCCACTGTGCAGCATAACACACAGATAATCCCTAGGTATCTGGGGGTATTTATTCCAGGACCTCCTGGAAAGACTGAAACCCAAGGATACTAAAATCCCTCATCTAAAATGCTGCAGTTTGTGCATGTAGCCTAAGTATACCCCCCTGCATACTTCAGATCATGTCTAGATTACTTAGTACAGCATAAGTGCTATGGATAGCTGTTACCTAATGCTACTTAGGAAATAATGGCAAGAAAAATGTCTGTGTGAGGTTGGTAAATATCTGTTAGGAAAGCATTAGAGCAAAAACATGTTTATAAGTTCAATAGATATAGTCTTTTTGATATTTCCAGTCTGTATTTGGTTGAATCCACAGATAAGAAGCCCAGAATCAGGGAGAACCAATATATCTATTTGTTAATTTCTCTCATTGCCTTTCACAGACACTCACTTTTTACTGCTGCAACCCTAGCATGTTGAGGGATTGATGATTATAATAAATTTTCACTACGTATTTAATACCATCATTTATCTAGCAGATGTATGCAGCTGTGCCTGCCAAAAGTCTTATATCACCAACGTTGAACTTTATAACTATTACCACCACCTATACATAACACAGACACACACATGTATGTATGTATGTATGTATGTATGTATGTATCCTTTCCATCAAAAGATCCTTAGTAATCCAGAAAAGTGATAGCTTATTCAGTAAAAGGCTGTTACGCAGTAGGAGGTCTGCGGTAAGTAGGTTTATCAAACACACTGGCTCAATATGACCTTCCTGGCTGTTGTTGAAAGAATTTCCAGATATGGTCTTGTGCATGCCTAGCCTTCGAGCAAAGGGTCACATGAGCCAGGGCAGTGCTAGCTGAAAAGCACGCACACATTCCACATCCCTGGGCTCCTATCTAGAGCTGCAGCTGCTGAGTGTGATTTCCTCTCCCAGACCATTTGCATCACAAGGTTCCTTCTCGGGGGACAAGTAATGACAGCACTTACTCACCCTAGAGGGAATATCACAGCATCTGTCTCTACTGGTCCACACCGGGCTGCAGACAATGTCAAAGCTCTGGATTTGGAACTGCAAACAACCAAAGCCACATCAGCTAAGCAGGCAGGAAGACATTTTAAACATTTTATTCTTGCCAATTTCAGGCAGATTCTCTCTAGAGCTGACTCCTGAGAGCACTGTTAGGCTTGTGTGGTAAGGAGAAGCATGAAAATGTGTAGCGAAAAGGCACAGTAACAAAAACTGCATCTGCCCAGACCCTATTTCTGATCCACTTGCTGAAAAGATATGCTTGAGTGAGGTATTTAAGGACATTTCATTCCTGTGTTTCAATTCATTTGACTACTACACAAGTTTAAATCAATCTTTAAAGATATGTCTTTGTAGAAAAGTAACATTAAAGAAATTTTCGCCTTATTCTATAGTTGATGACATTTGCATTAGAAATTATTGTCTAGAAATAGACTAATAATTTTTACAGCCCTCAGTTGAACTATTTCAGTGAAGCACGTGCCTTTTGGCTTTCTAGAATTTAAGATAGAACTGTATAGACAAAAAGACAAAGGCTGTCCAGACACAGCCATTCTTTTAAAAATGTGGTGATCGTTTCCTGTCTGCAGCCAGAAGGTACCATATAGGGGACTGGAGGAGAAAAGATGTTGACGTCTCACCCAGCTATCAACTCCGCAACTACAATTACCAAACCCGCCAAGCAAGTAACCAACTGCTCTCTGATAGGATCTGAGGTCTGCTCCACTAGAGGGAAGTCAAACTGTAAACCCAGTCAAAATACCTTTGACTGAGGAGTTCATAGTTTTTAAATTGCCGGGGTACTAATCTGCCATCTAAATATTTATGGACAAATGGGATCCCCAGCCTTAATCAGAGAAGTTTCTCTTTGCAATGAATGGCAGTGGATGCAGAGCTGCTGAAGGTGCTGAGAATCCATGATGGTGAGTGCTCAGTCTTGAGCAGGACATTTATGCCACACTCTATTTCTCCCTCTTATACCCCTCCATGGCCCAGGAGAATTACAGAGTAGCGAGTAGAAATGCTGTCTAGAAGACAGGGCAATGAGCTATGAAATGCTGTCATCTGAGCATTACACAGCCAATGAAGTCATTGCATAGTAGCTGTGGTTGCTTGCACAAGACTGGCCCTGTCAACTCTCAATTAGGGATCAGCAAGGGGTTCACATGGCTCCACTTCTCCCCATTAGCTATTAGCCACTGATAAATTCTGGGGAAAAGGAAGACATCACCTTCAGTTATATAACCACTGATGAATCCACAGGATACTAATGGATAGTTCCAAACCTATGGTCACACAGCCAATCTTGGTTAAACTCAGTAGGTCTCCAAAAGAAGGGGGAGGGACATGAACAAAAATATCTGATGATAACTTTATTTAAATATCAAAGCCAATATCATTAAAATGTTGGGTTTATCATGATTCTATTAAATTCAAACTAATTGTTCCCCTATTATAGCCAAAAAAATCCCTTTTGAATCTAAAAGAACATCTTGTCTACAGAAAGAAACTAAAATAATGATATTCAAAAATAATAATAACAGAAGCCAAAACTGTTAGCTTCTAAGACAATGTTTATTGGTTGACATTTAGTATGTCTAATGAGTCAGGCATAGTGAAAGCTTGAGACTTAAGTCTCCACTTCTGAATCACATTGTGAATAGAGTGTACGTGCTTTCCCTAAACCCAAGGCAATGAAACTTGAGATCTGGTGGCAGTTGGCTGCACTGCCATGGCAATCCTTCTAAGACAGATCTCTCTGTGAGTGACAGGCACAGCTAACGATCACAGAGCCTTCATGTCCCAGTTGCACAAATTCAGGCTAACAATTATTTTGAAAAAATGAACTATTGTGACCTCGCTGGATATGTAAGCAGTAATTTGCCTTGTTTCTTTCCAGCATGACCTTGTTTTAAGAGATTACATGTTGTTTCTTGGTGCCTGGAGACCTTATTTTGACTTCAGTAGTAAAAAAGTACATTATAGTGTTTTCTTGGTAGCAAGTTCTCTGACTATAATTTTTCCCACACCTTCAAACTGACTAATAAATATGACAGTTTAAAACTCACTGAGGGAAATAGATATAGATAGATAGATAGATAGATAGATAGATAGATAGATAGATAAAATTTGCTGAGAGATTTAGAAAACACTATTTCAATCTTATTTACTATAAGGCACTAAATATCAAAAACATCAAAATACATTACTTACTGTCACTGATTTTCTCTCTCCTTTAAGAAGTTTTCCAAGAATTTCATAGCCATCAGTTGTGATATTTCCAGCTTCCTTAATGTCTTTTTCTACAATTTCATAGCAGTCAATATAAATCTTAACACTTTTTGAGGTTACTACAATATGGACCTAAAAAGATAATTAATTTCCATTATAAAATTTCTCTCAAAAAAATAAGCTGACTTTTGCATACTTTATATTACATTCTTTATAAATTGTTTCTCAAACCATTTCATCCCAAGACAAGAGTCTTGGGTTAAAAAAAATCCAAGAACCCAAGTTTCAGATGATGTCCTATGAAGTGGTACTAGTCACTCACTTAATTTCAGAATCTATCATCTATGTACATGGGCATAATTTCATAATATCCCATTATGTGGTCTCTTTGAGACAACCAGAGAGGATGTAGTGCATGAAAGAACTTTGTAAACTGTAAAAAATATTTAAATATGGGTTTAATAAACCACTAATATACTTCACTCAGCACAAATGAGCTGTAGATATTGCCCATTGATGTCAGTCCTGATTTGTTCACCCTTCCCATTCACAAATAAGCTGTTTATCTCACAGCTCTCTAACATAGGAAGAGTTGGCACATTATCTAGAGTCAAACCTGGAAATTAAGAGAACTCAAGATTCATTTAAGGAAAGAAGTGCATGTTGATTATTCTGCATCTGCTGTTGAAGAACAGGGACATCAGGAAGTTTATTGGTACAGAAAATTAGCGAAGCATTTGTATTGAAGCTAGGAAGAGAATGGCTGCATGTAGCTGTTGGCTTCACAGTTATGCTCATGGATTCCACTGTCTCAGCACAAATACTTAGGCAAGAATCAGGTGATTACTGTGAAAAGTTTGACAGAAGGATAAAAAGAACAGAAATGGTTTTAACTGCTCTGAAGCAGGTTGAATAAGAAATTTTTCTCAAGCTTTATTTTAAAACTAAATATTTTTCTTTCAAGGAGTCACCACCAAAGCACTGGCTCATAACATCTATGATAAATAGGAATTACATGTTTTTATATACAAGTGGTTCATAGCTTACTAAAAATAGAGTTTAAACATCTGTGAGATAGTCAACTAATATTGAACTCAAAAACATCACATAAGCATTTCTGGGATATTTAGTATCTAACAAAAATTTAAATTTTTTCTGTGCCCTTAAATGAACCATGACAGAAACATACATTCACAAGGGTCATTTCAAAATCAAAACCATTTTAATTTATATCATTCAAAATATACTGATCTTTCACTGTGAACCATAAACCAACACATCTTAAGAACACATTTTGCTATAATTTATTCACTCTTTTTGCTGCATTATAAAGTTATGCATAATTACATTTCAACATGGACTCTTCATCTGTAGATCACTGGCCCAAGAATTCAGGATTACAATTGCCTGCATTGGGCCTGAAGAAGTTTCGGTCTGTCATCAATCAAGCATGGATGGGGAGGACTCATGGGACCAGAGCCTGCTTAATAGTTATTCGCAACTAGTAGATTGGGGAGGGAGGCAGTCATTGTCTTCAATGTACACTACAACTGGGTCCTCCAGGTCCCAGTGGATAGTTTGAAATTCACTGTCACACAGATAGCTAATAACTATGAAGCAGGGTAGGCTCTGGTCCTGTAAGTCCTCTCCATCCATGCAATGGTTTAACTTAAATGGTCTCAAGACAAAACACAAAGATATGAGTGTGAGAAAGGGACTTGTAAAGAGCAGGGGCACTGATGGGAGTGGGGGGGAGGGCAAAAGAGGGTGAGAAGTGACAGTAACCCAAATTCAATCTATAATATAGGAAATAGTCAAAGAAAAAATTCATAAAAGTTTTATGTCAGGCAGCCACAGTGCCTTATGGGTAAAAGTTACTTAACTGGGAGATTTACTGGAGAGATGGCTCAATGGTTAAGAACACTGGCTGCTTTTTCAAAGGACCTGAGTTCAGTTCCTGGCACCCAGATGGTGGCTAACAAGCACCTGAAGTTCTAGTTCAATAGAATCAGATATTCTCTTCTGGCCTCACTGGGCACCATCCATGAATGTAGTGCACATACACACTGGCAAACACTCATACACATAAAACTAAAATAAAATAAGAATGGTGTTGAGAATGAAAAAGAAAACACTACAAAAGTAAAGAACTTTAAAATGGTAGAGTATAAGGAAAAGAAAGTTATTCATGGTCTGGCCCAGCACGTCCCAAACAAAGACTGCTCTCAATCAGAGAAGTTTCTCTTTGAAGTGAATGAAGATGAATGAGAGACCCATGACTGCACAAGATGCTGAGAACAAGGGATGGTTGAGGGCTAAGCCCTAAATAAGACATTTATACCACTCCCTTAAGGCTCAGCGAACCCCATAGAAGAGGCAGAAAGAATGTAAGACCCAGAAGACAAAGACAAGAACTATAAGATGCCATCTTCTAAGCAGGACATGGTCATAGCAATCCTGAACTCACAGCTGCTGTGCCTATTGGCTCTGGGTCCAAACAAGTGAGGCCCTCCTAAAAGTCAGCTATGAATGGGGAAGGTCATAGGACCCAATTAGTTTAGTGATCATCAGAGTCTAACTCAACCCATTTGTATGATCCTGAGTTTAGAACTAATCGCCAGAGACTGGTGGGCTCACCAGTGGGTCTACACTTGGACATTATGTCTTCCCTTCTCCCAGAATCTGTTAGTTGCCAATAGACTCTGATGAGCACTAAACTAATCGAAAGTTAGTAAATATGGAAGAGATTAATGAAGCAGGAGTGCTGACAGGAAGGACTAAAGGAGAGTGGGAAGGGTAACCATAATATACACATATATAGATATATAGCGATATATAATTTGATATATATATGAAACAGTCAAACAAAATTTATCAATAAAAAAGACAAAAATAGAAGAACATAGAGAATTTGGGGAAAAGAGAAAGCCAGTGAGAAGAAAGAAATATGAAAAACATGGACACTTCTCTAGGAAGACAAACAGTACAAGGATGGACACTTCTCTAGGAAGACAAACAGTACAAGGATGGACACTTCTCTAGGAAGACAAACAGTACAAGGAAGGCAATGCCAAGAAAATTTTATCTTGATTTACAATAATTAATTACTATCAGAATAGAGCTCTGAAAATACTGCCCTTTGGGAATAAATAGAACGGAGGTTTCCATCAAAGTTGAAAATTTTTAAAATAGCTACAAAATGATTACAAGTTGTTCAGGAGATTAGGTTCTTAGCATCTTCAGTGACTACGAAAGAAGCATAAAATCATCATTCTCAGCCTGCTACTCAATTGTAATTTTAATAGGTTTATCAGTGAGCCAAGGCTGTTCCTAAGAACTTTGCCAGAATCAACATTTCCTACTGGATAAGGATGGGTCAAAGTCGATCACATCCCCAAATTAGAGTTTGCTTTCCCAAGGAGGAACTTATCTACCACATTGCATCAAAGTCTGTAAAACTTTAAACAAGGAATACTATACTACAGCACTTGAGATTTTTGGTTTTCTCTACTGCTGTATTGTTATTGTTGTTGTCATCATTATTGAATCTCATGGCCACAAGAAATCCTCTTTAAGCTCTATTAGGAATGCCCTTCTCCATCCTTATCAAGAGTCTATAACTATCTATTCTATTGTGGATGGACACACAGGAGAGGACAGAAACGGGAGGAGCAAACAGGAGGAGGAAAAATGATGAGGAAAGGAGTAAGGGGGGAGATGGCTAAAACAAGGGTCCATCTGAGGGGTCTTGTGGAACCCTAATACACTAGACGCTTCCTATAATATATACTTATCTGAAATAAATCAAAAGGAAATCACCAAATAAGGGGTAAGACAGCTCCCCAACTGGACATCTCTCATCACCAAACAAAGCTTCCAGGACTGGGAATGGATTGCATCTAATCAAATTGTTGGGCAAAGGGGTCCTATGGTAACCCCCAAACAATGCAGGCTATTTTCAAGAATATTAGTGACTCTTCACAAACTGACAATAAGGTATCATTGCTGAAGACAACAACTACCCAACTGATTGAACATGGAGAGATCAAGCTGGTGCCTGCCCAGAGGCTTCACCTCTATGGATTAGTCTTTGTGGTACTGGAAGGTACTCTGCACACTACCAGAGGAGAAAAGTAAAAACCAATCTAGCTGCAAACTCTTCGATCTATACGGTGACCTGTCTGCAAGATGCACTGATCCAATAGTGGCACAAAGCTTGTGGGCATAACCAACCACTATTAGATTTGAGTTAAGGCATGCTCTGTAAGATGGGACCCATATCCAACACTGCTTGGGTGACCAAGACCCTAAAGCAAGATAGCCCAAGGACCTAGAGGAAAACCAAATACTACTGTTGTGCTAAAGGAATGTAGTAATAAAATGATTCCTAATGACGTTCTGCTGTACTCATAGGTCTGTGCTTTGCTCAGCCACCATCAGAGGGCTTCCTCCTGCAGCAGATGGGAACAAATACAGAGACCCACAGCCAGACATTATGCACAGAGAGTGAGAGACCTTGGAACATTCAGCCCTAAATGGGATGTCTCCATCAAATACCTCCCCTTGAGGCTCAGAGAACTCATGGAAGAGGAGACAGAAAGAGTGTAAGAGACAGAGGGGATGGAGAACACCAAAGAATCAAGGCTTTCTAGACACAATAGAGCTAGCATACATACAGACTCAAATATTGTGGCAGCATGCACAGGGCTTATACAGTTGTACACCAGATGAGATCCTAGGGCTGAAAGGAAAAGTAGACACACACACACACACGCACACGCACACGCACACGCACACGCACACACTCATCCCCAATCCAGAAGCTATCTCGACAATTGATAGTCACGTGCAAATGAAAACTTACTTTTATCCAAGAGTCTCACTAGGGAAACAAACCAGTCTTAAGGGTAGACCCCATGTTCAGGAATAGATGACCAACAGAAAATGAACTCAATGGCATCTTTGAAGGTTCTTTGTCTCATAACATTAAGTCAGGGTGGCTTTTTTTTTCTACATTACAGGTCCCTTTTGGATATATTATGGCTTCTGGTTTGGAGTTTTTATGGTATACCTGAGTGTATGAACAGGTGTATCTCTACATTTCTTATGCTTTTTCTTTGGCTCTTTTTCTTGTTTTGTTATTTTGTCATATTTAATTTGTTTGTTTTATCTTATTTTATTTTATTAATATTTCTTAGATGCCTTTCTAAGGAATGAAGAAAGGGTATTGATCCAGATGGGAGGGAGAATGGAAGAGGAAATGGGAGGAGTGGGGGGGGAGAAAACCATAATCAGGATATAGTGTATGGAAAAAAATCTATTTTAAATACGAGATTGAGAAATTCCCAAAGAACTATTTTTTTTTTTTAATGCAGAGCGGAAAGAGAATCTACTTCATGAGTTAGAAAATGCGATGGAAAGAAATTAAGCATGCTTGGGAGCATTAAGGAAGAAGAGACCTCAGTGACCTACTCAAACAAGAGGGAGGCTCTTCAGCATGTTTTGGTGTATGTGGCTCTTTTGGTATGTCATACATAGGGAAGCTTTAGGTACAATAACTTGTGTTCCTGTTAACACAATCCAGTATGTGAAAAGCAGCATTAAAAATGTATTCCTACACTAGACTGTTCCTTTTGTTTCTGACACATCCACTCTCATTACTGTTCTTTGTCAACTGATTGTTCTTTAGAAACCCGAAAGTTTCAATCATTCTCTAGACGCTGACAAAAACTGAAGGTCTCCAAGAATAAGAAACCATCTCAAATATATCTTAGAACTTTAATGTGTTATTTAGAAAACTCCATAATAAGAAATTGGTGTTTTTGACTGTGTGTTTGTGTAATAATTTATTACACATTTATCTAAATTATTTTGTCAGTTATTGTGAATGATTGAACTTAAAAATGTTTGTTCTACAGTTTGCTTGCATGCTTGTAACATTTTATAGGCAAACAAGCTAAAGAAAGTGCCTGCACTCTATAAAATGACAACATGACCGATTAAAATATAATCCATTAAATTATTAAGCGCCTCAAAATAAATGACAAAAAAAGTTTACAGTAAAGTGGTAAGTAGGGGGGTTAGAAAGGTGGCTTAATGCTTAGGAGCACTTGTTGCTCTTCCAGAGGACCTGAATTTAGTTCCTAGCTCCCAGGTCAAGTGGCACACAACTGCCTGTAACTCCCGCTCCAGGGGGATCCAGTGCCCTCTTCTGGACTCCAAGTACAGCCTTAGACATATGGCATATTCTCACACAGATAAACACACATACACATAAATATCAATAAATCTTAAATTGAAAAAAATGAGAAGCAAAAAAACAGGTGAGCTTCATTACATATAAATATATATAATTATTAATTCAAACTTTGAAAGATACAGTGAAAATATATCAAAATGCTAATGGCAGTTACTGTCTTATTTAAATTTTATCTTTTGAAGTAATCAAATTATTTAAAATAAATGTTTGGTTGTACTTTTACACAGCTAGAATTCTAATTTAGTGTAACATTAAACACCATAAAATAATTAAGTTTTTGTTTTTAAGCTTATATTCTTATTCTAAAATTAAGACTCAGATAATCTTACATTTTTACCTTATGAAAACTTCCATAAAATAGTGTCTTCACTTCATCTGTGTCAAATGTAACAGTTTGTACCTCTCCTCTTGTATCCTTATTAAAGAAAGATAGTGTCTTGCTAGAAGCTGCAATCAAGATAAGATCATTGTCAAAGAATATGCATGATGTGCTTCCTATTCAAAGTACACAAATAGCTCTTGTTGGAGAAATTGAAAAGAAGTTCAGTATCTGCTAGGGAAGATGTCTTCTCTGGTACAATAGTGGCACAATTATGATGGAGTAACCAACCACTTTCTAATTGGATCTGCGGCTCATTCCATGGGAGGGCTTTCAGGCCTGGCACTGTATACCTGGACAGGATCCCACAGCTGAGGAAGCCATAGGCCAGCATCAGAGAGGGGTCTACTTCTATTCTTTGATAAATGAACATGCTATCAGACTGAATACTCAGGTTCATAACGATGGATTAGCACTGCTTTCAGTCTCATCAGAGAAGCTTCATATCCCTGCAGGCAGTGGTTAGAGTCTCATAACTAGATAAAGTGTCAATAACAAGTGATGGTGGAGTCCTCAGCCCTAAACAAGACATCTATCACTCCTTCTAAGACTCCAGGAACACTGAAGAAGAGGGGGCAAAAACAATGTAAAAACAAGAGGATGGAGGAATGCACTGAGAAAACAAACAAGTGTCTTCTAAACATGGCATAACAACTGCACTCAGGAGCTCACTGTAGTTGTGGTCACCTGCACAATACCTGCACAAGATAGGGTGCATTAACATTCATCATGGATGGAGGAGGGCCCATGAGGCCCTACCTCTCCCTAAACAACTATTGCCAATTAATGGGTGCTTGGGGAGAAGGGTATCATTTTCTTCAGTGGTGTAGCCACTGAAAAGTTGCCCACACTCTAATAAACAACTTCCCACCCATGTTCATGTTCATGTATGCAATCCAAATTAAACTTAGTGCTTCAGAAATAGATGATAGATAGACAGACAGACAGACAGACAGACAGACAGACAGATAGATAGATAGATAGATAGATAGATAGATAGATAGATAGATAGATAGATAGATAGATAAATGGGTAAGAGGGAGGAGGTTTTTCAGGAAGAAGGGTTTCAGCAGAGAAGGAGAGATAAGAGAGGATAATGGAAGTGAAAAGAACTAAGATTCACTACATACTACAAAATTGTCAAAGAACAAATACATTAATTTTTAAAAATAAATGAGAAAAAAGAAATAGAATTATTTCAGTTGTGATAAGATGCCAGTTGAGTGTTTGTTGACATGTTATTTGAAGAAGTTTAAATAGTTTGGCTGTGGGTCTGCATCTGTTTCCATCAGTTGCTGGATGAAGCCTCTCTGATGACAATTGGGCTAGGCACCAGTCTATGCTCACAGTGACTGAACCCAACAACCAGGGAGCCTGCATGGGACTGACCTAACCCTTTGCATGTATGTTACAGTTGTGTAGCTTGGTCTTCTTGTGGGACTCCTAATAGTGGAAACAGGGACTGTCTCTGACTCTTTTACTGACTTTTGAGACCCTACTCCTCATACTGGGTCACCTTGCCCAGTCTTAATACATGGGGAGGTGCTTTGTCTTACTGGAACTTGATACGCCATTTTTTATTGAAATTCATGGGATGCCTGCCCTTTCCTAAGCAGAAACAGAGGAGGAGTGAATTGGGGAGTGAGAACAGAGGGAGTGGGGGGGAAGGATTAGGAGGAGAGCAGAGAGGGGAAACTGGTCAGGATGTAAAACAAATAAATAAATAAATTTATTTTTTTTTTTTTTTTTTTTTTTTTTTAGGTTTTTTGAGACAGGGTTTCTCTGATAAATTTATTTTTAAAAAATAAAGAACAAAAGGAACTATACATAGGCCTTAACATAGGACAAAGTCCCTTACGGTCTGCAATCACTCCGACTTGGGGCCGGTAGTCTCTGTCTGTAATTTGCCAAATTGCAAAGGGGTCACTGGGAGTTTCTGGAAGAAGTCTAAACAATAATATGATCGTGTATGAAGGAGGGAGTCCATTTGGATGGAGTTCTCTGTTGGATAGAGAAAAATAAATAAATAAATGGGATTATTCATCAGAAAGAGACCATCTTAAACTTTTACATGAGAATCTCATTATAGGTAGTATTAAAATCTAATTATAGTCATCAGTCCTTAAAGCAGAAAGAAAAAAACCTTGTGAAATACATCAAAGGAACAAACACTTAATAGATTACTTACAATTTGATCATGTCACAAAAGTACGGAAAATTAGCACTAAATAGCCTTTAATCTTTAATCTTCCATAACTAATTTTTTCTAGATACATGGAAGTATTCATTTTAAGGTAACAAAACATTATGACTATAGCTACAATGTAAAGAGAGGGAGTCTTACCCAAATATACTTAATTTTTAGTGGCAGGGAAATGGATAAAATGGCTTAAAGTTTTAATTTCTCTCTTGTTCACACAATGTTCCTACACTTCTAAATTCTCCCTTAAAATCAAGTAAAGCACCTCAATAAACTTACAAATACCCCAAAACAAGACCAACTGTACATGTGCAGGCCATGTACATATGCAAACAATTAGTAATGAAAGAGGGATGTGATTCAACTAGACAGCAATGGGTTTGGGCTCTAAAGACGTGGGACAAATATTTCCATCTCTTGTGTCCTTCTAGCATTGAATAAACCATTGTTCTGGGAGAATGCTTGAAATAGAATTAATGCTTTTCTGTCTGATACTACATAATCCTTTCTCCCTGGAGGCAGGACAAAAGCCTAGAGAGTGACTCCTGGGAATAAAGGAGCTGTCGGTCTGCAAGCTTAGGCAGAGGGCACGGGATTTCTCTGGAGGCTCCATGTCCTAATGCACTATCACTAACACATCCTAGGGTGTGATGCATTCTTGCTCCTTGGGCATAAGCTCTGAGAAAGCTAACATGATGACTTTTATGTGTTTAAGAGCTATATTTTCATGTTCCTAGTTAAAAATACTGATTCTAATTTTTTTCCTGTATCACCCCATCTCTCTCGTTTAGCCCATTTTTCTCCTTCCTTGGCGAAACAACAAAAATCTAATTACATTTATTTTTCTTTCCTTCAAGTCAAAAATTGTGACTTCTGTAGCAACAATAGGCCACCATCACTTAAACTCACATCTTGAGATGACTGAAAAAGTTAAATATAGAGTAATACTGTCCACTGGAAAACCTAGCATATTCACCCATTATAACTAAATATAAAAGACTTAGGAATAAGCCGGGCAGTGGTGGCACACGCCTTTAATCCCAGCACTGTGAGGCAGAGCCAGGCAGATCTCTGTGAGTTCGAGGCCAGCCTGGGCTACCAAGTGAGTTCCAGGAAAGGCGCAAAGAAACCCTGTCTCGAACAACCAAAAAAAAAAAAAAAAAAAAAAAAAGACTTAGGAATCTAAAAGATTTCAGAATTTACAATGGGTCAAACCACACTATGTGCTCCTCTTTAAAACAAATTAGCTTTGGTTTTACAATTAGCTTTCCATTAGCTTTCCCGGTGCATTTCAAATTTCAGACATTATTTTCTGACCCCCCTCCTACTCTTCTAAAAGTTTTGTTTCTTCTTGTGCTTTTCTTCCCTGGACTTAGCAAACACATATTTTTCAACATAAAACACTTTTCACTTTAATGACTAAGAAATATTGATGTCTGTTATCATACCCAGGTGCAAACTTTCATGAAATAAAATACATCTACAGCTACCCAACAGATTGCTAGAGTATCTGCCAATAAAAACTACCCTCAGCCTGCCTGGTTGTGGCCAAGCCCTTCGTTTTCTAAGGTCTGAAACACGAGATAGAACGTCTGCTCTCATTTCTCACTTATTCCACCCAGCCCTTCTGCACCACAGGGGTGAAATGTTCAAAATAATAAACTGCCTTCCTGTTTTAACAGCCTCCCTTAGAAGAAGGGAGTAAACTAAAACCCTAGCCTTCAATTAAAGAGTGTGTTATCCATCCGGCTGTTACCAGGCTGAGAGGTTTGGGTCTGGGAATAATGAGGCTTGGGAGCCAGTTTTCTGTGTACAAGCTGCTACAGAACCCTAGGAATATAATGAAGCTGTGTTTAGGAAAGCACAATAGATTATCCATAAGGAGTTTTCTGGCAGTTCTTAAGTTCCAAGATTATAGAAAATCAACAGCAATTCCAAGAGCCTCTTGTCCACTCCAAGAAAAGGGGAGCCCCCTGTTTTCACACTTACGCTGTTGGCTGATTGATGAAGGCATTCTTCTGAAGCCTGTAGGCTGAATAGCTGGGGAAAGACCCTGATTCCAAAGAAACTCCTTGGACAGAAGCAAAGTTCTTTTCTGTCAGGTTGTAAGCTTCAAGCATCTTAAAGCCTTGACATCAAAGAAGGAGATTTAAATGAGTACATTTCAGTTATGTTATTGGGAATATCTTGAAATCTTGAAATAAATTAGCTGAAGGGTATACCAATGCCTACCTGGTGAAGTGTAGCCATCCAAATAGATGAGAGGACAACCTGAAACATGAATGTTCTTTAAGTATGAGTCACCAACATAATTTAAATAGATACACAGGAAGTAGCAATTCATGTATACAAAGCAGAGTTTTTCATTTTAATGTACTAATTATTACTAGACATAATACATACTTAAGTATATCCCTGCCTAGGCTTAGTGCTCTGAACTATTCACATAATTGTCTCCATCACCTAATACCACAAGAACTGTTGCTGGTGGTTGAGGGGAAGAAAAATTGATTTAATCTACCTTTAGCATCTGTAGCTCAAAATTGAACTTGAAATTTGAACATTAAAAACAAAATTCTGGGGCTGGAGAGAGATGGCCCAGCGGTTGAAAGCACTGAGTGTTCTTCCAGAGGACCAGGGTTTGATTCCCAGCACCCACATGGCAGCTCACAATTGTCTGTAACTACAGTTCCAGGGGACCCGACACCCTTACACAGGCAAAACAACAATGCACATTAAATAAATTAATTAAATTTAAAAAAAAAAAATCCTAAGCCTGAACTAAGAACAAGGCTCAATGGTAGAGCACTGGCCTAGCGTATGCCCGACCCTAGATTCAATATCTAGCACTACAGAGAAAGAAAAACAAATAAACAAAAGGGAAAGGCTGGCTTTCTTATTGTTCTCTTGGAGCACAAGCCAGCAAGAGACCAGTTGATTACAAACAGGAAACCACCTTACTGAAATTCTCCTAAACATACAATTCAAAGCTAAAGGCATTGGGCTAGTTGGAAAGGGATGTATTAAAATGATTTGTTTCCATGTGGGGGATATTATATCTTCAAGGCTAAAAATGGACCTCGGGCAAGCACACATTTAGACTGATCTCAATAGAGTAATGATTCATCAGTTTCAAGTGATTTCCCAGAATCTATTTATGTCCTGGGCTTGATCCCACACAGTATGGAAAACTGCCTATAAGCAGTCATTTCACAAATGAGGTCATGGCTCTGTGCTGACCATGACTTACTTGAAGTGGCAGTTTCACAAACAAACGTGATAAGATTGTCCTCGATCTTCTCAAAAGATTCAAAGTCATCCACAATGAACACATGCCTTTCGCTGGGCTTGCTGGCAATGTTGGCGAGTTCACTGTAGTCCACATCAGCCACACCAACAACAAATACGCTGAACCCTGCAAAGTCCCATTGACAAGGGAGTCACATATTCTCTTTCCATCATTTATTATTTGAGCAATCAAGAATGAAAGCATCAGAAATCATCCTGCATTTTCTCAGCATGGACAGCAAGTACTTTTTTTGGCACAAACTCCAAGAGAAGAATGTGTACTCGTAAATGAACATACACCTCTTCACGGTCGTCCTGTTTTCTGGCTTATGAAATTCAATGCATTAGAAATGACACCCTAGTTGGGTCCTGCCTCAACTGACTGTACCAGGCTTTGCTGTCCCCTCATGGAAGAACTTACCCTTTTGGAAGAGGGAATGAGGAGTGGGTCGGGGAGGGGTTAGTGGGGGGAGCAGAGGAAGGATGAGAGGGGAATCTGTGGTTGGTATGTAAAATGAATTTTAAATTTTTTTTAAATAAAAGAAAAAGAAATGACACCCTAACAATTAAAATGTGGAAGTTTTAATACCAGAAGGACTGTACAGTACACATTATCTTCCACAGATCCACAATTCAAACACACAAGTTCAACAGCTCTGTTGGGTTCCATTAACCACTCAAATGCAGAATGGGCTGCTTTAAATTTGAATTCTTGAACCTGATTTTTCTTTTCATCAGACTTGGGCTCAGTGGTAGCACTCTGACCACCTTTAAATACTACAGCACTTACTGGAAACAAACATTCTACTATTTAAGCAAATATAAGTAAAGTTTTCATTTTAAATGCTTAACTTGACATCGTAAGAAACAGGCTCTCTAAGGACGAAGATATTCACAGACACAAACGCTCATTTCCCCAACTTTTCTTCATGGTTGAACAAAATTCCTTGTGTCCGGATATCACATTTTGTCATCAGTTCGCTTGTTCTATCAAGGGAGGTAGCCAAGGCTCGGATTGAAAAATGCTACACGGTCTCTCAAGAGCAGATCCTAGCTTCTACTGTATATGTATGTGTAGTCACATGTCCTGAGTGTGGACAGAGGCCAATAACTAGACAAGAACCCGTGAGAAGAGAAAAATAAGCCTTAAGGGAGGGGGTGGGGAGAATAATAGAACACATGTCACAGGAGAGAAGATGGAGGAATTCCAGGGGTGGAAGGGTACAAACAGGGGTGAAAGTGCAAGGAGATGGCAGAGAAAAGCAGGTTGGAAAGGAGCAACCAAGTTAAGTGTGTATGAAAATGCCATAAGGAAAATTATTATTGTATATGATAATTTTAAACTAAAGCTAAAAAAAAAAAAGGTGGAACAACGTCACACCAAGTGCGGCTTACAATCTCAGCCAAATAATTGTATGAGCTGATGACAGCTTCTGTGTAACAAAGTTCTCCACTGTTGAGTGCAGCGGATCACACACAGCATAGAATACTTCCCAAAATACGCTCACCTGAGGCCCTGCTTGGGGCAATGGCAGAAGAGACAATGTAATACAAATCCTAGAAAGACCTGCTCTTATCTCTAATAAGTTTGAACAACGAATCAATAGACATGTTACCAAGGGACTCTTAGGATGTCGGGTTACCAAAATCAGCCCCAATACCACCTCCCTGAGACCTCATACTTCTTGTTTGCAGTATGTCTTTTGTCAATCTGCATTCAGTCTGCACCGGCAAGGATGAGCTATGGCAGAGGAATCCTATGGCTTTCCTTGCACAGGAACCAGAATCAAGATTCATCTCCGATATAGCAAGAAGCCTTGCCTAGGATTATTCCATTATCATAGTTTCCTGTAGTCTTCCAACCTCCGTGGGGAAATTCAGTTGACAACCCTGAATCACATCTCATGCAAAGAATACATGCTATTTTTATGGAATTACCAATTAATTCCATAATTAAATACAAATTAACATTATAATTATGAAGTACACAATATAACAAAATAATAGAGTAAAATTGGCAGTTTGGGTCTTTTATATTCACTGTTGCATACTTAAAACTTAAAGTATTCTATGCCATGAAATCCATGCTTGTGCTTACCTGACTGCTGGATGACAAATGCAGCCTTCTTCACCTCATCCTGTGACCGGCCATCTGTGACCACAACCAGCACTTTTGGGACATTCTTCCTCATGCCACTTTCCCAGGTCAAGACCTTCTCCTTGATAAACGTGAGGGCCTTGCCTGCAGAGTGGGGTATGAGTGCTTTAGTGTCACCTCAGCGAGAGCCATTGACCATGCCCAGGTGATAGGGGGATGACGTCAGGAGGAGATGATAGCTGGCTTCCTTCATCCTGCCAAACCTAGGAAGAGGAGGCCACACCAGTGCTGCCCCACTGTACCTGTTCTTGTGTTTCCTCCTCTGTACCGAATGTTCTGGAGGGCTCCGAGGGCTAGAGCCTTATCGTTGTATGTGTTCAGCTTGAACTCAGACTTGACCTCATCACTGTACTGCACAAAAGAAACCTGAAAGGAAATACATTTAGAGACAAGTGTTGGTTACCCAGTTTGATCTTGGTCTTTCAGTGGTTGCTCCAGTGGCAAAGTGGAGACTTAAGGGTTTTGGACTTAACAAGATATTTTAACTCTTAGTACTGTAACTGTGACTGCTGTGGTCTCACTGCCTTCTCTAGTTTCCAGTCTCCGATGAAACTGCAATCATTTACATTAATGCCGAAATATTCATAGGAGCTCTTCTCGAAAATGTTAGAAGAGATGAGTCAAGCAGGGTAATAGTGATATCCCAGTGTCGGAAACCAGAGCACACCGGCATGACTCATGAACAGTTGGCTCTCAGCCACCTACACCTTCTCATGGACCTCACTTGTTCTTCAGAGTAAATAAAAATGTCATAGTATGATCATAATCTCTACTCATAACAAACTTAGTAGCAGTATGATTTACTGGAAAGTGTGATTTAGTGGTGTGTAGTCAAGATTCACCAGGCTCATATCCTAATTCTGTCTAACAAATAATAGCTGTGTAATACTAGGCAATTCCTACTTTTCTGGACTTTGGTTTTCTTATCAACAAGATCAAGATAATTATATTTACCTTATAGGATTGTTTAAGGATTGGTAATCATTTATTTGAGTAAAATTAATAAAACACAATAGCTATTGTTTATAGAAGTACAAGAAATAGATAACAATAGCTTGGATGACATTCTCAAAGGAGTTTAGAAGATCACAGAGTTTAGAGCCACTGAGTGAGGATGTTTAGCTGTTCATGGGTATGCTGGAAACAGTAGAAGAGGGTCTTAGTTTTGTGGCAGGTTACTATAAAATGACTAATTACTCTTTGAGGCTTCTTGTGGAAACATAAACTTCTCTAAGCTCATACTCTAGTACAAAAAAAAATACATTGAAAGTGATTCCATAATAATATAATTGGTAATTACCAACTTAGAAAAACAAACTATCCTTTGGGTCACTAATGGACATTCTTCTGGCTGGGATAATGTATGCGATGTAATAGTAGAGTAGACATACACCCTTTCCAACCACTGTTCTCATGTTAAGGGCATGACATGACAAGGCATTTAATGTGCAGAACTTTGGATGACCTTCCACGGAATGTGCTTTGTTGGAAGTTTCAAGTAGGATATTAGAGTTAGAATCTCCTAAATTCTCCAACAGGAATATCATCTAGACAAAGAGGAAAGCTAAAGGAATATTTGCTTTACTATTTGTTTATCCCAAGCACCAAATTCCTCCCCAAAGACACAAGTAATGGATGTAGCAAACCATAAAGGTAAAAAGACAGAGTTTATGAGGAAATGGTTTTTCTACTTTAATAGAGTTGAAATAAAATAGTGTACATTACAAATAATAGTAGACACTACTAATAATAAAATAATGGGACACTACAAACAAGCCGTCAGTGGTGATGCAACACTCACCTGGATCCCACCAGGGTTGACTTCATCAAAGGCCCCCACAGTATTAAAGATAAATTTTACAACTTTGTTAAAATTGTCATCTCCAATACTCCAGGAGGCGTCTGTCAAGAACACAATATCTGCCTTGGCCCCTTTGCACACTGGAAAAAAAAAAAGGAAAATCCAAATCTCCTTAATTTTCTCATCACTTGACACTACGTAATTGAAAAGCATATAAAACCTCACTACTCAAATGGTGCAAATGTACAATAAAGTTGAAAAGCCTTGATCTAAGTGACCCTTAGTTTTGGCTCTGGGATACAGTGATTAGATTCATTATGCAATGATATCATCTTGCCACATGCAATTCTTCAAGCTGCTTCAAACAATAAATGAAGGGAATCAAATGAAATGCAATAATATCCTAAACTAAATGAAGGCCATCCGTGGGTCTGGAGATTTTTTCAATATAATTATCAAATATTTAGCACAAAATAAAATGTTGTCTTTACTTTCAAATTAGATCATCAGAACCATAAGCGGGGAAAGAAGGAAGAAAAAGATAAAATCTTAAATTGGACTCATTTTGGACTTGTAACCTTAAAAAACCAAGTTCTAAGGCAATGTTTAGAAAAATTTAGTTCATCCAAACTTAACATATAAAGTCTAACTTCAAGGGCAAGTTGGAAGGTAAACTATGGGTTGTGGATGGTAATAAATGTGTGAATGGAGCTCCAACCTCTGTTACAAATGCACCTATCTGGTCATGAGAGTGATAGATGGGGAGAAGGGTAGGGACCAGGAGTAGACGGTAACTGTGCTTTCTGCTCCATGTGCTGTGAATCCAAGACGTCCCTGGGAAACAAAGCTATCTCTTTAAAAACTTAACATGTCTGAAGCCACCATTTTTTCAACAGTCTAATTTGAAGAGAGTCCTTATTTTACCCTTTAAATATTATACCTTAATTTTTTTGTTTCATTTTCTTTTTTGGTTTTTCAAGACAGGGTTTTTCTGTGTAGCCCTGGTTGTCCTGAAACTCATTCTATAGACCAAGCTGGCCTCAAGCTCACAGAGATCTGCCTGCCCCTACCTCCTGAGTGCTGGGATTAAAGGCATGTGCCACCACACCCAGCTTTAAGCTTAATTTAATTTTAGTTTATAGCAGTTTTAATAAGGGTCCAACCAAGTAGATCCTTATAATATGAAAAAAAAAAAAACGCTTTGAAAAATTTACATGTTTTCTAAAAACCAAAATGTGGAAAAGAATAAACCAGCAAGTATTTTGTCTGAACTGAACTTGATGTAACACTAAAAAAAGAAAAGAAAATGCCCCCAAATTACTGAGACAGCAGCGTTAATAGCTCAGTGTGATTTTACTAGTTCACTGCAACTGACAATTGAGTCTCAGATTTTGATGAATGGAAATATTTTTAGCTTTGTGTCATCTGGGTCTCTTCTCAGTTCGGGAGCCAGGAATTCTGAAGTCAAAGGCCTAAGTGATTAGGTTTCAGATACAGCCAAAAAGAATCACAGCGCCTGCTGATGCCAGCAGTAGGCAGAGAAAAGGGGCCCCAGTGTGGCTGTGGAAGATGGAAGGTCCTGTTAGATCTTCTGCTGCGAAACTGAGGAAACAGAGTCCCAGCGAAAGGCCTGGGTTAGTTTATGACTGATTTGATTCACCCCAAAATGTGCCTAGAAAAAGAGGAACAAGTTACTGGTAATCGTGTTTTCCTCTGTAAAATTTCCTCAGCAGAAATAGTATCAGAGTGTTCTGAATCAGTTGTAGGTTGCGTGCATATGGCATAATTCTAGGATCCCTACAGGCTGACTTTTTAAGGTGAGCTTCACTTACCATCCCGAGCAGGTGGAATAGTGGGAGGAGGAGAAGGTGTGGGTGGTTCTGTGGGAGCTTCTGTCGGTTTTACAGCTAGAATTCCAAAGGCATAGTTAGAAAAATGTAACACGCGCGCATTCCCTATCCCACAAGGAAAGGAGTACTTTAACCCGTTAAGAATCAAAACCTAGAAAGCAGAGGTCTGCCCCACTGGCAATGACTGGTGGGTGATTCCGTTCCGGCTAGAGTCTGTATCCCCAGTCAGCTCTCAGATCAACTACGCTACAGAAAGCAGAGGTTCAGAGGGAGAACCTGAGACCTTCAGAGAAGCCACATGAGTAATGTGTTCACCTTCTCACTATCGTCAGAGCCATCTCTCCTTTCCGCAGCCCTTTCCTTAAAACACCACCAATAAAGACAAAGGTCCTGAACCAGACCCATCATCCTAGTATTTCTACCCCAGGGAGGAAGGGCCTGCACAGGTATCAGTACACCTCTCACTCTACTCTCCAGGTGACTCAAAGCTTACTGGTCTGTTCCTTGATGGGGACGCCCGGCCCCTCCAGATTTGGTGTCTGCACAAAAACAGTAACGCCATACTCAGCCTCTGGGGAGAGGCCGGTGAAGCAGTGGCTGGTTTCTGATCCTCGCACTGTGATTTCTTGTCCTCTGGTTCCTGGTTGTGACAACATGGGGGGAACGCAAGGGTTATCATCCATTATCTCTAAGGCCGTGTTACATGACGGTTTATCAACAAAAACTCTGCGGGGCTGCAGGGTGAGATGTTTCGACTCCAGCCTCAGTCTGTTTTCTTGTACACGTACCATCTGCAGGACTCAGTTTCAGCCTGTAGGAAGTAGCTGCCCGGTGAGGTGACCATTTGACACAGAACGTATCCCATCCAACCTGGTAAGTTTTCAGATCTGTCACGTTTAAGTACACTACAGAAGAAGAAAAAAAAAGATTCATTTTGTATACTAAAGGGAAAAAAGCATACTTTTCACTGTAATACAATGTTCAAGTATCCACAATAAAAGAAAATGAAAATAAATGCTTGATATCTATCTCATAGTGTCTTGTTATCAGAGACTTACATCAAACATGTATGAAAATGTGGCAGAGACAAAATCATCCATCAGTGATTTTCTTTTCTTTTTTCCTTGAGACAGAGTCTCACTACATAGCTCTTGCTGTCCTAGAATTTACTGTGTAGACCAGTCTGGCTCAAACTCAGAGACATCTCCCTGACTCTGCCTCCCAAGTGCTGGGATTAAAGGCATGCACCACTATATCTGGCTTCCATCAGTAATTTTCAAGGAAAAGAAATCATATAGGCCCTAAAATTTATGAGTGTCATTTACAAAAAAACAATAAACTTTTCTGAAATACTAGCTGTTACTATAATACTCATTAAAAAATTTGGGGACAATAAAACCTAAGGGACAAATCACTGATTTGGTATTTCTATCAGATTATATCAATGAATGCAAGTGATACATATGTTAACATCCAATGTCAAAAAAAAGTAACACAACTAGACACAGTTAAATGGCATTGTATAACTTTAATATTTTAAATATCAAAATATAATACTCTGTATCAAATAAATATCACTCCTTCCTCCTATATACATGCATATAATCTACTAAGTTGCTTAGAGATTTATATAGATGTTTTGTTTAACTGAACACAAAATGGTCTACCAATGTCATACTGCAGAAAACATGTACATTAGGGAAAAGTAAAATTCCAAAAAGATGGCCTGGAAAGTTTTACTCCACCATTTCTTATAATCACAAAGTGATGCACAACTCACATGTGGTGCCTTGATCTGTGAGAGGAATACTGAGTCCAGAGTCATACTGAGCATAAACACTGACATCATAGGTAGTGCTGGGATTGAGATTGTGTAATGTGTATGATGTCACTTCTCCAACAAAGGCTTCCATGGGCTCATTGGAACCTTTAATAACAACAAAAGGACACAGAATTACATAATCCCTAGTCAGTTTTTGCTCAAAATTAAAGATATTAACTTGAAAAATCAAATGGTAGGATTTTAACACATGAATTCCAATAGTCCTTTGGGCACTTTTTACTGTAGAGGTGCCACATTGTACAGTGACTAGGAACCTGCAAGCACAGTCTGAAGTCTTATCCTCAAAGCAGCGCACAGTATAGAGAATAAGGTTGGCATGGATCGGTGTCCCTTTAGTGAACCCATTCTCTTTCTTTAAGCCTTGCTTTTCCAGCCAGAATAGTGTTTTCCACAGACTACAGACTCAGCTAACATTTGTATTTGTTGTAGCAATGATCTAAGAACATCTGTCTTGGACCACTTCCACATTTATTATTTACTGGAGGCCCTCAATTATCAAAGCCCCTTCACACTTCAGGTTCTCTGTATGTATCTGGCACAGGTTCACATTTGCTTTCTCCTGTTTTCTCACCTTTGCATTGTTCACAGTCTCCCAGGGCACATGGAAGATGCCCGAGGAAACTGGACACAGACAGATAGAATATACAAAGACATCAAATCGTTTTTTCAAGGTGATGGTTATTTAGCTGATAATCTCACTGGGGAGTTGAAAGCAAGCCTGGACAAACCACACTGCATAAAACCTATACCTCAAATGGAATAAATTTTTAGTGCCATAGGGAAAAATACACGTTTACATGGGCTTAGTATTATTATTTCATGATCATAACAACATAGATGATGCCTGAATATAAGCATCTTCAATCTGTTCAACTTTGTGTACTAGATAAAAAAATTTTCTCTTTTATATATAATATTTGTATCAATTCTTTGAGAATTTCACCCAACGTATTTTGATCGTACTCATTTCCACTCTTCCCCCAACTCCTCCCAGATCTCCCTCTACTACCCCACTCTCTCCAAACACTGTGTATTCTTTTTGGTTTAGTAGCCTACTAAATCACATTATTTGTGTTGACTACATGCTCTAAAGTGTGGGGCCGTCCATTGGAGAATGGCCACAGATCAAGATTTTCAATTGTAGAAATTGCCTCATACACACCCGGAGTAATCATGATACTTTAGGCTGATGACTTAAAGACTGTTTCTGGAAATGGTACCTCTAGTATAAAAGGTCTTGATGTGTTTACAGGAGAATCCAATAGTTGGGAGTGAAACAGGATACCATCAAATGCAAATAACTTGCCAACATATTCCTATTATGATAAATGTGATTCCTTACCCACTGGCTTGTACACAATTTTATATCCAAGAACTGGTGAGGGTGAAGGGTCCCAGGACACTCTGAACCTTGTATACCATTCATCAGAGATGTGTATGTTCTGGGGAGGAAGCAATCCCACTGAAAACAAACATTGGCAAACATCACTGCCTTGTTAGGACATTTCTGTGAGAACAGATTAATTTCTAATAGCCTATAGTTTCTTTATCCAGAAGATAATTAAAAAACCATTGTTGAGTTCCCAAAAAAACTTAGCAGTTTTTCAAATTCAAACAGCAATTCAAATGGACTCAAAAATGGATGATGTTCAGAAGATCTCAGTAGCAAGGTCCAGGGGTGGAGTGCAATAAGGCTCAAAACTGAAGACAATTAAAGGGGTCTCAGAATCTTCTTTACAATGTATGTACCACACACAGTATTAGAACCAGAGGGTACTTTAGAGACTATCTGGTAGATACGTCCTTACATAAATAAGATATAATATTCACAAAAGACCAGCAAAAGAGTGACTAAAGTCACATTCTATCCCTACCCTCCCTGTCCTCAGTCAGCCAGAGGTTTTACCCTAAACCTATAATCTTACCCAAAATGTGTAACTTGGAAAATCAGTGCTGTTTAGGTGGCATTCTACAAGCCGTTGAGTTATTGCCCGCTGCATTAAAGAAATTACGAATGCAACATGAAAACTTTGTTTCCATGAGGGAAATTAGACATGGCTTTGGCCCTTCCTAGAGAATTCAAAGTTTATTTAACATTTTGGTAAGCCCAAAATTCTGGAGTACTCCATTTTCCCCAGAAAGTTATCAAAATATATTTTAAATATGAGAAAGTAGGAAAGTGGGTTGCTAAGCTAGAAACATCTAGTCACCAGAGCATCCGTAAATAACACAGATTTCCAGGCTGTAGACACGGATTTGAATCAACTCCAGTCAGTTTTTCTGTTAGACGTGCCCCAGTATTACTCTTTACAAGTTCTCTGATGTGGTCAAGAACATTTTAAACCCCAAAAGACTTTGAACGATGAAACTAAGTAGATTTTCTGAATGGAGTAAGAACACACAATGTCGGTATTTACAGAACTGGAGCCCAGCCTGCCTTGTGGGAACCTATGGCTTCTCAACCTTAGCTGTTGCACATCAGAAGAGCCACAGACCACACCTCGGGGCAAGTGCATTGGCTCCTCTGGAAGAGGCTCCCAAATAAGCACTTTTTAAAAAGATTTTCAGGTAAAAAAAAAAAATCAGAGAATCTTTAAGCCACATGAAATTGCCACCAATACAGAGTGGGCCAGAACACTGGTTACTCTCTGTAGATTATCTGAAATGATAATTTTAAGTTACATTTTTAGGAAGATGATTCATAATCATTTTGCTTCTTTATTTGCGCATTGGGACTCAATCATAACAGAGGATGTCTATCTAGCTGGTACTCCATTAAGTTACAATGACACCATGCATCAGAGCACACTATAAAGAAAAGTAAAACGATCTCAAGCAAAGGGAAATATGCAGATCCTTGTCACCCTCTTTCTCCTCTTATTATACTTTTAAAAAGTTAAGACATAAATTATACCCTCATGTCATCATTGTAACAAAATTCAGTGTCTAACATAGACTATGACATGTGTTATTAATGTAGTAGATGAGATACGCTGGTGAAGACAAAAAATCGTAGTTTTAAATGGTATCGTGGCATTAAAGGCATGAGCACTTCAAAGAAGGAAAAATCATAAGCACACTGACCGGTCCTTCCATTTCCAGTTAGATGACCACCATCTCCATCCTCATAAATGGCAATGACAGTAATTTTATATGGAGTGTCAGGTTGCAGGGGCTGCAATATTACATTGTTTCTCCTGCCTGGGACTGTGGTCTGTAAGGAAAGTTTGATTATACATTTATTTCCAATAAGAAAACACCTAGATCAAATAGCCTATGCTGTTTTTATATAGTCCCATGAACAAAAATGGATTTTTTTATGCTTTCCTTTTCTTTCAAAATGCTCTGAGAAAGGCAAATTATCTAGCCTGCCTCTACACAGCTTGGGAGAATAGTTTAAGGCTGGACAGATCTGGGTTCAAATCCCAGATCAGCCACTAAGCAGTCATGTAACTGAACATCACTGGAGGAAAGTATAAACACTAAAGACAATAACACACATAACATACATCCCAGAGTGCATCACTGAGCCTACCACGTCTGATTTTGTCTGCCTCATCTTTCATCATAGCACATCACATTTCCAGGTAGAGGACATGCTGTGGACCAGGTACTGTCCATCAGCAAAAATGGACAGTTTTCTACCCTCAAGAATATTAGTTTAGCTGATACTAATTAAGTGTAGGTTGGAAAAAGAGGAAATGGAAAATGTATTAGACTCCCTCCTCAAAGATGAATGGACCAGTCATTTCTCAACCTTACTTCTAGTCTTGTACAAACACTGTAGCTAAGCCTCCTGGCCTGGAATCCCATAACTACAAACAGTGAAGTGCTAAAAGAAATTATATTTTCAATGTTTTCAGAAAGCATGGGAACATTTTTTCCCAGCAAGGAAGAAAAAACATTAAACATGAGTAGTAAAATCACTTATCTCATTTTGATTCTTAAAATTCTAATTGACAATTACCCATTTCTTATTAATAAAACAGGACTTCAATTAAAGATTGCTGTGTCTTAAACAAGAGATTAAATATTTCTCCATGTGAAATAAGTGTATGGAAGAAGAAAGATTCTAAGAGGATACACACCATGAAAGGGCTGCAAACCGCAAATCTAACTACTTTACAGTCACCATTTGAGGTAATCCAGGAGCTTATCACAGAAACCAATCGGTAAATGTCAGTGTGCATGGTTTTCCAGCTATAATGAAACTCCAAGAAACTTGAGGGGCTAAATATGGTGGCCCCAGGGTGGAGTGCTTGACTAATACACACAAGGCCCTGGTTGATCCCCAGGACCACACAAAGGAAGAGGGAAAAACTTGAGCCTGTGTCTAGGGAGATACAATGTGCCACTGCAAAGAGTTTGGAGAGACTAGTGATATAAGTCACTAGGAGAGAGATGGTTTCTCATGTCCAAAGTCCTGAGTTCAATTCTTAGTCAGAGAATCAAAGTAAAAAGGGATGGAAGGAGGAAGGTAGGGAGAAATGGAGAAAGTCAGCTTAGAACTAACTCACAGGAGATTGCATACATTCCAAAGCAAGAGTGTAGAAAAAAATGTGAGTTTAGAGAAAATGGAGACTGGGACTGAGATACTAAGGGGAGACCATGCAGAGGAATTAGACTTGACGGGTATGGTTGGAATAATCCCATCATCTGCACATTAATTTGGATGTTACAGGTTAATATATAGCATGTTATAGTAGACCTTTTAATGTAAGTAGGCAGTTACAAATATAAGACAGTTTTTTAATCAGTCCTTATAATAGAAATGATTCCCAAATTGTGTTGTCCCACATATCACATCAGCGGAAACTATGTAAACTCTGTCACACAAGATCCAAGGGCTCAGTAATAGCTTAATTACTTAATTAATTCTTCTTAAGAAGAAGCTTAATATCACCCTCCAATGAGGTGAAATGATTTTTTAATGACAATAAATGGGTATTATACGTACATATTCGTCAATTGGATCACCGACGGTAGGAGAGTAGATGATCCTGTATTGCTGAACTGGCCCATCAGCATGGTCCCAGGCTACAGAGAGGCTGTTGGTCGTCTCTCCAAAGACCCGTAGATTCCTTGGACCACTTCGTGGAACTAAAGAGAACACACTTGTGTTTGCTGCTTGCCTGACAGCATTTCCCAGGTCGGTTTACAGAAAGTGCTTAGAAGAGCTTCACCGTTCACGATGGTTACTCCCCTGTGATGCAGTACAGATTCTTCTGCGGTTTTAATGTTGGCATCACCACACAGCATAGCATGCTACATGTCAGAGCTATAGTTACAAGCTGAGCTTTCAACAAAATGGAGCTTGGTTTGAGCCTAAATATGCAGACTGGGAAAGAAGAGGATCCTTTTAGGCACTGTAACATCCTCCACTTAATGAAATAGAGAGACCAAGCCTTCACATTTCCAAAGTGCCTATTTGGCAAGAGAACCCACTGCATTAAAAAGGAAGAGGGACAAAAGAGGAAAGCCCTCTTTCATTTGAGCCCAGATTTTTATTTTTTTTAATGATGAAATTAAATTCATCCAGCGAAAGAGATGGCTGTGGACACATAGCCTGAGCCTGAAACGTATGTGGGAAATCCCAGGCAGAACTACATGCAGAGGCTACCCTGCCCTACACAGAGTCCTTGACATCCCTGACTCACCACCACACCAAGCACTCCTCACTCAACGACAAGAGATAAAGTGGAAAAGGGATTTTTGCCTCACGTGTTCGGCCCTGGCTGGGGCTGGGATTCCCCTCTCCATCTGAGTAGAGAGCCACAATGTTCACAGAATAGGGTGTGTCAGGAATCAGCCTCTCCAGATGCACCGTGCGGGTATTCCCTGGCACCACAATCTGAAGGAGAGAAAACACGCCAAAGTCTGTCTGAGAGCCACCCAAGTGCTTGCCAGGTCTTCAGTTAGTCAGCATAACAGTATTTATCGTGAAAGGCTGAGCCCAGGCACGTTAGAAGCCAAGTGTGCTCCTCTGCAAGATCTGCCTCTAGCACATGATTAGATGCAAGTTATTCTCAGAAATGCCCGTATTTGCTTCTTATCTCCAATTTACATTCCTCATAAAGACTTGTAAATGGAATATCTAGGATGCACATTTGCTCAGAGTAGATCCTGAATGTCATGTACATACGAGAGAAGGGATCCCATGCCAGTGCCAGAGAGATTTACTGTTAAGAAGAGAAATTTTGGATAATGGTAAAGTTGTGTGAATATGTCATATCAAATACAGGGGCATTAAAAATCAATGCTACTGCAGAATACACTCATTGCTTATCACTTTCTCATCTTTGCTCACCGTTGCTCGCTTTTACAGACTTGTCATTCCATAAATTCATTTCCCCTGCAGTGTTGTAATGCTATTATTGTTCACATAAGTCATTTCTGATTTGTATGTTATTGGCCTACTCACAAAACAAAACTGGAATTGTATCGGGAAGATGACTGCAAGTCTATAACCATATCATCCCAAATATGCCTGATTTCATCTGGTCTCCGAAGTTAAATAGTATGGCTAGCACTTGAATGAAATACTGAAGAGACACTGTAATTTGTAAGAACCAATAAAGGTTTACTTAACATATATTCATAGCAAGGACATGTGAACTTTCCTAATGCATCTATTATTGAAAATTCTAGAAATGGTATGCATCTCTTATTATTATTAACTCATAGCTAATTTGCATTTTTCCCCAAGTTCTTTTCTGAGCAAACTTATAATTAATATACCTGTCTTAACTCATCAAACACAGTAATTTAAATGTTACATACTAGCATATTTGTGGATTATATTCTTAAAGTTAATAATCCTAAATGTTACTCAGACATGCAACTATAATAATCAGGAAGTATAATTATAACAGTGACACCAATAATTGGCTTATTGTTCCTAGCCATCTGCTGTGGCAGAAGCCACAGCAGAATCTACAAGATTCTTTGCTGAGCTCTAAGATGATGAAATTACTTACAGATTCTGAGGGTCTTGTGCCAGCAACAGGAGAGTATACAATGCGGTACTGCTGTACTGGCCCTGGAGCAGGGTCCCAGCGGACATCAAGGCTGTTGGGCGTAGGGTTATACACTTGGATATTTCTTGCCAGTCCTCTCACCACTGAGGAAAGGAAAGCCAATGACTATTTCTCATGTCTGTTTATACATGTCAAGCTTTTCATCACTTTTCCACAAGTTACACTCTCTAATAGGATAAAATCCTATCCACTTTATGCTGCTATCTACACACAAAAGCACAATAAAACTCTCCCAACACAGAGTTAGTCAAAGTTAGCCTTTGCTGACATGGAGTCAATGTTGCTTTCAATAAAAATAAGTGAGTATGAGCAACAGGATTGGGCTGGCCTTAAAAGGACGTGGGACTAGGGAAAGGAAACAGAAAAGTAGCAGAGTTTCCAGTAAAGTAATGGAAAGATTTTATATAGCCAGAGGAAAGATTTTATATAGCCTGCCTTCTGACCAACAGAAAGATATGGAGCCCATCAGATTCAGTCAGCTGCTTTCAATCATTCATTCTTTCATTCATTCATTCCTGTCTTATTCAACACTAGCTATGGAATATCTTCTGTGGTTTAAAAAAAAAGACAAACGAGGAGACAAGTCAGTTCTCAATTAACTGCCACCAATAAAATTTAGAAAATTAAATCAAAATCCTAACCCCAAACTCTAGCTTAACCAACAGCATCATCTCTCTAGACCCCTGATCTTCCCCCAGAGGAAGCTACCCATGCTTGTTCCCCTTTGACCAGCTGCAAGTATGTTCTAAAAGTCAGGAAGATATTTATAAGTGTGCACAAAAGACTAAGCAATATCCAGAGAGAACAACAAGAGCATTTAAACTAGTTTATCTACATTAATGGTGAATGAAAGCACACAGATTCTTAGTACCAAAAGCACTTTAGCAGCAAACCAGAAAAATCCACAACCAGGTAATAAACAGTTTTCAACAACCTACACTATAAAACCCAATGACAAAATCAAGCTTCATTCAAACTTACAAGATGCAAAGCACAGCCCCATATGTTTTTGTCAGTGAAAGAGAATAACCGAGATCACACAAGGATTAATATGATATACGTTGATAGATTCTGAAACTATAATTTCAAAGTAATGCCATTTAAAGGTTACTTTATCCAACAGGTTAATAGTTGGTGTTGGAAATGTGAACTGTAGGTCATTTTGATATTTTTAATCTTCTCATTCTGGCCTTTTTTCTAATTTTCTTCCATGATCAATGAGACCTTTACAAGGTAGAGCAATGTCTATAATGAAAATTTAATTCTCCTGCTTTTGACTTACATGTCCTTCCAGTGTCTGATGTGCGTCCACCATCACCTTCTGTATAGACAGGAACCACTGTGACAGTGTATGGAGTATCTGGCTGCAGGTTCCTAAGAATGGCATAGTTGGTATTTCCAGGGATTGGTACCTAAAGATTTTAGTAAAACACAGAGCATTGAATTTGAAAATGATAAAGGAGCTAATCCTATAAATAATATAATGCCAACTGAAAATAACACCTCAAGACGATTGCTAGAAGTCATGAAGATTTCTCTTTATATAGTGTCTCCCTATATCTTCTACTTCAACCAGCACCCAAACCATGGTCTTCCTATTCCCTATGCTCCAAAGCACCAAGTATGGGTCCTCTATCAATTCCTTTACATTAATATAAATTCTTCCCTGTGAAACAACTTAACTCTTTCCATTTCCTTTTAAAAACCAATCACCTAAAGTTTAAACAGACTAGCATTTTCCACTTAGGAGTGAATTCGAGGCCAGCCTGGTCCACATAGCAAGTTCCAGGACAGCCAGGGATACATAGAGAAACCCTGTCTCAAAAAAATAATAATTACCAGTTCTTCTGGACCACCTGCTGTTGGGGCATAGAAGAGTTTGTACTGGCGAGGATTGCCCTCTGCATGGTCCCAGCGAACACTCAAGGTGCTGGTAGAAGGGTCATACACTCTCAAGTTCCTCACAGTATTCAGAGGTTCTGAAATACACAGGAAGTACACTGTAGTGGTGCTCTAACTAGCAAATATATCTGAAACACGGGTTAAACAGTATCTTCAGCCCACCTAGAACATAGTATACACCCTATAGATATTTATTAAAATAATAATTAAATAAAAGACGAGCACATCTGTGTTATGTGTGTCTCATCTCTCTGCCAGACATTTTGGTTCCCTGAACTTTTCTTTTAATCCTGGTAGAAAATAGCATTTTTGTTTACACAAATAAAGATATAATTAAAAGCAAGGACATTAAAAACAACAACTACCATCTTAAAAGATTCATCTATGGCTCAGAGAACATCGTGGACGAGAGGGCAGAGAGACTGCAAGAGCCAGAATATCAGGAAGTCTGCAGTGAAACATTTTCTCCTAAAAATGGTTGCAGAAACAGATCAGAACAGTAGCGATATCAATGAGCATTTAGACATGGGATGAGAACGTTCTCATGGGGTCCTACCCCTAGACAAAGAACTATAGACAACGATTGACTTCTGGGAGGAGAATTAGCCTCTCCCAGGGATGAGCCCTTTTACTGGTTGTTCAATGCAAGGTGGCCAGCCTTGAAACTATATACACACAAACAGCAAAAATGGACTGAGCTGGATGTATTTGCATATACTTGTGTACACACACACATACACACACACACACACACACACACACACATAACAAACACAATCAAAGAAAAAGAGGCTATTGCCAGGCATGGTGGTGCATGCCTTTAATCCCAGCACTTACAAGGCAGAGGTAGTTGGATCTCTGTGAGTTGAAAGCTAGCCTGGACTACATGGTGAGTTCCAGGACAGCCAAAGTTATGTAGACAGAATCTGTCTCAAATGGGGGAGGGGGGCTAGGGAGGAAAGGAGGGAGGGTAAACAGGCTTGACAGTAGTGAGGGGTCATGGGCAGGGTTTGAGGTAAGGGAGCTGGGAGGGGCTAGAAGGAAGAAAGGGAGCAAGAGGGGATGTAATTCTATTTCAATGAAAAATGTTCCTAAAATTTCTTAAACTTTTGAAAAATCAGTAAGATGTTCTGTTTTCTGTGTTTCTAGAAGATGTGATTTCATTCACGGTGATTATTAAGAAGCTGCACTTACTGGTCTTGCCCCTCCCGGTCATCCGGCCGCCTTCACCATCAGGATACTGGGAGGACACGGTGATAGTGTACGGAGTGTCAGGCTTCAGTTTCTGCAGGACCACGCTGTTCTGCCGCCCTCCGACCGTGGTCTTCAGGAAAACACTTCTTGGTAAGCATCAGCCTTACACTTCCCAACTCACCAGTTTATTAAACACAGCTCTTTCTCTGGGGGAACTATTTGAGACCCTTGCCAAGTTCTGAAACCATGTCCCACAATGAAGGCTTAAAATATATATCATGGCATAATTTTAAATGTAGAATATGTGTCTTGAGTCATGAAAAGAATTCCAAGCTTTAAACTGGAGACCTCAAAAAGATATTTCAACTTGCTAGCAGCCAGCATGGCAAACTTTCATCCAAAATACATTTCACAGAACTCTTCCCAAAAACACAGCATTAATCATAAATGAGTTTACAGAGTGTCTTTAAGATACCAAAGAACTGCATAATTTTAGAGGCTCCTCACCATTCAGTATTATTCTTGCTATTTTACAGATGTTTTTTATTTGCTCTAGAAACACATTAAAATGATTCGGCAAAGGATCTAAAGCTCTTGGTGTTTCCCCCAAACACTGCCATTCTAACAGCATTAGCTGTGTGAACGACGTGACCGGATCCTTCGCCAAGCCACACTCAGGCAGGGGTTCCCAGTGATCTCCGTGATACAAGCCATGAGGTATGAAGTGTCTCAATTTCCTCCAATTATGGAGTCTGAAGTTTTTTTATTCATTGCTCAAGGCCGTCTTGCTATCTTGTTGAAAGAAAATTTGTACGATTTGTTAACAGTCTACTGAATTCAGATGTTTATGCCATAGTAATTAAAATCACATGAAAATGGCACGAAAATGGCATGCTGCCCACAGTGAGTGCTCATGAAAATGGCTGGATGTATTAGCACTAACAGATGTTTCCAACTTAGCACCCATTCACTCAAACAGTCTGAGTTCTAGGCAGAGGGGGTGGGGGTGAGGGGACTCTGTGGATCGCTGTAGTTGTCTTCAATATGAAAAAACTGAGTTACAGTGGCTCATTTCAAACCATCTACTATCAGAGGCTGTGGGAGAAAGAGATGAGGACAGGTAGAAGCCATGTTTATAAAACTTTGATATGTAGCAGGTTGGAAGGACTTCTTTAGGAGAACTAATCTTATAAGGAAGGAAATGGGTGTCTACTTATATCGCCCATCCAACTTTCCAATAAGCCCAGAATTAGTGATTTGTTGCTTTGATTATTTCAAAGACTGGTATTCAAATGGGACTGGCACATAGGTGGTCTAGCTAAGTTCATTGGCCAGCGCCCCTTACTACATACATTTATCCACTGCCAACCTCACTCAGCTTTACTAAGTTTCTAAACTGGTGAAAGATATGATCTATTTGCTTGAGCTTAACACAATTAGTGATTAAAAATTCAAAAATTGTCTCTCTATGAGTTTATATGAGGAAATAATATAGCCCATGCCCCTGCCAAAAGCTGGCAAAGTTCTAGAGCTCACCAAAAAAAGACATTTGAAAATAAATCAGAAAATATAACCATATCTGTATAAAATTATGATGCTTCTTGATTTAGGATAAAGTGCACTTCATGAAAGGCAAAGCTGCAGGAATCCCAGACAAGCAGCTAAATTAAATAAGAGTAACAGACAAAGGTTCTATTAAATAAGGGAGGTCTGGGATATTAAAGATGACAGCTGAGCTCCCAGTGTTATCTTTTGCAAGGACCTTTGTTGTGGAATATTAGTTGAAAATGTGTTACATTCCTTCATGCTGTGGAATATTTGTGTAGTGATGCAAAGATGTGTTGCATTCTTTTATGTTGCATTTGTTTAACTCTGTGAAGCTGAGTTACTTTGCCTGCCTAAAACACCTGATTGGTCTAATAAAGATCTGAATGGCCAATAGCTATGTAGGAGAGAGAAATAGGCAGGGCTGGCAGGCAGGCAGAGAGAATAAATATGAGAAGAGGAGAAAGAAGAGGAGAAAAGGGGAAGGAAAGAAGATACCAGGGGTCAGCCACACAGCCAGACATGGAATAAGAAAGAAAGAAAAGATATACAGAAATAGAAAAAGGTAAAAACCCAGAGGCATAAGGTATACAGGATAATTTAAGTTGAGAAAAGCTAGCTATAAATAAGCCAGGATAAGACCAAGCATTTATAAGTAATAATAAATCTCTGTGTATTTATTTGGGAGCTGAATGGTAGGCCCCCAAAGAGTAAAGAGCAAAGAGTAAAAATAACCAACTGCAGACCTCCATTTTGTAAATATTTTTAATTAGGTCAGTGGGCTTCTAGATAGGGAAAAAATAGATCTGATATAATCAGAAATATTGAATATCTACATAGACTCAAAAACTTTCTAGATACCATTATGCTACTTGGGCACATGACTAATGTGTACTTACTATGAAGAGCAACTATCAGGTCTCACCAGAGCATTCTGCATGTCTCCATCATGCACTCCAGAGGGAGGGCCAGCTAGGCTCAAATGATTCTATACAAAACAGGAAATCCTACATTCCCTAACAAGGTTAATACTGCAAACACTCAGGGGAAATAGCTGAAGAGCAGCAGGCAGAATAGTTCCAACTTAAATATTCACAAAATGAATTACCGTTTGTTCATTGCCTTCTCCTGTGGAAGGTTGATGTGTGATTCTGTATTTCTGCACACGACCACTAGCAGGATCCCACTTAACAGTCAAGCTGTTAGATGTGGCATTGTACACCTGAAGGTTCCGTGGACCACTTTTTGGAGCTGAAAGATTGTTGAGAACATATTAAACACATAGAACAAGCCCTCCTTTTGCCAAAAACCAAAACCAACCAAACAAAAAACCTGTATAGTTTCCAAGGAAATCAAGAGGGTTACGTACCATTGAGTTTAGAATTAACTTTAAGCCAATAATATGGTCACTGAATATTAAATGGCTATTTGGTATGGACTGAATGTGTCAGTTGCTCCCAAACTTTGTCCTCTTGTATAGTGAAGCCCTAACACTCAATATGGCAGAATTTGCAATTGGCGCTTTTGAAGATGATGTCATGAAGGGGGGTCACTCAAATGAAATTAGCCTTTACAAAAGGAGGCATGAGAAAGAGAACTCATTTTCTCTCTGCCATGTAACAACACAATGAGAAGATGAGTACAAACCCTTCCCCAAGGATTGGCTGCCATCTTGTCTTGCTCTTGAACTTCCTATTCTCCAGACTATTTTGAGTGGTGCTAGAGATTAAAGGTAGGATCATGCAGATACTAGGCAAGTGCTGATATTTTGTTATGTTATTTGTTTTTATTTGTTTAGGGCACAGCACACACCTGCCACATCTTATATGTGGAGATCAGAGGACAATCTGGAGAAGTCAATTTTCTCCTTCCATTCAGTCAATACTGGAGCTTGATCTAAGGCTGTCGTCAGGCTTGATGGCAAGCACCTTAACCTACGGAGTCATCCTGCCTAACCTTTATACTTTTTTTTATTATGATTCAGGGTCTCACTAAATTGACCAGATTGGCATTGGACTCATGTTCCTCCTCCTCAGTCTCCCAAGCAACTGGGATTACAGGCCTGCAACACAAAATCTGGCTTCTGTTCTCTAGAGTTATAGGTATGTGAATGTTTGCTGCTTATACCATGCCATCTAGAATTTTGTTATGGAAGCCCAAGCTGACTCATACACTCTTCAACAAGTAACAAAAAAAGTAAGTATCTCAAGAAAGGTTGGTTTCGGGGAAAAAAAAAACAACACCTTACAATTAAAATGCAGAAGGTATGTTCACAATGCACTTTATGGCCCTATTTGATAATTTATGCCTTTTTTATTCAGTCTGGTAGGTTAATGTCTTACCTTGTGTTGTTAAGGGTATCAAACGCACTAAAAGAGAACAGAATTTGTAGAAACATTAGTGATGTAGCTAATGTAGCTTTGTTTCTTAACATTTAGCTTCAAACTATCAAGATCCTATTTGAAAGTTGAACACCTACGTGTGCGCTCACTGCCCCTCAGGTCATCACTTTCAGATTCATCAGGATAGATGGCAGTAATGGAAACTTCATACAGAGTGTTGGGGTTCAGATTTTCAAACACCAAGGTATTTTCATCTCCATTTACGATGGTCTTAGGCAAAGAGGAAAAAACATATGCACACTAAATTAATAATCTATTTATATTATGCATACCCAATGATATTGTGCTGACATCTTTAAGTAAATATTCCTTTCTGCTGTTCTAGGACATGAGCCCAAAGCCACTAGTCAAAAATGATATTTGTCTGTAGAGGAAACCTACAGAGACAACCAAACTAAACTAGTGGGAATTCACGAAATTCAGATCAACAGCTGTGGAGCCCACATGGGACTGGACTAGGCATTGTGCATAGCGAGACAGTTGTGTAGCTTGATCTGCTTAAGGGGCCCCATGGCAGTAGGATCAGAATCCATCCCTGTTGCAGGAGCAGGCTTTTTGGAACCCACTACCTATGATAGGACACTTCTCATAGCCTTGAGGCAGGGGAAGGGGCTTGAACCTGCCTCTACTAGATGTACCTCCCCATGGGAGGCCTTACCTTCTTGTAGGAGGAAATGGGGGATGGGTTGGGAGGGGGAAGGCTGGAGGGACAGGAGGAGGGAAGAGGGGGATCTTTGATTGGTATGTAAAATGAATAAAAAAATTCTTAATAAAAAATCAGAACTTAAAAAAATGTTTATCTGTAACAGAATGTAGTGCTTTGGATGAGAAATGTCCCCCATATGCTCAGGTATTTGAATACTTGATTGTCAGCAATCCTTCAGCTTCCTATTTGGCTGCATGCCTGCTTGCTGCCATGCTTCCTCACCACAAAGGATTCTTATCCTCTGGAATGTTAAGCCCAAATCAACTCTTCCTTCCATAAGTTACATTGGTCATGGTATTTTATCACAACAACAAAAGTAACTGATGCACAGAAGTAATATATATCTTAGCCATGCTTCCCTAGAAGCAAATGGAGACAGAATGAGACAGAAGAGAGAGACAGAGAGCTAACATTACCTCCATCTTATCTGGGTTTTCAACAGGTGCCCAGGTTATTCTATAGAGAGACACATCTGAAGCTCCATGGTCCCAAGTTCCCCTGAAACTCTCTGGTGTTACTTCAGTAAACTGTAGGTTTGTTGGTGCTGGAACAGGCCCTATCATAGAAAAGGCAAGAATCCATGTTTCAATGGAAACTATAAAATCAACTTAATATGATTAAAATGTTTTATTTTAAAGGATATGGTAAAACCTGACAAAATATGAAGCATTAGAATGAAATATTTTACCAGCTTAGCCCATTTGAAAAATAACATAAGATGAGCAGTGTATGGTTAAAATGCATAGGTTACTAAAATATGTAAAATGCATATTACTAAAACATAGGTCCACTAAAATGATGACCTTTTAAATTATTGTTTATTAATACTCTTCTATTTCAATGGTTCCCAAAGTTTTTGTATCTCCAGTACTTTGAGGATCTATTATAGCAACAATATACAGAGATCAAACTGTGTCATGCAATTAGACAGCTCATGGACCTCGATCGGTCCATCAGTAACCCCAGAGATCCAAGGGCTGAGATTAAGAGATATTTCATCTTAGAAGCAGTACAACAGATACCACTGAAATTCAGCAAATCATTGAGACATATATTAAAAACCAATATTCCAGTAGATTGGAAGAGCTAGAAGACATGATGGATTTTTAGATGGATATGACCTACCAAAAATAAACCACAGCTTAAACAGATCCACAAGCAACAGTATTGAAACCACAATTTAAAAAATAGTAAAAAGTTGGGAGATGTATTTATGTATGGCAGAGCAGGTCCTGTAGGAGTTGGAGGGAAGAGGTGGAGAATGTATATAATCAAAATAAATTGCATCCATCTATGAAATTCTCAAAGAATAAAGAAAATATTTATAGAAAAAATTCAGGTTGGGCACAGAGGCACATGTCTTTAATTCTAACACTAGAGAAAGAGACAAGCAGATATCTCTGAGTTCCAGGACAGCCTGGTCTACATCAAAAGTTCCAGACAAGCCAGTGCTATATAGGGAAACCCTGTCTCAAAATCAAATTCCAGACCCAGATATATATTCACTGCTGAATTTTATCAGACCAAATAACAAATAAACAGAACAAAACAAAACAAAAAACCTAACATCAATGATTCTCAAAATATTCCATTAAAAAAATAATAAAAGGGAATATATGCTACCAAACTCTTGTAACAAAGCCAGTATTACCCTGATCCCAAAACTGAATAAATACATAAAAAAACTATAGTCCGAAATTCCTGGTGAACATAGATGTAAAACTTATTTTTTTTTTTTTTTTTTTTTGGTTTTTCGAGACAGGGTTTCTCTGTGTAGCTTTGCGCCTTTCCTGGAACTCTCTTTGGAGACCAGGCTGGCCTCGAACTCACAAAGATCCGCCTGCCTCTGCCTCCCGAGTGCTGGGATTAAAGGCGTGCGCCACCACCGCCCAGCTGATGTAAAACTTATTAATAAAACACTTCCAAAACAAATTCAAGGACACATCAAAAAGATCATTGACCATGATTAAATTGGCTACATTCCAGCTAGCCAAGGATATAAAAGACCTCAATAATGAAAATATTGAAAGGCTGAAGAAAGAAATTAAAGAAGACACTAGAATGTGGAAAGACCTATCATATTTATGCATTTAAAGAATTTACATTGAGAAAATGCTATCTTACCAAAAGTTATCTACAAATCAAATAAAATCTCAGTCAAACTTCCAGTGCCATTCTTCACAGAAATAGAAAAAAAAATTAAATACCCAGATAGCAAAAGCAATCCTGAGCAAAAAAGAACACTGGAGATACCCGAATACAGGATTTCAAGTTATACTACAGAGCCATAGTATCAAGGACAGCATGGCACTGGTAAAAGAAAAAAAAGATACATACAGTTTAATGGAATAGAGAACCCAGATATAAACATATGCAGCTACACTCGTTTGATTTCAAAAATATACACTCAAGCAAAGACAATGTACTGAACAAACAGTGCTAAATAAACTACATACCCACATGTCTAAGAATGAAACTAAATCCCTATTTCTCATCCTGGAAAAAATTCAATCCCAAATGAATCAAAGGCCTTAATGTAAGATCTGAAAGTGTTAGATTAAAGAGTAGAGGAAACATTTCAAGATGTTAGGCATAGGCAAGGACTTTCTGAATAGCATTCTAGTCACTCAGGAAATAATGCCAACAATTGACAGAGGGGACCTCAAGAAATCAAAAACAACAAACAAAAAGAAAAAGAAAAAGAAAACTTCTGCACAGCAGAAATGCCTGCCACCACTCCTGAACTCTCAACATCAATCATATCTCCTGGTAATCAAAGCCAACTTTATATGAGTAAACACAAATCCATCCAAAGTTTGTTCTAATAATGGAGCAAAAAGGACCATGGAAATAAAGAGAGTGGTACCACTTCCATAGTACAACTCAAAACAACTCAACTATTAATCTCAACTTTAGATCTATTGAAATTTAAAATCTTAGTTTTTGAAAGAATGCATGGAAAGCATAAATTTCATTACTGAATGATCTATTTCCTGACTTTCCTCTCTTTTTATCTATTGTATATACAGAGCTGTCTAGTCTACTCACCATGTCATCTTCTTCTCTATCAATGATTTTTACCAGATAAGAGCTGACAGCAAGAAGACAATCAAAATGACTACAAGATTTCACATCATAACAAACCAGCAAAGTTTAAAAAGAGAGAGAAATGTACATACCTGAATTATGGAATGGGTTGTGACATTTGACAAAATACTCTGATCAAATATAGACAGACGGGCATCCACAAAGAAGCTGTACTTGGGTTCGGGGCAGTAGATAACCCTCTTACTGTATCAGAGGCAAAGATTCTGGACCCTGGCCTCTACAAAAGGTTCAGGCCTTAGCGCCAGTCCCACCAGTAGATTACTCATGAAGCCCAGAAAGCTATTTAGATTTTCTAGACTTGTGCTGTCCTATGGGAGACACTAGCCACATGTGGCTATTCAGAAGTTAGTGTGGCTAGTCTGAACTAAGATATGTTGTAAATAAAAAAAAAAAAATAAGAATTTTTACAGAAAATGTGAAATACCTTATTATAATTATGCTGAAGCATTGAAATGATGTATTTTATCATTTTGTGGCTTGAATAAAATCATTTATTAATTTTATGTGTCACTTTATGTTTTATTAAAGCAGATGTTGGAGATTTTTAAACTACATGCGAGGCTCCTGTTATTTGATTAGGATACTACTGGCTCTCAGGTTTCGTTTTAATCAATATTGTGATTAAGTTATTATAAGTGGAGCACTTGATTAGATCATTATATGCTTAGCACTGAGTTAAATAATTAAATTACAGGAGCGAGAAATACAAAATAAAATTCTCTGCCTTCATTGGGAAGGAACTGGAGGAATCCAGTAACTAGAAAAGGAAAAGCAGGCATAATAACTAAGTTTAAAACTACAGAAGTACCAAAGCAGAGAAAATCTGACATCCACGGAACTTAGAGCAGAAGGGAGCAAGGGGGTAGGGTCCCAGAAGGTTATCCTGTGTCTCTGTACCATGCTGCCACCAAGGCCACCTCCCCTCTTCTGGGGTCTGACTGCACATTCTGAGTCCCACTCACCTGATCTTACCATGACCCTGAGACTCTCCACTAATCTTTTATCTTGACAACTGAATTGTGAACTGCTGAAGGGAAAGAGGCTGATATTTACTGTCCAATAGCCTTTTACATAAGAAGAAAAACAGAGAAAGTAATCTACAAACCCTAGCTTCATTAAATGCCAGACAAAGAGCATTAGAAACGGAATGTCCTAGTAAGTAGATATTTGCAAGAATGTTAAATATTTCCTATGTGTCCATAAAACAGGGCACAACTCACGGGTTGTCTCATAAGCACTTGACGGAGGAGATTCACCCTCATCATACACTGCAGAAACGCTCACTGTATACGGGGTTTGAGAGGAGAGGTCTTTGAGGGTGGTACTGGCCCTTGATCTGTCCACCTCCACCTGTAACAGGAAGAAAGCAGTGGTACTACTCTTTAAAGGATTTGCTTTCATCTCTCAGATGCTTACTAGAGCTCTCAGCACAAGAACAGAAGAATCATGACTCCAAAAAAGTAGAATTTTCAATTTGCATAAGAATCCAAAGCATGGGCACAACTTAAATGTTTCCAGAAAAAAATGTATGTACTGGAATCATGATGACCTGATTTTCAGGCAAGTAATGAATGCTTATAGCAAGCAACCAAACCATTTTTTATCTACATCTTTTAATGTCATCGTCATATACATATACATATACATATACATATACACATATATATATGTATATATATATGTATATCTCACTTCTTGTGTACAAGAACTTTGTGAGACCCCCTGGTCATTAAATCCATTTGAAATGGAAACCCAAAATGAAATAAATGTACACAGACATATAAGTTCACTTTTGTGCAATACATAAATGACAAATATATACAAAGGAGTGAAAGTTTGGTTTCAAAGATGCCTCTAGAATTCTGGCATTAAAACTCCCTCAAGCATACCCAATTTTTAACCCAATTTTAAAGCCCATCTTCCTAGGAAACCACCTCATTTTGCTCCCACTTTGAATCACACTGCAGTACAAAAAGCTGTGTACCCCCAAAAAAGATCAGTCCAAAAGGCGTAGCACTCTAACAGCCTATTCCTCCTTTCTCTCTGACCTGCCCAACTGTGTCATCTTATCATTATCTAATATGCTCATTTCCCTCTTTGCTGCATCTTCTCACCACTTTATATTTTTAGAACATCTGGCATTTTTAGTCATTCATACACTAGAGAGCACCATATAAGGCAACTAGATGGGAAGGAAATACCACATGGATTCTATAACTCTTTATCTACTAAGGGATGATGTTTTTGAGATTAACATCACACAGCAGAACATTTCCAAACTAAATCTAACACAGTCCAATATATTACTGATTTTCAAAAGCATGTTTTAACCACACAAAATTTCCGTCTTTCATTAACAAAGTGACAAGTATTCAAAACACACTATCATCTATCTACCCCTGATAAAGTTATTTTGTTAAGCCTTGCACAAAAACAACTATTTCCATGTTTTTTCTCATCTCCAACCTACCTCTTTGAACTCCTCTTCTGGAGTTTTGTATCTAACAATGTATTTGCGAACTTTTCCAAGCACAGGTTCCCAGATGACATTCATGGTGCTATGAGTCACATCTCGCAGTTTCACATCCTGAGGTCTGGGTAAGGGTACTGAAGAAGCACAAGACGTTAGAACCAGATGTGAAGTCTCCACCACAGAGTCTTCAGCATTTAAACAAGCCTTCAGGAAGTTGCTTGAAGAGTGTATAGCTAGGGGTTTGTTGTTGTTTTGCTTTGGTTTGGGGGGGGGTTTGTTTTGTTTTTCAAAACAGGGTTTCTCTGTGTAGTGCTGTCGGTCCTGGATCTTGCTCTGTAGACCAGGCTGGTCTCAAACTTAAAGATCTGCCTGCCTCTGCCTCCCAAGTTCTGGGATTAAAGGCATACACCATGTCAAGCTTGATTTTTAATATGATAATAGAAATACCATTTTTACCAGGCAGAGTTGCTATATTCTCTAGAAGGTTTTTTAGAAATAGGATATATACTTTTGTTGCACTGCTAACTTCTTGTTTACATAATAATCTCCCAGTCTAGTTAAATTGCTTGCTGCTCAATCATAATGAATCATAAATTCACCATTTATATGTCTTCAGATATTTAAATAAGTTAATACTGAAAATGAAATCAATCAAGGTGTGCTCCCTTAAGGATGTTACAGAAGCTCTCTTGATTACTTTTCAGAACTTGTCTTTAAGACCCTGTTCCTGAAGACACCCCATATCTGAGTCATAGAACATGCATAAGTCAGGCTGGTAGTGACCAAAAAACTGAATCCCTTTTGATTAGCTTTCATAGTGCTAGAAGGGGTTATACACACTACCAGAAAGGAAAACCATCATTCTTACATAACTGTGAACCCTGAAGGCTACAATAATGACTGGCCTGGCAAGATATACTCACTGATACAATAGTGGCATGAACGCCATGGTAGTAACCAACTACTTTCTGAGTTGATTTGTCCTGCTCCACAAGATGAAATACATACTCATCAATACCATTACCAAAGCCAACAACCTGTAACTGGGCAGGTCCATAGGTGATAGATGGACCTTACTACTATTACTCTGATAAATAAATATAATAGTAAATCAACTCCTGATGACTTATCATTGTATCCATAGAGTAATGCATCTCTCAGCCATCACCAGAGAAGCTTCTTTCTGCAGTAGATGGTGATTAACACAGAGATCCACAACTGGTCAAGATGTAAAGAATGAGAGATTATGCCCTAAACAGTATCTGTATTACAACCTCTCCTCCTAAGGGTCAGAAATAATTTGAGAAAAGCGAACAGAAAGCTTTTAAGAGCTAGACATGGTGGATGACTACAAGGTAACAGTATTCTCCAAACTCAACAGGGCAGTTGTACACATGAACTAACAGGAATTGTGACCACATGCACAAGACCTGCGCAAGTTCAAGCCAGACAAAATCCAGCATGGAGATTGGAGGTGGGCAGGAAGTCTCACCCCTGCTAAGTAGCCGCTGGCAATTGAAACCTTCTGGGAGAGAGAGTGTGTCAATTTTCTTTAAGTGAGTGGACCCTGGTGTACTGACTGTGCTTTGTTGGATGCCCACATGCCCAAGAGTACATAGGCAGCACAGATTGGACCCAATGGGTTCAAAAAGGAAAACCAAACACAGAGTTGGGTGAGTAGAGAAGGGAAGTGGATCTAAGAGACATTGGGGGCTGAATATGATTAAAATACGCTGCATACATTTCTCAAAGGATTAATAAAAGAGAATATTATAGGGGATGCTATATAAAAATAGTTATGAGAATTAAAATTAAAATTGGCCAATGTTAGGTACCCACTAAGCTTGTGAGAACTGCCATATTTACCTAGATGGTTGGAAGAAAATATAAATGATAAAATTTTGCCAAATTGAACAAATTATTACCTTTAAAAAAGGAGAAGATAATGAACAAAAGAAAATTTCTTTGTTTTTTATCACAGGATCTTTCTACATAACCTTGGCTATCCTGAAACTCATTACGTAAGCCTGGCTAGTCTTTGAATGCACAGTAATCTACCTGACTCTGCCTCCTGAGTGCTGGGATTAAAGTTGTGCACTAACACCCTTGGCTTGCTTATTTATTTATTTATTTATTTATTTATTTATTTATTTATTTATTTATTTATAATTTTCTCTTGTTATAATGAATGTACCTCCTTCTAGCTGCCCACAGAACCATTCTCTTCCCAGTCACCTCAGAACATGTGTTTCCAATCTGAACAGAATCCCACCCTCTCATGTATCACTACCCACATCCACAAAATCTCCATCCCTGGTTTGGATCTAACACATAAAAGTGCTAAATCTCTATAAGCTGTTAATAAATTTATACTGCCAAGCTCCTTCTTTTCTCTGCCACATGATGTTTATGTTTCCTCAATATCTTTTTCCCCTGAAGTTCCTTCTTCAATTTCCTTAGAAGGGTAGGCTAAGGAGCACTAAATTTAAGTCATATATGGCAAAAATTTCTGGGATATATATATATATATATATATATATATATATATATATATATTCTTCAAGCAAAAAAAAAAACCAAGTACATGTCTCAAGGAAGGGAATTTATTAAACCCTCAGGGGAAAAGAACCATCAGTCCAAGACACTGAGCAACACATAGAATAACTGTAGACCAATAAAAGGCCTCTACACACTGCTTTATATCATTCAGTGGTATATCCCCAACTCCAAACCTGATGACTGGAATATAGCGCATGATCAATGTGTTGTAGGATTGAGGGGACTGATTACTTGACATACCTGGTGCCAGTTTCCACTTCAACAAAAACTCAAAATGCTCAAACTTAACCTAAATATCCTTCTCCAAACTATAGGCATACAATAGTCCTGGTCTCATGTATCTTACACACTGTACTTCATGGATTAAAACATGCAGTACTATTTCATATCTAGGCCTTGATTAGCACATTGCCCAGAGCAACTCGAAAACTCTGCTGATTACAAGATATGTCTCAATATAAGGCTCATTAAACATAGAAAGAAAGATAGATGGATGTAAAGACAGATAGATTGACTGACTGATTGACTGATCCTGACATGGCATGTCATGACAGAATATATAATATCAGAAAGGGTTCTACTTGGAGGAATAAAGAAGGAGAGTGGAAAGGGGACAGAGCAGTAGTAAAAGGACAAATGTAAGAAAAGTACATAGTATAAATACATGGAATGTCACAATTACACCCATTATTTCATATATTAACTAAAAAATAATAACTATAATTGTACATTGTCAAATTATCGCTAACATCACATGGAAGTATTCCAACAAATGTTAAGTTTAACAGCAATAATAAAGGAAAGAAAGCCAGCAACATCTTACACGTGACTTCCCGAGCTTTGGCAGGTTCACTAGTGAGGTCATGCAGGACAGCCTGGACAGTGACCTCATATTCTGTGTTAGGAAGGAGGCCAGTCAGCTGCACGTCATTCACTGTTGGCCCCACACGCATCTACACAAGGAAATGCCAGAGAGAAATAAGACATTTAAGTCAAATGCTTCCACTTACTGGGAGATGCAGCAGAAGTCTGTTAGTAACCACTAGATTAGAACACAGCTTTTATGTTAAAAAAAAAAAACTGGATTTTTTTTCTTTCATGCCAATGTTTAAAAAAAATGGGTTACAGGTCATAAACCTCATTTCTATTTTTGTTTGGGGTATAAATTGATTCATTAGGACTGTCAACCTATAAAGTCTGAGAGAAAAGCCGAGTGGTTAAGAAACATACATCTCTCACCTCTTTGGGTTTTGTTGCTTCAGGGGCTCTAACTGGTTGGTATGACACAGTATAGCCAGTAGCTCCTCCCACAGGCTGCCATTGCACATGCATGGTGGTGGGGCCAATGTCATAAATATTCAGGCTAACTACAGGGACTGGCACTATGAAAACACAAAAGCAGACATCGATTGAATCCATTCAAACAAATGTTTCCTATTTCATTGATTACATATATGCTCAACAGAGAATGTGTTACTTGAGAATTTAATGATCTACTATAGATCCCTCCACCCATAAAGACCCAATGTCTGTGTTCACTGTACTTGGTCCTCCAGGACACACATTCCAGCTATTCAAAAGAAGAAAACGCTCAAAGTTCAGATTGCAAACGGCATTCCAATGAAACCATATGAAAGCCAAAATAGATAAACTTTCTGAGACTTTAATCCCTCTTTCTGGAACATCACTAAGCTAACTATTTTTATTCTTTAGTCATAGAACTTCAGACAGAAGTTACCAACATATAATTTCACTTCATTCTTCCTTTAAAAAGACAGAAAGAAAAAAGAAAACATACTTAAGATGTAAGTTTCACATATCAGTGTCTGGAACATAGAGGATTTGTCAAAGGCTGGCAAAAATCTCCCATGTGCCCTGACCTCATTATCTTGAAAATTAAATAATGGGGGGTTATATCCTTGTGGCCATTTCCCATGTGACTTACGGGTTTTCTCTGTGCCCTTCAGAGGTTCGCTGTACTCGTCCTCAACCACAGAGTACACATTCACCACATACTCAGTCTCGGGCTTCAGATCTTTCAGCACTGTGCTTGTTTCTAGTCGACTCACATAAAACTGGAGGGAAAATAAAAGGAGTAACAGTCAGCTCCATTCTTCATGCTAGACCTCCAAACAGCCGTCTGCAGGTTTAGAAGGCATCTCAGGAGGCCTTGCCCTTTATTCTGAGAAATGACTAGATTACAGAGAGATCTCCGGTGATAAAGTAATTTATTTCCCCAGCTATCATCATCTATTTGTAAAATTAGTGAAATTCGTCATCCTTAGTAAGAGTCCCTTGTCAACTTTATGAGTCTAGTCCAAACTTACAGATCAATTAACTTGTTTGAAAACTCATACTGATATTCTGTGGTATTAAGAACATTTTTAAAAAGAAGCTGTTTCCCTTTAATGAAGTTCAAAGAGAAGTGCCTGCCTTGAAAGGAACAGAGGGTACCATTCTTCATTCATCTGTTGGCCCCCACCCAACGTTTTCCTCTGAGCTCTAATGAGAGGCACTCATGAAGAAAGAGTGCTTCCGTGTCATCTGCTCACCTCCTGGCGCTTTCCTCCAGAAACAGGGTAGTATTCCACCTTGTATCTGTCCACACTGTCAGAAGGAGGTGTCCAGCTCACTCGAAAAGAACGGTGAGTCCTCTCAGAAATAACTAAGTTAGATGGCGCTTCCAAGTCACCTGCATGCGGAGATAAAGTGTACACCCTCTTTCATTTCTGCAGCAAGGGGGTGAAGTATGAAATTAGATTGAAACGGCACTGACCTGCACAGAAGATTTTACAGCCTTCCCTTCACATGGGAAGAGGGTAATGAATCTATACAGAGGCCCATTGCCCATTGACCTCTCTGAACAAATGATCAAAGTGTTCCTTAGACTCAGAAGATTCAAACTCGAGTTTATTGTCCTTTAAACATGACCTCTTGTTCTTTATGAAACTACTAGTTAAAACGTCACCTAGACCCAAGACCTCTAAGTCATTTCTGGCACCCTCACCTCTCTCAACCCCATTCACATAATCAGTAGAAGGGACCTGAGTCCAGACAACTCAACTTTTCTGTTGTCTGAAGTTAGATCAAGATCACTAACCTATTACCATTTCTAGGCATGCTGTGTTCTATGACGATAACACTAGTTGCGTGTCTATGTTAAGTTTCCTTAGAGCACTTACTTCTTATGTGTTTAGTTCTAAGTAGGTAATAAGAAAATCTAATTAGGGCTGGAGAGATGGCTCAGAGGTTAGGAGCACCAACTGCTCTTCCAGAGGTCCTGAGTTCAATTCCCAGCAACCACATGGTGGCTCACAATCATCTGTAATGAGATCTGGTGCCCTCTTCTGGCCTGCATGGGATATGTGCAGACAGAACACTGTATACATAATAAATAAATCTAAAAAAAACTAATTATTTTTCATTCAAGAAAGAATAAAAATATTAACATATTTAAATATGGGAATAGTCATTTTAAAATAGCCAATGGCTGTGGTTTCTGTGGATAGGTAGGAGTAAATAACAGTATCTAGGAAACAACAATAGAAATGGACATGGTGAATACATTGTGGTGAACAGCATGATGTTGCACATAATAATGTAAAGAGAAGGGAGTCACTTCTATAAGTCCATGAGCACAACAAACCACTTTCTTATAAACTCCCTTGGGTTTCTTTGTAAGCCCAAACTGGGTGAGTATGTCTACTCTTAGCAGCCTAACCTTTATTGTACTTGGGTCAAAGTCAAGCTTGCAAAATTATCAAGTAGTTTTACTGTCTGGGAAACTTCAATGAATGCAACTATTACTTGGTTGATTAAAAAAAAGAAAAAAACAGATAAAAGATGTTTTCATCCCACTCAAAGTTCACTCCAATTGAATAAAAAAAGACAATTCTCTCAGCTAACCCAAAGCCAGAAGCCTACAAATTCTGGCTCCCCAGCTGGTCTATTTCTCCAGGGAAAAGGTCAGACTGTTGTTCAAAATCCAAAAGAGAAAATCTGTAAAAGTTTGGAGACAGAAGTTCAAGAAGGAACATGAAAAATAAAATGTGAATGTAACCAAGGACCCAAACATTGTGAAGCATTTCTGCCACACTGCTTACTGGATTTATCTTACTTCTCTGAAACCATTGTAACTTAATGACGGACTGTCTCTACACAACCCACATGCTTAAGAGAAATGTCCTTATAGTCTAAGGATCATGAATTTATGTATCATTATTCTTGCAAAGCCCTTCAATGTTGGTACTGCCCATGTCCTATCCTATGGTTTACACAGATATTAATCCATCTGTGCCCTCCCCTGTCACTACAAACTCAGTTCTGAAATTCTGTTTCTAAACCCTAATCCCTTTCCATGGTTACCTCATTCAAAGCCCCACAACATCCCTAACCATTTGACCCTAACTGGGTAACGTCTCTGGAGCTATGTCGTCACCAGTAAAAAAGGATTATGAGATTGAGAAAGGTCTCAACGTTAAGATTGTAACTTCCCTTCACATTCAGGGATGATCCGTGTAGAGCATCAACTCTGACAATCTACAGTTGAAGAAAATAAAGCAGACACAAGATGCCTCCTCTCCCAGGCTTAGACATCAGGGAACTGGAAGAGGCTACCAAACATTACTTAGCAAGTCCAATCTGTGAACTTGTTAAGTTGTAGCCATCAGTATGACATAGCACTGACATGATGCTACACCACTCCAGAGCAGATCTGTGCCAGAAAGGAAGGGGGGTCTATTAACTTTCCTTTTTTGTCTCCTCCCACTTTTGTGCATTAGCTGAACCATATAACCTAAATAAATCCTTAAATAAGTTGGAACCCATTTTCTAATTTGGTGACATTCCCCTCAAAAAAAATCATTAAAAATGAACTGAAGTAGAGATCCTTAACTAGGAAGTTCCCCCCAGCAGACATTTGGCAGCAGTGAAGACAATTCTACAGAAGTCTAGTTTCTACTATTTCTGTGAGGTTAAACTCATTCTAACTTTCCCAGAAACAAGATAAATTAATGAAGTGCAGATTTACCACAATCTTCCTATATAAAAAGGAAGGAATTTTCACATGTAACAGGCACAAAATTTTATAATTAATTTTCCAAAAAGCCTTCAAATGTTTACCATGTACCAGATGCAGACATCATAAATTGTAATGCTGTATCTACTCACCACAACTCAGGGGATGCTCCTGGCATCCAGGAGGCAAAAACCTCTCATGTGACTGAGCATTTCAGAGTGAGGTCCCCACCCAGATATACCAGCACCTGGCTAAGCTTACCAGGGCCCTTGACACTGTTACACAAGTTGATGGTGAGGTCATCCACGATCTTGGATAATGACTCAAAATCTGCCACGTTGTATGCATGGGTGTCATCTGGATCTGTAGCAATCATCTTTAACTCAACTTCATCAGCGTTCTTAATACCTTGGAAAAGAGTTAAGTACAAAATGAAAGCACTTTTCAGGAAAAGTTAATGGAATGAAGCAAATACATCAGACCTTTTCTAAATGTTCCACCACTGAGCCTGTATTGGGGTACACGCACATGAGCACAGGTGCTCACAGAGGCTTTTGTAGGCAAATAAATCCCATCGTATAATTTTATTCTTCTCAGATATAGTAAGGTCTTGATCATTCCAAAAACAACTAGAGCTGTAATTTCAAAATTAATATTAGTTTTCTCCTTTGTTACTTTCAATTCCTCTTTCACTAGACCTTTGTTTGGAAGGGTCAAGAATTCTACCATCTGTTGGTTTGAGTGAGTATGGTAATCCAATAACATGTTTAACTGCAAACATGTCCTCAGCACATCCGCCACCCGAGGGCATCACTGTCTTCTCCAGTGCTTACCGATAGCAAACAGTTCCACTCCTTCATCCTTGAGTTTCTTTGATGGAGCCTCCACATCATCTTGTGATTTTCCATCAGTAATGAGAACTCCAATTTTGCGAGCACGAGGCCTCATGCCAGCTTGGGTCTTGAAGCTCTGTTGGCGAATGAAATTCAAAGCCATGCCTAGTGGGATTTTTAAAAGACAACCAGTCACATCATTTCTCAGCTATCTGCCTGACCAAAAGCACATGCCAAAACCACACCAAAGCATCCTGACTTACCTGTGAGGGTATTTCCTCCTTTGTAGGGTAAATTCGCCACAGCCTGTAATAAACTCTTCTTGTCTCTGTGAGCATTTAACTGCCACTCTGTTCTGGGGTCTCCACTGTACTGAGCAAGAGCTAAAAATAACACCACGGACGTTAGGATGTGTTAAAGATCACAATCAAATTGTCAAAGATCTTCAGTGTTGTCAGAACCTACCAATTTGTACTCTCTTGGGACCAATTTCAAAGACTTCCACAATACGAGAAATGAAATTTCTCACAGTTCTAAAATTTGCACGGCCGATGCTCCATGACCCATCCACCAGCAACACAATGTCTGCTTCGGCTCTGGTGAGACACTCCATCCCTGACACAGCAATCATGAGATAGGACAGTAAGGAGCACATAGTTTGCAGGTTGCTCCCTATGCAGGCAGCCTCTGCCACCCACATTATCTATTTCAACACACCAGCTAAGCTTAGTAATTGAAAGCCACAACTATAATTTATTAATCTAAAATAACAGTCTCAAGAATCAATTTCTCCAAAGATTATTTCCGTGGCAAATCTTCATCTTTGACTATGTTTCCTGGCCATGACCATAGAACCTAGAGATTTTAATTAAACCATGACGGTCAGTTTGAAAGGCTCACACAATCAATACCTAAAATAATAAATGAGAATGTATAGCTATCTAACAATAAATATGAATAATTTGAATAAGATTTGGATTTGATATAAGGTAAGATATTGAATTCTTCACTATTTAAGATATTAGCAAACAAATATAAAATGGACTGATTAAATGTGTAAATTATAAATGGTTTCAGTGAGCCAAAAGTATCCTCTATAATAATTAAGCTGCCAGGTAACTATTACATGTTATAAGGAATCGACACATGACTCTTAAAATCAGAACTAGATGAAGTAAAGACACGTTTTGAAAATCTAACACATTGTTATATTATTCATTGTTAATTGTTTAACTTTTTCATCTACTGGAGATATCAGACAGCAAAGTTTGCACATTCAAAGAATTGAGGAAGGAGGAAGACAACTAGGAAAAGTATGCAAAGAAATACACAAACTGAGGGCTGTAGAGACAACAAGCAAACACAGATACAAAGCTAAGGTGCTTTGGGAAGAGAAAGTAATCCCAATATCCTCAGTGACAAGCTACAAAATAAAAATATAAGTCAGTTAATATCATCATAAGAGAAACAATGAAGCAATGCAAAATAGCAAAATTTGACTTTTTTATCCACATCTAACTTTAAATGCTCTTTTTTCTAGAAGCTTGTGTCCCCAGCTATAAAATTACCATTTATTGCAATGTTATCAGATCATGCTTATATCACTCTTAAAATGAAAGAAAATTAAGTAATGCTCATCACACTACCAATTACAAAGTACCATCCATGTAATACCTTCCCCAAGATGGAAGACTCCCAAATACTGTTCCTGGGACCTACACCTTCAAAATCTCTGCCTATGCTAAGACTTACTGGTTTCAGCAAATGAGTTTTTAAAAGTTTAGAAGTGAACTCTACCTCCTGCTCTCACCTCTAATTATATTAAATGCTGGATTTATTTACATCGAGCCTGTAATTATGGCAAGGGGCAGAATGTCTAAAGGGCTTGTGCTACAATTTTGTTTGCAAGTCATGATTGACCACTTTTTTATATGTCAAGCCTTCTTTCTCAGCCCAAATAAGCCATTGAAGTAAAAATATATAATTATTATAACAAAAGAAAATTGTATCACTAGAAATAAAAATTAGAAAGTGTAACTACTGTTGTTACACTTAATAAAAACTAATTTTTAAATAACAGTTTTTAATTAGTTAAAAACTGAAAAAGATAAGCCAAAAATAGCCTCAGCTGCAAATCTTGAAGCAGTTTTTTTCAAACATAAAATATGTGAATTATTTAAATAATTTGTAGTGAAAAATTATAATTACTTATCATTGTTTAATAACCTAACACAACATTTGAGACAGTTTCATATTACTATTTTCCTATGGCAATACAATTCAATTTCTTACCAGAGGACAAAAATGGTGTCACGGTTGTGTCAGAAAGGGTTGTCATTTCTTGCCCAACAAGTGGTAAACTTTCTCCTCCATCAAACATCCCAAAAACATTGACTCTATAGGTTGTGCCTGCCCTGAAACAGTGATGTGCAGAGTGAGTACGGACCACGGGCTCAGGGAAGCAGTTTTCATCGTGTTAAAGACACTCATCTTCACTAACAAACTTCACCCAGAGAAGCTTAAAATATTCAGTATTGTGAAAGAGAAAAAACAGTTGCCATCACATTCCAGCTTGATGGTGAGGAATCACAGGATGCTAGCCACCGAGCATTCCAGGGAGCTCCGGGGATTTACAGCACCATTTCTGGACTGGCTTTGCTGCCAGAGGCAGCATTCCCCCCATGCCCCTCAGCATGGGGAAGAAGGAGCTGCCTTGCTTCTGCTGCCTCTGAGAGGAAGGGTTTAAGAATGTTCATTGTCTGCCAGGTACTGAGCACTGGGCAGCATCAAACAGTGACATCACTAACCTTCATCCTATCTATTCAAGTGATAGTGAACAACAAGCACTATACAGGTTTAACATTATTAAATGAACACTTGAACAGAGAAGTTTCCAAGAGGAATGTACAGTAGCCCATTGGTACCACCGGATGGATGTGGAGTGCTGTTCAAACTCACACTCCCTGGTTTTCCAACTCACTGTCTACAACTAGACCTTTAATCGACCCAAAGCTGTTTTGCCAGCTGGCGACAAGCTCAGACTCTGGCCTGGGAGCTCCAGTATGCCTCATTGCAGAGACACCCACACGGCGGGGGGCGTGAGGGGGGGTGTCTCAGAATGAGTTACCTGGCCACACATTTCCACATGGCTGCAGTTGCGATGAAACTATGTGATATGGACATGTTAAAATCCAGATATTCTTTTTCTTTTAAGTTATCCCTGATCACTTAATAACAAAAATTATTTAAAAATACAAACTATTCATTCAGGCTTAATTCTTTGCTGGTTTCTGCAAACAGATATGAGGTAGTTCTTTGTGTAAAATCTACTAATTTATGTAAGTGATGTAATCTTTTAGCACAAATATAGGTATTCCTACCTAAGCTCCTCCAAGACAACTGTGTTGTCATATGGTCCAAGGACCAACTCCCCTAGTCTTCTGTCATCGCCTGTAGGATGGAATGTGACTTTGTAACCTTTCACTTCCCCAGGGGCAGGCTCCCAAGTCACTCGAAAACTTGACATTGTTGGGTCAGAAGTTTTGAGGTTTCTTGGTGATTTAAATCGAGAAGCTGTAAAATTAAAAAGTTTTTTTTTAATATTACCAATAAGATAGGCTTAGGTGTTTTTTTTATTAGCACCCACAAAAATACATATGTATAAAGAGTCAAGTCCAGATGTCAGTACAAAATGTCAGGTTAAATAAAAGCCCGAGAAATGGCTGTGGTACCTGAGCAGCATACACAATCCTCACCATTCAAGTAAGTCTTAGATTGATATATTAGCATGTAGAACCTTGAATCCAGGATCGTGTTCCTGTTGGGCACAACCCCAGATTCAATTTGAAATGTTCCCAAATGAAGCAGATACACTACAGCTTTCTTTTTAAGTGCACCATACTCTCTCCCCTGAAGGCATGATTAGAATTATTACTGTTGTATACCTGTTGTCCCTGATCCTTGCCTGAGCTTTCCTTCTCCTGTCTTATACATCGGGAGAACTGTGATGTCATACGTGGTCTGGGGTTGAAGTCTCTTTAGCACTGTTGAAGTGACTGTGGGTGGCACCTTAGCGACCATTTGTCTCCCTCCCTTTTGAGGGCGATACACAACACGGTAGTTGACGACTTTCCCTGGTGCTGGTTTCCATGTAACTCTCATCGTGTGTTCTGTTTCTTCGTCCACTTTTAAGGTTTTGGAATCTTGGGATACTATGGAAACAAAAAAATTAATCTATAGCATGTCAAAAGAAAACAATTTTTGTCAATCCCCTCCTTCACGTAAGAAGAAACTGGATTCTTAAGTGTGGACACAGATGTCTTGCTTAACATAGTAGTCTCTCTGGTTCGTGATGGTATGTGAGCCTAATCTCAGCATGGCCTCAGCAGGATGCTTTTGCTTTATCCGGTTAATACTAAAATATGAAAGTTCATATTGCAGGGATTTCCTATTTGCATTCTAGAGACTTTAGTAAAGAAAAAATCCATTTCCAATGATGTGGTTTTAAAATTTTATTGTGTTTTATCTGAAAAGAATTCCTCTAGTAATAAAACCACAAAGAATGCTAAAGATCAAAATAAAGAGTTAGAAATTTTATTCTGGCCTTTTCAGAAGAAGCTACAGTCTGTAAATGACTAGCCAGAGGTAGGATGATTGATATCAATCTCTGATTTCCTCGTGCATGCAAGACTATGAACACAAAAAGAGCAGGCAACTCCAGTAGGTGAAAACATCTCAAAGGCTAGCAGATGAAGGTATACACATCAAGTATTTCAGGACACACTGTGTATTAACATATATCTCATGTGTAGCTAATATCATCACTCAATTAGCTCTTTTACTAATATTTCACTATTACGAATAACTGACAGAAATAGATCACCAAACACCTTCAAACAACCAATATCCCCTTTCTCACAAATAATGAGTTTATCAGCAGGATCATTCAATTCAGTGCAAGAGTCGTAAGACTGGAAGACTCACAAGTACTACTAGAAGGTACTATAGCTGAAGGAAACAAAGTCAACTGTCTTTCCTGATTTTCAAAGAAATTTTCACAGTCAATGGATAAGAATCATAACAAAACAGCTTTAAATGGAGAGGAAAAAAACTTTGTTAAAATACTTTTTAGACAATAAACATCACTTAGCATCAGTGATCCCTGGTACTTTAGGAACAGACTCAGGCTAACTCTGGAGTGTTTCCATAAACCAACACAGGCAGGTGGGGTCCAGATGGAGCCCTGTGGTCTCCCTTAACTGAGGAGATGGTGGGAGTCCACATCAACTGGAATCCACAGAGAGAGCACTGCACTAGAGAGCATGCCACAAATAAAATGCTCCGAAAACATATAGAAGATCCTCTTTGGGTTCCCAACCCAGGATAAATCAGGGCATGTGTGAAGAAAGTACCAAAAACTGGCGAACACACCACCCAAAACAAGCATAACCACTCTTGAAGCGTACATGTGGCCAGAAAGTTTCCCCCAGCCAGAAGACCAAACCTTAGAACTGTGGTGATAACATGTAGAGTATACAGCAGGTGATTGCTTCAATAACACAGCAAAAGTGCTCCTAAACTAAAACAGGTCTTAAATTGAATTTCAAAAAGATCAAACTATTTCCAAAAAACTGTATTTCTAGATAGGGGGGGTAAGATCAATATTTATAGTAATATACTTTCCAGAACCCAACAAAATAAAACTCACAATATCTGGATTCAAATAAAAATTATAAGAACAAGAACAAATTTATTACCTAAATTTTGGGTGTAATAATTGTGTCCTCCCTAAAAATCATGTTGAAGCTTTAACCTACAATGTTGATACTTGCAGGTAGGACCTTTGGGGAGGCAATTTCAGTTAAATAAGTTTGAATAGATAAGACCCTAATTTAATGATGTCAGTGACCTTAGTTATAGAAAGTGAAGACACCAGTTCATGCTCAGCCTTCCCTATCCCCATCTCTGATGTAAAGAACCTGTGTGTGTGTGTGTGTGTGTGTGTGTGTGTGTGTGTGTGTGTGCACGCACTTGCGTGTGCACATGCAGGTGTGTTTATATAGGTGTGTTTGTAAGTCATGAAGCTAAAAAAGGGGGTTCATGAGAGAAGAAGAGATTTTGAGGGAGGATAATAAATAGAGTAATAAAATACTTGTGATTGGAAAACAGTAAAAGCGAATTAACTAGGGAAAGAAAGCTGGAAATGTGGAAGTTGGTAGTCTGGGAGGAGGACAAAGTAATACATACTGAGACATTCTATGAAGATGCCACAGTGAAACCCATTCCCTTACGTGCTATCCCAAAAAAAAATATTTTAATTGTATCTTACAGTAAAAGAGAAGAAAAATGAAATTTCTTCTCATTAGATTATCACTGTTTACAAACACTAAAATTGTTATGCATCTCTATTTTTTCTAACAGGTGCTATAATGAAATATATTGTATGATCTCCTATTTCTATCTCCTAAATTTTTCTTGGTAAAACAAGACATCTTTGTCATACACAAAGTTCTCAAACTTTTCTTCCTAAAGTCCACAATTGAGAAAAATGTAAAGTTAAATCTTATGAGTGGTGGCTAAAAATAAACCTATGTTCCCAAAAGAACAGAATCCCAAACTTCCAAATCTTTATCAGTGTAAATGTGTCAATGGCAGCCAACTGTTCTACCTCGTGCCTTGACATACTCCATGGGTTCCCACTGGATTTCTGCATTTCCATTAACTCTTCACAATTAAAAAAAAAGCTGAATTGAGATGAGGTACATCAAATCTCATCTCATTTTTAATCAGAAATCTACTTTAGGAAGAGAAAAATAAAAGCTCTGTGACTTCTCATACAAGTCAGTGTTTCTCACATCATGAATAGGTCTGCCATGAACTACAAAAATTCTGTGGCAGGCTTACAGTCTGTGAGTTCTCTTCATGTTTTAACAACTCACAGTGTACTTTCAGACACTCCCCGTGCCACTGCTGAACTAGCTACCAGGAGGGGGAACAATGGACAGTCTAATCCCAATTCATCACTTTCATGGCATCAGCATCCATGTGCCATGTCCTTGAGTTGCCGTTGAAAGTGATGCTGGACACACTTCTAAACACATGTAAGAAGCACATGTGAAAATGTGAAATTTTGAAAAATGAAAGCAAAAAAATTTTCTCTAAATGTTTAGAAATGTCTGTGACTAACAGATATTTGTTGTTATTTGCTTTTATAATTGCCGCTGTCTTGTTTGGTTTGGTTTAGTTTTTGTTTGGCTAGGTTTAAATAGTCTTTGCTTTTTTGTTTGTTTGTTTGTTCCTATTCTGCTTTTGTTGTGCCTATGAATTGTACATACTATAATGATATATAAGGACACCTTTATACCAGATAGACTGTGAATTGAGTATCTGCCTCCCATACCCTGTCCTTCCAATTTGCTCTCTTAGAACACTATTCATGTCATAGCAAAAGTGAGCAAAGAGAGGCCAGATCTAGTGACACATGCTTTTAATCCCAGCACTCAGGAGGCAAAGGCAAGCAGCTCTCTATGAATGTGAAACTATCATGATCTACATAGTGAGTCCAAGCTAGCAAGGGCTATATAATGAAATCCTGTCTCAAAAAGAAAAATAGAAAAAAATAGTGGTCAAGAAGCACAGATATGCCCCAGGTATCCTCCCTTGCCTACACAGACACACAGCTTTCTCCATTATCCACAAACCCACCAAAGTAGTACACTTGTTGAAATTACTAAACATATACACTGTCACTCAAAAAAATAGTAAGGAAAACTAAGACGTCTTGATGCCTCCTTCCCCAGATAGACTGTTCATAATCATTCACAAGAAAAAAGTAATGAAACAGAAGTCAATCTGAGCCACAGAAAATTGAGTGGGCTTTTGAGTTAATCTTAGCAAAGGTAGGGGGAAAAGGGTAACAAATGTAGCATTACTCTCATGTAAAAAGCATAAACTCAGCAGCCTCACATCGTTATCTGACATCCTTAAGTGACTAGGCACTGTACCTTGTGCTCTGTCTACTGTCCTTTCATTTAATCCTCATGGCACTATAAGAGAAGAAATTTGTCATCTGTATTCTACAGATAACGAAATTTGACATTTGAAGACAGCTAAGGCACTTGACTAAGATCATGCAGTCACAAGTGCTCCTAAATTCTTTTAGTCTACATGGGAGCTGTATTTTCATTAGTTGAATATCCTAGCTAGCAGATCCTTTTACTAGAAAACAAAATGGACAAATCCATGTGGCTGGGAAGAATTCAAAACTGTCCAAATGTAACACTATATTTTTCAGATCGAGACCAAATTTGAACTTAAACCACACTCCTTAAACTTAATTAACATTCAGTTCTTATTCCAAAGTGAAGAAAAAACCTTGGTGGTTAAATCGCATGTCACCTGAGCTGATTAGTCATTAGATGGTACCAACATGTATCCCAGCACACTTGGGAAGTTACCTACATTCAGTTGTGGCATCTCCAGTTACGGGCTCTCCTTCTCCACTGCTGTAAGTTGCAAAAACTGAAATTTTGTACTTGGTCTCTGGCTGTAGATTCTCTATCATCGTATGAAGGGCATCTCCAGGAAGATCTTTCTCTCCAGCCTCAATATCATCATAAAGCGACTTCCATGAGACCCTGTACCCTCGAACCATTCCTGGAGCAGATGTCCAATAGGCCCCAATCGACGTGTCCGTGATGTCTTTAGTGACTAGATCTTGAGGTGAACCACGTTCTAGAACAGAGGTTAAAGGAGTAGCACTTTTTAAATGTCAACTGGATAATTAAATATTCACTTATCCTGGTAGCCATCCTAACCTACTGAACTCAAACTCAACCTCTCTAAAACTGACCTAAAATTGATCATTCTTTCTGTGCTTTGAATCTGTTTTTAAACAATGGAGCAAATCAGCAGAAGAAAACTCCTTGTTGCACAATTCCTAAATAGCAACCTTACCTCGTGCCTATTTGTATTACAGGGCCCTCGAGGCCAAGACTGACACCCAAATTTGAAGAAATACACACTTTTAAATTTTTCCAAAGAAAAAAATGTCTAAATGTCAATATTTATTACATTTCAGTGTGCTTTAGGACATAGCCCACTGTTCACAAAGGTCTTCATGTCCTTTCTGGGATTTTTTTTCCTTTCTCTCTAACTTTAATAAATCTCAATTTCAATATATGAATTACAGTTAATACAACAATCATATACCACTTGCATATAACTTGCATACAACTTTAACTCCAACAATAGCTTTCTGAATAAGCTTTTATTTACATATTCAGTTCAAAAGAGTAAAAATACAAACTTTCAACATAGCTTAACTCCAATTAAACGAAAAGTCACCAATACTTCTGTACAACTTGAAAGTGATTAGTCATCAAAATGGTCTGCTACTAAATCATAGATGGCTCTTTTATTAATATATACGTCTCCAAAATGGAAAAACATAGAAACCTCAACTTAATAATAGGCACAGATGTCTTCTAATAAAACCCTCATTTTCCATATTTTAAATGTAATATAAATGTACTAGTCACTTTATATTGGATGCTTTTACTAGGTTTTATGCCATATTGTGACATAAATATAAAACTATCTGCCTCCTCAGCATACATTATGCCAGTAATTGTTTTACATGCATGTAAATGATAGTGCACATACTAGGTTTTGAAAGCTGCTATTTTCTTAACTCAGAGTGAAATGAACATTTTAGAACTACTCATAAACCATTAAGCATCAACCAAAAATAATGATAATGGTTAGTGGGAAAAAAAGTCAGTGCACAAACACTCTCCTCATCCATGGTAGAACTTAAAGGGAAAGATAAATACAACAGAAGCTGAAAGCCTACCAGATCCTAACGGAAAGTTCTTACTCCATTATAAATAACTGTGAAAGCAGACAGGACATCTCATCTCCAGAAGGAAATTAGCTGCATATTTCACTGAAACCAGGAAGACTTATTTTCAAGAACATAGTGACTTTTTTCCCTCCGCACTTAAGAGCTAAAAAGCCTTCTGTAGGAGAATTTGCTATTGCATGGTAATAACCTCTATAATTTTTTTACTTGCAGAATTACTGGCTTGTTGGCTTGGTTTGGTTGTTTGTTGTTTTCTACTTGTTTTGATGACTGATTTCCCACAACTCTGCTAAGTTTCAAGTCTGCAATATACTTTTCCTTTGCTTACTATGGATCATTTTTCCACATGCGCCTTTGCTTCTGAATTTCTTAGCCGGCAGTCAGGAGGACTACTGGGAAATGAACTCACTTGATGGTGACTTTGCATTTAAATAAGCCAGTTAATGCATTAATGATATTCTCCAAACATATAAAAATAGCTAGAATATGGAAATTTTCTTCCAAATTAATACCAAGCTAATCATCAATGTCTACTTTTCCTAAGAGCTATGCTTTTTAGTCTATTTTTCTCCCTAATTTCTACAGCACTGAATTTGTGGCATTGTTTGTTTCCATGACAACAGGCATCAGTCTCACAAACACAAGCAAATAATTTCACTGTGAGAAAAATAACAGGAAGAGAATTGTGGTTGAAGCAAAAATATATTCACAGAGATTGTTTCTGAGCCTAAAACAAGAAGATCCCTGATCACTAGACATGTCTTCCCATGAGTTTAATCAACTATTTTAACACTCGAAAGACTTGTAAAGCTAGAACAAAAACACTAACAAAATCACAATACTTGGTCAAGTGCATTAATGTCTGAAATTAATTTGCAAAAGCTCTTTATAAGATACAAATGAAACAGCAACTAAAAGATATTTGACTTCTCATTAAAGGCACACCAACAAGGACTTGAGTGACCTCAGAGAAGATTCTCAGTCACAAGGAACAGGCCTTCAACACAAAGTTCCTGACTGAGGTGTATAAACAGCATTGGCAAACACACATATTGCCACATTCCACACTGAAGATGAAGTTCAGACCCCAAAGAAAAGAGGAAAATGTTCAATTTAGAAGTTATGAATGAAAAGACAAATGCTTCAAACCAGTTTCCTGTATCAGACAAAGTGATAAGAATATTCTTCAATGTTAAGTTTATACTGTTATCGGGCATACTGCTGCTTTTTCTCCATAACACATTCTACTGAAATACAAGATACTTTGTAACATGGATTTTTGAGAAGAAAGATAGTTCCATGAGGAGACTAAATATCAGACCTACAACCTATGAAGTTTTTTGTTTTCTTTTTAAATGGGGTCTTGGTTTGGTCAAATGTTAGATTACCAAAACCTAAAGCAACTGCATGGGACTCTGTAGTACAACAGGCAGGATGTAAGGTTGCTTTCAGCTGGTGTTGGGATTAAGTGTGCAACCACCTGAGTCACTTCCTAGTGCTTTGGTAACAAAACATCTGGACCGGAAATGATTAGGTGCATAGGCACGCCTTGAGAGGCAAAGCTCAACCCTGCTCAAATCAGAACACATGAGACTGTCTAAATACCAACAGTTTCTAAAAATCTTTTAAATCTTCCTTGTGATTCATTCCTCCATGGCTCTTGCTCTTTCATGTCTCTCTTCACACTCTCTCCACTCTCCTTCTACACACACACACACACACACACACACACACACACACACACACACACACATACTCCTGTCTAATTTCTTTCTGCTGCTCCTCTCTGAGACTTACAGAGTTGTTTGTTCAAAAGATACACTTGACCAGAGCAACAATAAACCTTCACTCTTGCTTTTGCCTAGAATGGCAGCTTCTTGAAAATGAAGAATTTATGAAGCAAAACTGGTCAACAGGTGGGTCACGGCTATGATCTCTGAGATCGCTTGGTGGTTCCTCTATTTTATAGCTTTATTGCCATGCACATCAAATCAAAGTCACTTCAAGACTGACACTCAGAGAACTGGGAAGTTGATTTAACCTGCTATCACATGCTTCCTATGTCATAAAACGTGATGTGGATGTCTCCCTCTCTTCTCTCTGCCCTATCTGTCTTAAAAGAAAATGGCTCTCAACACACGCTTATTTTTTTAACTGTCAGTGGCCCTCTTACAGGGTTTAGTCAAAGTGTCATCTAGGCAGGCATTTGCTTATTTAATTTATTTATAGCTCCTGTCCTCCAAGAAGCTACAATTACCAGTAACTACCAGAAAATATTTTAGTTTGGTAAGATTGGGTTTGAGCAAGCATCCATTTTTAGAATACGTTAGGGGAGAGAGAGGAGAAAGGGAAAGCTGGAAGTCAGAGTCTGGTCTCCTGGTAGTGAGCAGAACCCAGAAGGCTTCATTCCTCTGTCACTCACTACCTTGATGAGTTGAGATCCACATCTGCTGTGGTGGTTGCTCCCTCCCTCCTGCATGAGTTCCTCAAATGTTTGTTTTATGATCCCAAGGATTGCTCAGGGTTTTTCCTTAGTGGCATATTCCAACAATGCTTTATCTCATAGTGCTTTCTTGCTCCTGCTCTGAACTGCATACCTGTGTTTCCTATATTTAATTTATCTCTGGAATAGAATCTGTGGCATTTGTTTCAAATGTCTCTTCCTAGGGCCATCACTTCTCTTCACTTTGATGACATCTCAGTAGTGTTCCTATACGTTTTTCCTATCACCAGTGTAAGTACAAGGAATAGGAGTGCATTTCTGTCATAGATTCAAAAATATAAAACTCAATCAGATTTCAAAATATTGGTGTTCAGTCAAAGGGCTGAGAATAAGTGACTTCTGAGTCTTTGGCCCTAAACAGAGCATTTATAGTAACCTCCAGCTAACCTCCAGGGCTTCAGGACCATTGCAGAAGAGGAATAGAAAGAATGTAAGAGGGGAAATAAGAAATGCTGGGGAGCACCATCTTTGGGGCATGATTCAGCCTTTACACTCATGAACTCACAGCAACTGTGACTACCCAAACAGCATGCACAAAATCAAGCCAGTTAATATTTCAACATTGAGGAGTTCATGAGGAACTATTGGTTGGTTATTGGCTACTGGGGGAGGAGAATTCGTTTTTCTCTTAAGAGTGTATGCCCATTGGTAGATTGCCTGTGCTCAGGGTGATGGCCCCATGCCCATTCATTAGTGCATTCAGGTAGCACCAATTGGACTCCAGTAGGTTGTATTTTTTAATGAGGACATGAAGGTAGGAAGAGGATATGTTTACTGCAGGAGGCTGAGTGTCCAGGGGAAGTCGGAAGGTATGATTAAGATACATTTTATATATATATATATATATATATAATATATATATATATATATATATATGTGTGTGTGTGTGTGTGTGTGTGTGTGTGTGTGTGTGTATGAACTTATTTAAAAAATTGATATTCTTTAAAACAATTTTGGTATTCAACATCTCTGTTCTGACTATAAATCATGTTCATATATATATATATATTCAAAATGTATTTTTTCTCATGTCTGCTTGCATCACCTCATTGCCGATGCTGTGGAAGTGGTGCAGACAGGTGTATTTCTCATGATCTGAACATCCACAAAGAGTTGAATTATACAATGTTTTCCACATGCTATGCCAAAGAGCTAATGTCTCATTTAAGTAACTTTCCTATGTTTCCTTAGCTCTTTTCCATTTGCCTTCTGAAAAGGAAATTAGCATCCAATTCAAACATAATTAAAATATAAATTAGCCAACGATGATAACTGAAGAATGAATCACCCTGTAATGAAGCTGTGTTTCATCTTATAGATTGTTCCAGCCAGCCTTCACTGGACTTCACACAGCACTTTCAAAAATAGAAGTTCAATTTAAAATGTAATGTAAATGCTCTTCTAAATCAATTTGTCTTTTCCGTTAGAGCTCAGCTCAAAAGTCATCCAACTTTCCACAGCAGACTGCAGAAGACCTGCTTCTGGATAACATTCATGTGGAAACAGAACCAGAGCCACCATTCCAGAGGGCAAAGTTCACTGTTGACGACTCAGCTCAGCTACTTAAAGGAATAAGCAACTTGTAAATACCTAACAAAACTGCAGTTCAGCTTCAGAGCTGCACGAGTAGAAACATTTCTTTCCTCATTAATGCCTCTCCAAATCTGACTTAGCTGTTTTTCTCTGGCAAGCAATTAAGCCACAGACAAGAAACTGAATTAGCCTTCAACAACCGTGATCAAGTTCCCTGGCAATGTCAGAGTGCTTATACTCCCAATGTATGATTTTTCAAATTATGAGACAGCAATAAATTTAGGAAAACAGAGAAGCCTTGTTCAGTCCACCTTGGAGAAGCCTGTGTTTTTGTGCATAAGGCAGAATCCTTGCACTGTACTGAAAACCTCACTGTAACAAAATGTCAGCTGAGTCAACTTGGTTTGATCTGTAGGAAGCCATTCATATGTCAGGCACTAGCAGGTTGCTACAGCAACTGAAACAAAGGAAATCCTGAAAAGGCATGGTTTCCATAGCTAGAAAATACTCAAAATTCAAAAACAGAACTGTATTATTCCCAAACTGATCTATCCATTCATTTGCGTGAATCTCTGAATCAGAGTGAAGCATTATTCATTTTGGCCTACCAAAGTAGGTTCCCCTCTCTCTCAAGTCCCACAGTGACTCCTAAGGTTTCTATGCAGACTTAAAGTACATTTGCATGCACAGCAGAGTTTTAGTAATTACATTAGAACTATCTACTCTAATGACAACAACGGCAGTTGGGGACAATATAAATCAAACTTAATAGCTTCTGCTCAGATTCCTCTGAAGTTTGGATCTGAAATAGTAATAAACTCTGCCTTTGTGATTCTATCACACAACAGTCCAAAGCCAACCATGAACTTCCCCAGTGCCAATGCTAATAAATCTCTCTTCCAGAGACGGGGAATTTTCAGATCATCGGCTGCATTTCAAAAGGAAAAAGCACTAGGAAAGAAATTCAGGTTAGGGATGGTTGTAGACCATACAAAGTATTCTAAAAAGAATAAGGCAGAACTTTTGTTCTTTAAATTGAAAGCCACATGTTCTCAAGATAATCTGCAAAATTCTTAACCTACAGAAGGCTCTTGCTGGTTGACTCCAGGCCCTGGATAGAAGAAGCATTCCTTCAAGGTCTGCTCTTACCACCTCCTCTCCCAGGAGAGAACCAGATTAGAAAAACAGCAGCCCTCAAAAGCATTTGCCTGGCTCAACTTTGGGCTTTCCACTCCCCACATTCACCATCATATCCTATTCCTGTATATGGTATGTGGATTTGGCTGAGTTGGTATAATAAAACAAAATGGAATAAGCAGGGGCAAAAGTCTTCTATTATTTTAATTTAGCCACAAATACACTTCCACGGACTCATCAAGTTTACCACACATAATGCAATGGGATAAATATGTCCATGAAAGCAGGAGGATGGCATTTTTGTAATCTTCATGATAGGTCTAAAGCTCTAATATAAAGTAAGAAAGAAGTCTTTGATCAACACATTTTAGTTTCAGAATCACCATGTTTTTAAGCTAGTCTACAAACTATTTAGCTTTCTTCCTTCTCAATAAATAAGAAACAATGATTTCTAAAAATTCATTTTACTTCCTGTGCATCTTCCTCAGAAATAGTTTCTGGTCAAATCCATGTAGATGTGTGTGTGTGCTTACTTAACACTCACACGCACAGATAATTTGGCAATTCCTCTATGCCATTTCTATAAAGTTATAAATTTATAAATAATTATACTACCCATCTGACCTAAAACAAATTACAGCCCAAGAAAATGTTTGCTGGAGGTTAAAGAGTTCATTTTGCTATGTGAGAGTTCTAGTACATTATTCTTGGTGAAAAATATTTTAATATTTAAAATCAAGAAAGATGGGGTGGGCGCTGGAGAGATGGCTTAGTGGTTAAGAGCACTGGCTGCTCTTCCAGAGGACCCAGATTCAATTCTCAGCACCACATGACAGCTCACAGCTGTCTGTAATTCCTGTTTCAGGGAATCCGACACCCTCACACAGACATACATGCAGGCAAAACACCAATGTAAATAAAAATACAAATAAATAAATTGTTTTTTAAAAAGAGAAAGGTGGGGTGAGGAGCTATGAAATACCTTTTCTTAGACTGGGTACAACTATTGTAAACCTTCACACACATCAGCTGTAGTTACCTGCACTAGTCCCTTACAAGACTAGCCCCATCATATCATTCAAGGAAGTGGGGGGGGGGGGCCTCTGAACTATTGGCTAATGGCAGGTCTGGGAAAGTGGGAGTCACTGTCTTCAGTTGTGTCTGCCCGCTACTAATCCACAAAGCTCCAACAGATAGCTCCAAACCTACAGTCCCACAGACGGCCCTGGTGAATCCCAATGGATCCCAAGGCAAAACAAAAAGACAAGGATGTGAAAGAGGGTGGTGGGGACCAGAGAGGGTGACCAGGAGTAGTGAGGAGATGGGAGGTAAGAATGGTCAGCATGCAAGCAAGCATACACCAATGGAAGTGTAAAAATACATAAATAATAGAAACTAAAGGTAATGAAGAAGGTTTTGACTAAGTACGTGTGTATTTCTGAATCCAGAAAGTACAGGTGAGTATCAAGATTAGAAGTACATCCAAAAGGGAAAGTATTATTTCCAGGAATCTCCCTATACGGAAGAAATTTTAGCAAATATAATCCACACCTAACTGTAAAAAAAAATAACACTTCAAAGTTTATTCTTTAACAAATATCCTCTGAACAGTCTACGCTTTAAGTTCATGCAAAGCATGTGAAAAGGAGAATATCAAAAGGTCGGAGAACACACTTTGGATGTTCTTCCAGATGGAAAGACCATGTGCTTCTTCTGTTGGAGTATATTTCCATAGTTAAGGTAATTTCCATGTCTGCCTCTTGTTTTCAAGGCTTTTATGCAGCCAGTCAATAGCTTTGAACTACTGAAGATTTACTTGTAGGCAACAGGTCTGAAGTCGCTAAATTATTTTATAGGTAGTATTTTACAGTTCCCAAGGATCTCACTAGCCTTCTCCCATTTGAGCTAGTAACCCTAAGAGGAAGAAAGGAAAAGGGCCAGTCCTCTGTCCAGAGGCAAACTGACATGGGGGAGGGAACAAAGGGTTCCTTTTAAGGTCACATAGACAAGTGGTATATCTAGTGTTCTTCTGGTTATCAGTACTTTAATACTGGTATTTAATATTTTATTTAAGACCTCTGCCAAAAAAAATGGATTCTATTGACTATTGGGATGAAATTCTTGGTTGCAAGTATTTAATCTTTTCTGATTTGTGTTCAATTCTTGACTAAAACTTTTTCTACAGTCCAAAACTCTCTCTCCCGGGCCTTGTTGCTGCCAGTTACAGTACCTACAACACTCCAAACTCCTGGATCCAACTAAGGTTGGATATTTTGCCCAACTCCACTGTTTTGTTTTGTATTTTTTGCACTCATAGTGTACTTCAGATTAACTTTTCTCTAATTATTAATTCACATAAGTGATGTACAATATTATAAACGTAAGAGTCTATAGTGGAGTGTCATATTCCTTAAGCAATTACGAATGTTTTATGAAAAGGGCATAACTAAAGTTTGAGAGTGGCTCCCATATGGACCTGGAGAATGGAGCCATGACCATAAACCCTCTGAAAGCTCCTCTAATGTACATTTCCCAAGGTCCTTTCCCTTGAATATTGCCCATTTTATTCATTGCAGCAGACCATGGCTTTATATCAGTTGCTTGTGTTATATCTGTATATAAGAGGTTGTTTTATAGGACTCGTTTTAAATATGCATTCCTTTTAAGAAAAAAGACTACATAGTCAAAACTTCATTCTCTAAAAGCACTTCCAGCTTCTTCATGCAGAATCACACACAGGCTCAAGATTTGCCGGAACACGGGACATTAATTACCTTCAAGTGTTGTTCCTTTACCAGAAAGGGCTTCTCCAGCCCCAGACGCATACAGTGCTGTCACAGATAAGTCGTATTGTGTCCCCTCCTTCAATCGCCTCAACACCGTGTTGGTTGTGTCTCCCCTCACAGTGACCTCTTGAGTTTCACCTCCTGCTGCTGGGGTGTACGTGACAAGATACTGCTTCACTTTTCCTGGTGCCCCACTCCAAGACAGCTTCAGCGTTGATGTTGTAGCGTCAGAAACTCTTAAGTCTCTTGGATTCCCTCTAACTTCATTAAAAAAGATGACAGCATCAAAAGGCATTGTTTAGTTAAAAAAAAAAAAGACTTGGAAACACCCATTTTTTTCATATGTGTGTTATATCAAATTTACATCCTATATAATGACTCTGTGGCAATATACACCACTGCCTCGCTAACAAAATATAAGCATTGCTAAATAGGGTCCTACACAATAGTAAATAATGAGCAAACAACATCTAATTCGTTTTCTGTGTTCATGCAAATTAAAATCTTCCATAGAAGCCAGACATAGTAGCCCACTCCCACAATTCCAGCACTTAGGAGTATAAGATAGAAAGATCATAGGTTTGAGGATAGCCTGGGCTACATACATGCATTCTGTCTCAAAGGAAAAAATCTTTTATGTAAAATCTGTCATCAGAATCTTCCATATAAAATATTTTCCTTAAAGCTTTCCTACAAATGGAACTAAGTAATGTGTGTTGTTTCCATGTGATGAGCATATTTCCTCTACCTTCTTCGGTGGCTGCATTTCCTGTCAGTGGAGAGCCCAGTCCGGAGGAATATTCGGGAATTACAGAGATTTCATACTTTGTGTCTGGCGTCAGGTTCTCCAGTGTTTTCCTCCTCTGATTGGCTGGGGTACTAACTTCTTTGCTTTCTCCACCAGCAACTGGTCTGTACAGAATTCGATACCTTAAGACTCTCCCGGGAGCTTGAGACCAGGTAATTTTAAAACTGTCTGTAGTCTCATCCGACACCTTCAGGTTTCGTGGTACTCCTTTTACTGAAATTTAAAAATGTATATTTTTTAAAAGTTAGCTGATTTTATGTGAGTACCAAAAAACTAGCTTTTGAACATTAATTATAGTATTTTTCTAACTAATTTCCATGGCCATTTTTATTCACAAGCATTCTGGTTACAACATTCATTTAGCCAGACCTTAAATAGATTCTGAAACCATTCTGCAAAAAATTTATGTGTGTGGTCATTTGCTGTAGAGGAAAAATTGGGCTATATATTATAAGTGAGAAGTATGTGACAAGCACTTAATGAATATCATTAAATATAAACCTCAAAGTCAAATTGCAATGTGAATAACATGGACTTGGGGTCTTCAATGACATTTTTCAAGTAAGAGCCCAAATGAGAACATCATTGGACTTTATGTTTAGTAAACATGCTCAAGAAGAAAGACTGTCCATCTGGACAACAAATTCAACAATGGTGAACTCAAAGTCATTATGTTCTCAATTCACTGGGGCAAAGCTGTAGTCTAATGTGGTTGGATGTGACTGACAAACAGGATTAGAACTTTACTTAAAATTTCAACACATTATAGGGTTGGAGAGATGGCTCAGTGGTTGAAAATTTGGCTGTTCTTTCAGAGGACACAGGTCGGTTCCCACCACCCACACCGCAGCTCCCAACCACCTGTTAATCCAGTTTCAGGGTGTCCAATACCCTCTTCTGGCCTCTAAGGGCACTGCACACACATGGTACACAGACATACATGTAGGAAACGCATATAAATAAATAAAAATGCATATAAATAAAAGTAAAATGAGTAAATCAAAATTTAAAAAGAAAAATTTAACACACCAGTAGATCACTCCAGACAGAAAAAAAATGGAAAGAAAATAAATCCATCAATAAAAGAAATATGTGGAGTAGGGCAGTTGTATACCTTAATCCTAGGACTCAGAAGGCAGAGGTAGGTGGATCTCTGTCAGTTAAAGGCCAGTTTGATGTACATAAACAGTTCCAGGCCAGTCAGGGCTAAATAATGAGACCCTGACCCCTCCCCTCACCAAAAAAAAAGGAAGGAAAGAAAGAGAAGGAAGGAAGGAAGGAAGGAAGAGAAAGAAAGAAAGAAAGAAAGAAAGAAAGAAAGAAAGAAAGGAAGGAAGGAAGGAAGGAAGGAAGGAAGGAAGGAAGGAAGGAAGGAAGGAAGGAAGGAAGGAAGGAAGGAAGAAAGACAGAAAGACAGAAAAAGAAAGAAAAGAAGGAAGTTGTAGTTGGCCAACTTTACCTATGATTCATTAAGTATGTCAAGAAAAAAGACCAAATTAGTCAAAACATAGGAAGCGGAATGACTAACAGCTGTGAATCCTGACTCTGAAGCTTAATAGTTATATAATTTGAGCCACAGGCTGCTCAGCAGTTAAACATGACTATTCATTAGATTATTGAAGTGCCTGAGTAAAATAATGCATGGGAAACACTCAGTATAGCATATGACACCTAGTGAGAGCTCAAAAACCACCAGCTTAATTCAGATGTTCAATGCTAAAACTTGAATATTTACAACTGAAACTTTAGATGTCACAATCTCATGGAAAGCAGTAAAGCTGTCAGGCATTAAGCTCTTCTGTAGTAGACCAATGTCTGAAAATCTGAGTATATATGAATACATTGGCCTCAACTCAAAACTCCCTTTTCTTCTTCTTCTTTGAGAAAGAGAATGGAAATGTAGTATGTTTACTTTGACAGTTTATTTTTATGAAAAAAGTTGTAATAAAAAAAACTCTATAAGTAAGATTACAGGGGAAAACAGTGTCCCGTGGCCAAAAGCAAACAATGTCAACATATTTGTAAGCAAGATAGTTTTTCAGCCTATTAAAAGAATGCAAATAAAACTAAGTAAAGATAACACAACTGTTTTTTTAAGTGTTTAATTCCAAGGTTGGTGTCCTAAAGTGACTAATAGCATAGTTATCTCATGTGCCTTCTGCCTCTTTCTACAGATAACTTGTACTTGCTCTCATGTGTTTGAAGAGAGGACTGAAATAAAACCACCCAGCGTGGCAGCCTCTCAAACCTTAGTGCTCTGGGAGGATAAGAAGCCATCAGTACAAACAGTGTGTCTATTTGTACCAGAAGCAAGTGGAAGTAAACAGGAGAATGAAATTCAACAGTGAGGCAGACTGCTTCACATTCAGTTTTTAAAAGGTATCAGACTCAAGTTTCTTCTTGAGCTGTGGTAGGCAGTATAAGCAATCAACAAAAAAGCAGAAATATCTTAAGTACAAATATCTAAGTTATAGAAACACCACATACACAAAAAAAAAAGATGTGTTAGATACTTTTGTTGGCCTATAGCCATAACTATACCTATATCATGTACAAAATGAAAAAAACCAAACCTCCTTGAAAAATGTTTTAGAGACAAAGCTATTCCCTAACTTTATCAATAAGGAGTGCAATGTGTGCCAGATCTGTCTGCAAGCACTTCTTTGTACATTTTAAATTCCCATGATGGCCCTTAGAATTTTTCCCTTGCACCCGTCAAAACAGGGAAGAGAACCCACATCTCTTGGAATCATCACTGACTCCATTCGAAGAGTACTTGACTTGTCTTAATTTTTTCTTCTTGGCCAGACTAAATGTCAAATGAAATTCATTATGCCAAAAGGTACCCAGCCCTAATCAGTAAAGATGACACATCTCAAACACCAGTAGAATTAATTCACTCATGTCCCAGCAGCATTATTCACGATAGCTAAAAGTGGGAACAACCTGAATAGATGAATAGAGAGTGGTGTATTCATTCAATGAGACAATATCCATTCATCCTTAAAAAGAAATGAAATTCTGCCCAAGCATGGTGGTACAGGCCTTCAACCATTGCACTCGGGAGTCAGAGGCAGGCAGATCTCTGTGTGTTCAAGGTTAGCCTGATTTACACAGCGAATTAAGGTCAGCCAGGGCTACATAGTGAGATCCTGTCTCAATAAATACATAAACTCTGACACAAGCTGCAACATGGATGAGGAATTACATTAGGTGGAAGAAGTCAGACAAAGAGATCGACATCACATGGTTATGTTCAGTAAGGGCTTCAAACACTCCAATTCAAAGAAACAGAAAGTAGGTTGACAGTCTGGGAGCAGGGCATTGGAAAATGGAGACCCACTATGGCTACAAGGTTTTGTTATGACATTCCGCACGTGGATGGTGGTGATGATGGCTGTACAAGGTCAATACACTTCGTGCAGTTGAAATATGCACCTGAAGAATGGTTGAAATGGCTGAAATGGGTTTGTTTGTTCCTTTTCATTTTATTAACATGGACTAAAATCAGGTGCTTTATTCGTGCTGTAACTTTGCTAGCTAATGAATTACAATGTTTTGAGAAAACATGGAAGAAACCCCACTGTACCTTCATCTGTGGTCTCCTCTCCAGCTAGGGGAATGCTGAAGCCATCTTCATACTCTGCAGTCACATTTACCAAGTACAGGGTCTCTGGCTTCAGGTTGCTGAGGACAACACTGGTGCTCGAAGCTGGCTCCACCACTGTGACCTCATCATCCCCTGTAGCATCCTTGTATGTGACATGATATGAAAAAACATTCTCTCCAGCGGGAGACCATTCAGCTTTGAAACTATTAGAAGTCACCTGAGAAAACTTCAGATCCTTTGGTGGCACATAAGCTGTTTAAAAGAAGAAAAGAAATAATTTAAATATTTAAATCTGTGAAATAAAAATAGACCTCTTGACTCTGTGCTTCCAAAATTGTTGCCATTCATTTGGGAGCAGGGCCATTGAGACCCATGTTCATGACCACAGAGAGAAGGCCCCCCACTTAAAAGGAAGTCCTGGTCATGTTCCTTGGTTTTCCACAACAGTGATTATATTATACGAAGGAAGTAATTAATTAAAATGGAACTTGAATTTGAGTTTCTCAAGACAAAGCAGTAATAGAATGAATATTCCCCAAGTGTTTATGTAAACAGTAGCAGATTTTAAATGAACCATGACAATTTTCCCAATTATGCTGGTACTTGAATACTAACTCTTAGTGACAGGTAGGCAGATATTTCAAAGTACAACTGAGGAAATTTCTGGCAAATGAATAATTGTAACACCTGGGAAGGTGCCTCAGTGGGGAAAGCACTTGTCACGCAAATATGAGGACACTAAACTTGAATCCCCCAAATCCGTCTAGAGCTGGGTGCAGTGGGGTTCCTCTGGATCCCAGTGTTTCTACAAGAAGAGGGGCTGAGGATAAGAGACCTCAGCCTGACGTATACGGCAGCGAACAGCAAAGACTGTCTCAAATAAGGTGGAAGTCAAGGACAACACCGGAGGCCTCTGACCTCCACACACATGCCATGGCATGTGCATGTCCACCATCACACACACATAAATGTGTGTGCACACATAGGCACACAGACATATACACATTTACAAAACAAAGGTTTTGAAAAGAATCCTTATTAAACTGAACATGCATTAAACCGATCATAAGAAGAGACAATGCTTAATGCATATTGTCCTTGGGGGACACACAAACAGGAGAGACATGAAAGTATAAAGTTACTAACAGAAACACCAAATGTGTAAAAGTGCCATACATGGAAAACTTAAGGAGGGTTTAGAAAGGGGGTGATATTTTAAGCATTGGAAAGCAGAATTTAGACAAATCAAGAAGAAAGACTAGAGAACTCCAGATGTGAGGTGTCATATCCCAAAACAAGGAAAGAGAATGCACAAAAAGAATCCAAAGGTCCAAGAATGTTTTAGTTGCTTTGGGTTCAAAGGACTTGGATCTGTAGCTACACAGTAGAAAACTCAGTAAGTGGTTGTTTAATTGGCTCTGACAAATAGTGTGATGCAGCTGGGTCCTGAACTCCCCCGGGGACCTAGGGAGGGAAATCTCATGACTCTCTGAGTAAACAATTTTTTTCACCAAAAATGAAATGATATGCATACCCAGGAGAAAGTTATGTGTCAAACCCAAATACATGCAGTTCGGTGGTTTTCAATAGCAGTGGGATGCTTCCCTGTGCCCAGTGAATGGAAGAAGAGTCCTACCTATAGTTTTAGAACTGGGGAGCTTTGTTCACAGGCAAATGCCTTTTACTTTCCAAAATCTACCAACCTTTCTTCTTTATAGCTGCCAACTCTTGCTCAATTCTAAGACAGATAGACTGTGTGAGTTCAAACGATATCCTCTGAAAGGCATCAAAATCTTCCACTGTGAACACATGGGTCTCGGGAGGAGGAGAGGCAATGGCTTCCAACTCTGAGCGAACAGCATCCTTTACACCAACTGCGAAGATCTCCACGTCTGAATTTCTGAGTTTTATAGCAGGGTCTCTGAAAGCATCTGACGACTTCCCATCAGTGATGAGAATCATGACCTTCGGTACATTACTTCTTGAGCCTTTGTTAGGCACAAATATTTTCTCTCTGACATAAGTCATTGCTTTGCCTGTGTTTGTGGATCCTCCCCTGTAGGGGAAGGTGTTTATTGCTTTGATTATATCTTCAACTCTGTTAAATTCCTTCAATGTGAATTCAGTGTGAGGGTCTCTGCTGTATTGGACAAGGCTTATCTGTACTCTGTTTGGTGATATCTCAAAACTTTTTGCAAGAACTTCCAGAAAGGCTCTAACTTTAACAAAGTTTGCAATCCCGATGCTATAGGAACCATCAACCAAAAACACAATATCAGCTTTTATATCCACACCACGTGAACATTCTGTGAAGAGAAAGAAAATCCATTCATACACAAATATGAACTAAAATACAATAAAATGAAGGTCTGGATATCTCGAGATATCTCACTTTTCTTTGTAAGTCTACTTCTTTTCAAAAACTGCTGCAGGACTGGAGAGGCGGCTCAGTAGGTCAAGTGCTTCCTCAGCAAGCATGAGGACCTGAGTTTGGATATTCAGCACCCACATAAGAATCAAGTGTACCTGTAATGCAGTGCTGGGGGTATGAAGACAGGCAGATGCTGGGGCTTGCTAATCACCCAGTCTAAACCAAAACAACAAGCTCCAGGTACCAGAAAAGACTCCATCCATTGCAAAATAAAAATTAAAAAATTTCAAAAAAAAATAGAGAAGAAAACTACTATAAATAATGTGTTTAAAACGAAGTCTGAACTAGTAGGCCATACTGTTGTATTCCAACCCCAGTGATAAAATGGCTAACTTACCCACTTGAACTTTCATTGGCTGAGTCTTCTCCATCACCGAAATGGGCTCGCTGGATGTCAGTCCCTTCATGGCAGAAACACTGATCTGGTATTCTGTGTCAGCTGAGAGGTCACGAACATTGAGTGTGGTCGTCTGAGGCCCCACACTCAAAGCGTGATGCCGGCTTCCTGCAGCCATTGGTGTGAGGAGGACTTTATAGCCGGTCACAGCACTGGGAGATGGATCCCAGCTCAGCTTAATGTATTTTGATGACACTTCTGTGGCAACCAGATTTGAAGGAGGCTCGATGACTGGGGAAAAAAAAAAAAAAAACCCTGTGGTGATTAATAATGAAGTATAACTCCATTAGGTTTTACATTTGCACCTTCAATTCTCCTTATTCAAATTGATGATGTCTATATCAGAAAGTGGTCATTGATACCCTCCCTCCCTAATTCTACCTGTATGAACAAACCAATAGTTCCTACTGTCAGGAATTTAGTTCCTACACTAAAAAGTTTGGCAGGGAAGAAAATTTTTTGAAATAAAAGTAGATTTAATGTTTAATCTTTCTATGAAATCAAAATTTTCATTTTTTTTTTTTTTTTTTTTTTTTTTTGGTTTTTCGAGACAGGGTTTCTCTGTGTAGCTTTGCGCCTCTCCTGGAACTCACTTGGTAGCCCAGGCTGGCCTCGAACTCACAGAGATCTGCCTGGCTCTGCCTCCCGAGTGCTGGGATTAAAGGCTCCGCCTGGCTCTGCCTCCCGAGTGCTGGGATTAAAGGCGTGCGCCACCACCGCCCGGCCCAAAATTTTCATTTTTAATTTAACATTTTGTTTGTCTTTATTTTCCTGTCTCAGTATAGACGTTTGCTAACTATCCACTACATTGATGATTTATTCACTACAGGCCCTGAAAAAAGCTGGACACAGCTGTGGTGTGGTCATGGCTACCCATGCAGGAAAGTTCAAACAGTGGCACAAGAAAAACCTTGCCTGATCTTGACAAGCACACAACTGCACTTTACTAAAAATTAAGCTGTTTAAAGTAAAGAGAGATAATCTGAGTAAAGTGAAAGGAGGCATGTGGATCTTACGATAATCAGGGTGGGGGTGGGGGAAAGTTAGCCTTTAGACTGTAAAGAAGAAAAGAAAGGATTTGGAGCCTAGGAAGCATTGAGAAGTCCTGGGAGAAGAAAAGCCAAGGAACTTCCCAAAGTATGATTGGAGATGGAAGCATGTGGAAGTTCTACATAACCACTCCTCAGTTCCCACAGTGGGAGGAAGACCACCAGGGGCTTTCGGTGTTCAAATGGATCCTCATAAAATATCTTTTTGAAATGCCTCTCCTCTCTTCTATGTACTTAGAAGTAACAACCCATAGAAATGGGAAAGCTTTTCAGATGTGGGAGTATCAAATCGATCAATCTATGAATATCTCTAAGCTTTGAACACATTAGGGAGCACGTGATAACGGGAAGTCCTGGTCCTTAGGTAGTTGGTAGAAACAATGCTATCACTCTTTCATGTTCTAGAATGCTAAAGTGTCTGCACCCTGCCAATGTTTAAGTCCGCAGATAAAATAATTAAAGCAAATGCCAGAAAAGCCTGGTTATGGATAGTCAATATACACAAAAAGACTTGTTTATGAGAGTTTTATCAATGGAGGGAAATCTCACAAGGCCCCACCCCTAGACACAGAACTACAGGCAACTAAGGAATTCGGAAAGTAGGAGAAGCAGTTTTTCCTAGAGGTGAGACCTTTGACTGTTTATCCAGTACCAAGTGGATCCTCAAAATCATATACATACAAGTAACACTAAACAGATTCGGCATAAATAAACAGGCTGTATTAATGTATTTGTGCATTTACACACACAAACATATATGTAACAAAAACAAAGAAAAATAATCCATAATTTGAAGGGAAGGCAGGAGGAACATGGGAGGGTTTGGAGGAAAGAAAGAGAGGGCAGAAATTATGTCATTATATTTTAATTAAAGTTAAAAATATTAAATAAACTAAGTCTAATCAAACCTTGCCCCTCCAAAAAAAAAATGTTCAGGAACTTCACAGAAAACTAAATATTTTGTCAAATTTTCCACTGGAAAGAGGAAATAATACCAATATATTAACAAGTTGAGTTCAGAAACCAGACAATCACTGGAGGGTGTGGTTAAATCTCTTCTAGAATACCTGTACAGCAAGAACCGCTGTCAGAAAGTGCTAGCTTCTACACGCCTCTCAAGACACAAACACTCACCTTCTTCTCCACTAACCAGTTCACCAAGTTGCTCATCAACTCCTGAACACACCTGGGAGATTATCTCATTCTGAATGTCCACAATCGCATCAAAATTGGCCACATTGAAAACATGGTTCAAGGAAGGTGTGGATGCAATTTGTTTGAGTTCTTTTGCATCTGCAGCTTTAATACCTTGAAAAAAAAAAAGGTGGGAATATGTTAAAATGGGAAACATACCAACTGCAAGAAGTACTTTTCAATAATTCTCAATCTTTGCAGTAATTCTAAATCTCAAACGGAAAGTATTTTTAACCCTTTTTAAGTCAAAACTCAGAGTTGCTTAGACACATGCATTTAGTCCCAGCACATTGATGGTAGAGTCCAGACGATTTCTACAAATTCAAGGACAGCCAGACCTACATAGTGAGATGTTATCTCAAAGAGATGGATGATAGATGACATAGGCAGAGGACAAACAAATGTTCAGTGGCAAAGGATTTCATAATTTCACAAAAAAAAAGGAGAAAGACAAATGGTTAATAGAAAAATCCCCCATTTTAACTATGTCATCACTTGTCTCTGACATCTGTGAAGATAATATTTTTTTATTCCAAAGTGCTGAATGAGCTGCAGCCCTGTGAATACTTCAAGTATTATGTAATGCAGAAAATGCATAAAATCCACTTAATGATAATACAAGGAGGATCTTTATTAGAATCGCTGGCAGAGTGTTCTTTGAAAAGTAGAGAGCTGGCAAAGCATGTTACTATCACCTCACTTAATTCATATACTGAAAGAGCTTTATGAGGAAATAGATAAGCAGAATTTTTACTCAAAGACAACTTGGCTTAATACTATCCTATAAAATGCAGTAAGCACTTTTGACAACATCCTTCCTTGAGAAATCAACCTTTATCTTCTTAAGCATTAAGTGTACTGAAGGAGATTCAGAAAGAAAATGGCTGGTCGGACTTAACCTACCCAGAGAGAAAACCTCAACTCCGATGTTCCGAAGTTCCCGTGCTGGAATGTCCACTTCGTCCTGAGATTTGCCATCCGTGATAATAATTGCCACTTTAGGAAAGCCCGCTCTTGAGCCAGCAGACTCAGTGAACGTGTTTTTAACTAAGTAATCAATGGCATCCCCTGAAGGGAAAAAAGAAACATGTTCATTGACTCTAGGCTCTCACTCATTTTGCCAAAGCTGAAGACTGAAAGGTTAATTCCAAAGGTACTTGCTGTATAATCAAATGGGTTTTTTTTTAATTCCTCTCAAAATGAACACTTCATTTATTTTAAACAATAAAGGAATCTCTATAACATACCTGTCATTGTGTTGCCACCTTTGTATGGAATTTTTTTAATTGCAGCCAGCAGGTCATCTCTTCGGTAATACTGATGTAAGTTAAATTCAGTCCTGGTACCGGAGCTGTACTGAACAACGCCAACTCTCGTCTTCTCCTCCCCAATGTCAAAGGCAGACACAAGAGCAGCAAGGAAGTCTAAAATGTACTTGAAATTATTTCTTCCCACACTCCAGGAGCCATCCACAAGAAAGACTAAGTCAGTCCAGGCACTGACAGAGCACTCTGAAACATATTTAACGTATTTTTAAATGGTTAAATCAGTCCCTTTAAATAAAAATGGGCTAACATTGCAAAAAAATGTTCCTGAATCATTCTATTCCTTATAATGTGTTGAACCCATTATTTTCCATTTACATACATAAAAGAATACAAACCTTATACTATCAAAGCATTTTCAAGACACTTATCAAGATCCATTTACAGGACTGGATGTCTTTAAATTGCTAGCTAAGACATTCTGTGCAAAGAAATAACTAGACATGTGATGTATGCTGCCCAGGAGAATGCAGCCCAAGCACATGCAGTGCCAATCTGTTTTTCGAAACCATGTCTTTACTCTTCCCCAAATGAAAATTTCATCAAACATCCGGGAGACACACAAAAGAAATGGCAACAGTGTCTTCTCCTGCCTTGCTATTTATCAACAGATAAATACAACCTGTGCTCTTCAAGCAGATGCGTCTGAGTTGAAGAGAAGAGTAAATATTTTAATAGTCTGTCATATTTTCCAATATAAATGTCTAAGTTTATAGTCAAGGTAGTCTATGTATATAGTCATGCAAAGTAGCCAAAATATCTTGTCTTCATTATCTCTGTATTCAAATTTGACAACTAAAACCTCCATTACTAAACAAAAAGAGGAAACATTGTTAATGCAGAAGTCCAAATGGCCATATGGTATCCTTAAGGGATTAAAATGGAATGCGCTTTTATGACCTTGCATTATCTTTCCTTCTTCTATGGTCAAGGAGGCAAGTTAGTTTTCATGAAAATCTGTATTGCAAGGCAACATTTAGTGGATTTCTGAAGATGTTTTTGTCCTTGAAGTTAGTTGGTAGATAATAAAAGAAGTATTTTGGCAAAGAGGAGCAGGAAAAGGTCCTGGAAAATTGTGCAAGACAATTTCAAGTTGCATGCTTAAATAATTTTTGTATGCTGTTTGATAGTGCAATTTTAGTCTATTAAAACCCATATCTGGCAGAATATTTTGATTTAGAATAAATATTGATAGTTTGGAGAAAATAATAATGTAACTGCATAGGAGAAACTTCATTTTAGACTATTCCACATCTGAGAGAATGATAAACAGTGATCTAGAGGAAAATTTTCCAGAGAAAGAGGCCTTTGTGTTTATAATGTTTTTATGATCAATCTGGGTCATAAATCCAACTTACAAAGTGGCAAAATCAGAAGTCCAAGAAACTCCTTAGGAGTTCACTCTAGCGAGCCACACAAAGCAGTATCAGACAAAAGGAAGCTAACAGCCTCAAAGCCGAGACTAAATAAAAGTGCTTTTCATCTGGATACATATTCAGTTTATTAGAGATGGGCTGCAGGAACTCTGGAAAGACTGGAAAAGCTGACATCATCAGCCAAGTTGAGAGAAATATCCCAGAGATGAGCTCAATCTACAAGTAGGCTGAGAGTGTGTTTCATAGCATTTGAGTGGCTTCAAGCACTAAGACCAGTTCAGTCTTTTCCCACAAACCTGTAAGTGCCATCTGTTAATATAATTTGTCTTAGGAGGATGCATTGGCCAGAAAGTAAGAACTCAAGGTTTATAAGTGTTTGGTTATACATTTCTCTCATCTATCTGTACTCCTTCTAGAGAAAGATTATAGTTACTAATATGGGGAAAATGTTCAAGCTTTGTGTATAATTAGAACATCTTCTATAGTGCATTTGTAACTTCTACAAATCCAAGCAAAAATATAAGAAGAAACTCACTTTGTATCTCTGTTTTTCCAGGTTTCTTCTCCCCTGGCTTTGTCGGACCACCTGTTTGAACTGAGTCAAAAGCCCATTGTTAACTAAAGAAATTACCAAATATATGTATATATATATATATTTCATAAGAATAGAATGTACACATTGTTCTTTAATATTGTCTTTCAAATATTTGGTCTTACCCAGCTTGTCAGAATGTCGAACAATGATTTCCTTACAAATAAATTATGTTAATGAAATGTTAGAGATATTTCAAAAAGAGTTTACATTATTGCTTGAAAACTTTGATATTTCAAATAATTTTCATTCAGAACATTTCTGCTACTTCTAAAGACCATGGTTAAAAGGCATGAACGAATTGTTCGTAAGCACTAATAACAAGGGTCACAGAAAGTGGTGTTGATATGTTACCTAAATAATAGGAGATTAAATCTGAAGTTGGAAAATTGTCTGCAAAATGCATACCCATGGATCTACGTGACAGTAATAGTAAAAAAAAAAAGAGGCTAACAGTTTGGAAGTGGGGAGGACATGGAAGGAGTTGGAGGAAGGGCACTGGGTAGGGGCTGGAGGGATGAAGGGGAAGGAAGAAAATTATAGAATGATATTATTAAAGTACTTAAACTTGTGTGTGCTCTTACTTGTCAACTGGCCTATAACTGGCACGCTTTCTTCTACTTCATCATAGGAAGTTATAGTCACCACATACTCTATTTCAGGAATAAGGTCTGATAATAAAGTTTCAGTGGTACCAGCTGCAAGGGTAAATTCTTTAGTAGGCCCCTCTGTAAATACAAAAAGGAAAATATGACTGTGACAAAACTTTCCCAAGGATAACATATTTTTAAAAAGTCTAAATGCACCACAAAACTGAAACTTTTGCCATATGTACTTTTTCAAGACATCCAAACATTGTTTTTAACTGTCTTCCAAAAATAAGACCTTGCATTTTTAGAAAACCCAAAATTTACACTGGCCTTGCCTTTATCTGACAATCACATTCAATACTTTTTTTGGTTTTTTTTTTTTTGTTTTTTTTTTTGTTTTTCGAGACAGGGTTTCTCTGTGTAGCTTTGCGCCTTTTCCTGGAACTCACTTGGTAGCCCAGGCTGGCCTCGAACTCACAGAGATCCGCCTGGCTCTGCCTCCCGAGTGCTGGGATTAAAGGCGTGCGCCACCACCGCCCGGCTCACATTCAATACTTTTTAAAAGCTCAAAATTCTTCTAAATTAAAGGTATGTTAGAATATCAGACCAAAAATATATCATCATTTTATGACAACATGAAATAATAAAAAAATGTTATAAATAAGATATGACTCAGAAAGCAATTTAATTATAAATTGTAAAAGAACAGAAAGATAAATAGAACCACATTCAAATGTGGGCCATACCTGCAGTTCTCTGAATTTATTGAATTGAGTATCACATGTTTTGTGATATCATATATCGAGCGTTTACTTACATACAGTATGCTTTCATTTAGATTCTTTTTAACTTTTAGTTCAATCAGAAAGCATGATAGCACCTAGGGACTGCATGCTTGTTAATACTTCAATTGTATTAAATATTTCACAAAACATAATTAAGAAAGATAGCATATATAACAAAACTCTGAGAAATGCTCCTGGCCATGTACTATATCTATGTGGGCCAGAGCACCGTGGGACATGAGGACACTGGGGATATATTAGATTGGATCTTTGTGGTGCCCATTTTGAACATTGGAAGCCAATATTCCCAGTATCTAGAAAAAGAGTGGACCCTATTTGAGCTGTTTTAGAATACTCTTTAAAATAAATGAAGCCATTAACCAAATGAACTTAGAGAGAAACAGAAAAAGGAAAAGATTTTACCCCTTCTTCAGTTCTTTAGCCATACTGTCTTTTTTTAAAAGCTCCCTGATGAGAAAGCATTTTAAACAACTGGTATTCTAAAAGGCCAAGAGATAAGTAAGCACAGCTCTAGTGATTAGCAATATTGGCAATATCCATATTCACTGCCAACCAATGAAGACTTCTTATCACTTAACCAATACAAATAGTTACTTTCCCACCTATTCTTAGATGTTGGTTCTCCACACTTGGGCAATGTGGTTAACACTATAGATAACAAAATAGAACATCTGAAACAAGTTTTGTTTTGCTTTGCTTTGCTTACAGTAAGTATTGGGATTGGACTCTGTAGTCCTGAGTCCACCAAATACCAGGTGACATCAACCAAATCCCTCTGGCTTGCTCATTCTTGCTCTCCTCATGCTCAAATGTGAGGTTAGGCAAACAGACTGTATGATCTTGATATCTCTGTCCTAAAACCTCAGCATCTTGGAACTCACCTGTTGTAGAGTCCACCGTTATTCTGTAACCCACAATTGGATCAACTGGTCTCTCCCATGACATATGAACAGTATTTTCATCTATAATTTTAAAATTCAAGTTGGAAGGTGGGTCAACTGCAAAAAGAGAGTTGAAATTAGTTGCATTTTCCAACGTCAGAAAATGGTTAATATGATTAATGATAAATTGTGTTGAGCAAAGCTTACTAAAGTTGTCTTTGCATAAATTTGTTTCCAACAAATATAAAAGATATCTTGTTGGATCAGAATAAAATTAAAAGCTGACAAGATATGACAAAACATCAGAAAGTGTACAAATTACAGAAGACAGCACGGAACACTTGATTCTTGAGTTGCTAGGTCATTCAAGAATGGCCAGCAAAATCAAGCAGAATAGAAACATGTCTGGATACAAGAACAATGAAGTCACATATAATAACCACATATGCAAACAATTCACATAACAATTAAGGAAATTCAATACATGCTGAGTGCACTTTGTACAAGCATGCCAAATCACGACCTGCTTACAACCATGGACGTTAATTTAGAACAGTGACATCATACATTTTTATAATGTGGAAAGAAAATCACTGATGGTTTGGGTTCAATCTCTGCATTGTTGCGTTGTTATTGTTGTTGGATAAATCTCAGTCTGTGGCAGAGGCTTTAAAATGTATTTGAATGGAAAGGAAAAATATATCTTACAAGGAAATATACATTTAAGTGTATATTCATATTAATGTTATATGTTATGTTGTATTAGTGTCATATTAATGTTAATAATTTATGAGTATATAAACAGTGCTAGAGATGTTTATAAAACTGACATTCTGCCTGTTTACACCAATTTGCTGTGTTCCCAAGGTGTAAACCAACATGGTCATTGCCTTGGTAGTAGGCATACTCCATACTAGAAGTAGCGTTTAAAGTTAAAATGCCAGTATGGCCTTTTACAAAACAATGGCTAGTTATGAAAAGATAACATCAATGTATATTTATGGGCAATTATTTACAGATCTTGAAGGGAACAGTAAAGAAGGATCAGCATTGGAAGACATGACTGTGTATAAAAACTTGGAGAAATCAATGACAGAAAAAACTGCAAAGTACAGAAAAGAACGTTTACATACAAAACTGTACAGCGTCATGCATGTGTCAATGAAATGTTGACTTATTTTTAGTTTCCCACAATGAACAAAAGCTTCCATGTACAATAGTCATTACACAAAGACATTCCTGAAATATTTTATAATGATATTCTCTACAACAATGTTCATGCCTCCTCATGCAGCATTGTACTGACTCACTGTCAGTGCATGGTTGATGCTTTGAAAATCATTACACTTGAAGTGAGTTCGATAAAGTAGATGATTTTCAGCCATATTCTTCTTTAAATATCTTAGTGTACAGGTATTATTCCTTGTGAGTGAGATGGCTTACCTCTGTTTTAAGGGGGGTACCATCTCCTTTTAGAATTTTATGAAAGTCAATCAAAATGCAGTAATAGCTCTGAGACACAAGTCAGAATTTAACGGGGATTAGAGCTGTCTGTAACATTCATAGCACATTTTTAAAGGAAAATAAACTGATCAGGCAAACATCTGCTTTAATAAATCACCACCTCCAACTGTGGGAGATGTCTTTATTTTTATTGGCCATACTAGTAGTAGAATGAATGTTACTTTCTTACTATCCATACACAGGCAGTGAGATTAGGACTATTAATCTGCATGCACAGTTTAATCATTCAGCATTCTTCTGTCTGTAACCATATTGCAACGTTTAGCTGAAGTCATCACTTAGTATATGTAACAAACATGCAACAGATGTTAATAGGATGATGGGTATTAAGAATATCATTATAAAATATTGTTCTGATAGCAATGGCTCAGGACAAATTTAATGCAAAGGCAGACACAACTGGCCTGAGCAGCTTTTTAAAAAAAAATCAGTACATGGAAAAATAGTACCACCAACCTTGGAGGAAATAGACCTGAAGCAGCGGACATTAGGTTAAAACTGCTGAAGGTCAGCAGCGGCCCACCTTGTTGATATCCAAGTGACCAGGATTCCAGATAGACTGAAAAAATGACTGTGAGGGAAAAGTCTTGAACATTTTAGAGGATTTTAAGGTGCTCATGGGAAGTCAGATGTGGTACATGGGACTCGAAAGTAGGAAAAATGGCCTATGGAGGTGAAAAGCAGAGCCTATCCTGCTGTTCATCTCTTTGAGTTTATCAAATATACAACATTTCAAAATTGTCATTTCATTTACAATTTTGGGATTTTTCATGAAAAAAATAATGAAGGAGGTGTGAGGGTATAACCCACATCAATTTAAATCATTACAAATACATGTTTTATTGATTTGGGAATTTTTTTATATAATTCACAACCGCCATTACATTGTCACAGAGTCTAGGTTTTCCAGAAAATTCTGATGCTGGCATAGTACAAACACTAACTAGCTACAAACATATGGTTTGTAAATGCAAACCACCAAAGCCAAGCCAAGGGAAACAGAATTAAAATTACAAATAACAATCTGATTCATAAAACCTGGGTACTTATCATGAAGAAATGAAATTTTAAGAATTTATAACTGGTAGTTTAACTTTATACTTAAACATGATGCTTTTATTATCAAAATACTGTGATATGAAAGTGTCATTCTGGTGAGATATCTGTAACATAAACTGGTGGGATTTAGGACATGGTAAGATTGATCATACTATGTAAAAAATATTCAATGTCTTCTCTATAACATGCAGACATTTAGACATTTTATTTGTTATTTCCTTTCGTATTTATAATAACCTAACTATAGGCCTTGTAATCCTTGTTCTACAAATTAAATTCAAAAGAAATCATCACAGCTCATAGGTAACAATTCTATCTTGTTGTCTGTATAGTTTTCCACACATTAGATTAGATGTAAATAGAAGAAATACTTCAGTAAAAAAAACTTTTGGACTCAATACTTATAGTACTTCTTAATATGTACATAAATATTTTTCTATGCTCTGAAAAGCCACTATTAGAAGAAATTATGTCTGCTCAATAATATATATGTGGCATGCAGACATCTGCAACTCAAACATAGATAGAATTTGGAAGGCATTTATGTTCACCACTATACCATCAATGCGGATATAGAACTTGATATATTAACCTTACACACTAGTCCAAACAATTTTAAAACTAGTGTGTCTGTCTTGTTTTAAAGAAAAATAACCTTTTTTCCAATTGGAGCACCCAACAAGAGTCTATATTCAAGAATTAGCCATGGCAAATTTATGGATGGGTGGGTGGATGGGTGGGTGGATGGATGAGTAGGTGAGTGAATGGGTGGGTGAGTGAATGGGTGGATGGATGGATGGATGGACGGATGGATGGATGGATGTGTGGGTGGATGGATGGTGAATGTATAGATGAATCAATGGATATAATATAACATGTTAGAAACAAAGAAAATCTAAAAGCTACATTAAAATATCAACTTAAGGCACTGGAGAGATTGCTCAGATGCAGAGGACCAGGGTTCAATTCCAAGCACCCACATGGCAGCTCATAACTATCTATAACTCCAGTTCCAGGGAATTCAACAACCTCACACAGACATATATGCAGGCAAAACACCAATTTGCCAAAATAAAATAAATGCATTTTTTTAAATATCAGCTTGAGGAACTCTCACTTCCTCATTTAGAAAATAAAACAATCAGAATACATAACACCTACATTCTCTGGTTTGAATGTTTTCTTGCATGTTACATACAGAATTATAGAAATATATATTAAATTAGTCCCTTAATCTAGACACACGGCAGTTAAAGGCATGACTTAAAATCACTGATGGATGATAATGATTGTTTATTACATGTTATAAACTATAAATAAAACTTACAAAAATTAAAACCCTATTTCACAAAATTTGTGTCCATCTCAAATTCTAGATAAAGGAAAAGGGTATTCAATGCTCAAGGAACACTGACCTTTAACTGTTTAATACAAAGTTAACTTTTCTAAAAATCTATTAACATATGATACACGATCCCAGACTAATTCACACAATCTAGATCATACAGAGCACTGCTGAAGTTTAAAGCTTGCTAGTCTATTTAATAAATACTTAAGGCCAAAAAAGAAAGTAATCTTTGCCTTTATTTCTATGGGACACAGTAAATTAGCATGGAAATATAATTCATCATACAAATAGAGGCAATGTGGAAAATTATTATCATGGTTTTTAAAAGGCAAAATGTAAATTTCAAAATAATTTAAATTAACACACAAAAAAACTGTTTCTAGCACATAAAAAGCAAATTAAAAATAGCCAGGAACCATATGACTACAAGAGCATATGAGTCACACAAAAGGATGCAAAGGAACCCTGGCTTTCTTTGCAGAAGACTGCAATCAGAGGGGCAAGCTCAAATTTTGAAATGCCCCAACAGAAAGATTTCAGGGGGGAAAAATTCATTTTCTAGCCCAGTATCTTCAGAAAGACTTTGGCCACAAATTTTGTTAGCTCTTCACAGGCTCCTGGGGCCACTTAGTTGGTAGTTAACACCAGACCTGAGCTGCCCAACAAGGAGCAGTCTCCTGTGGCTACGGAGCACTTGAAGTGTGGCCAGTCCAAAACGAAATGTGCTGCAAGTGTAAAGTACATGCCCAGCTTCCAAAACATAGCGCAGAAATGCAGAAGAGGTTGCTGATGGTTTTTCTATCAATTACATGTTGAAACATTAATATTGTGTTAAAACCTTTCAGCAAAAAATCAATTTTCCTGTTCCCTTTTCTTTCTTTATATGACTATAGAAAATGTTTAAGTTATATATATGGCTTATATTGGTGACTCATACTTCTGTTTGACACTGCCAAGCTAGAAAACAACTCAAAAATTAATCTTATTAAAATACACTGACCTAAGGGAGGAAAGACAGGAACTTAAGAAAGAAAGAAAAAAGAACTACACCATGTGGAAATTAATACAAAGTTAAAGGATAAAATATGAGAAATAACGGGAATAATCAGGAAGGCAAATAGTATAATGTCCTTTTTTAACTGTATTTTGTTGGTTGGTCATTACCAGTTAAGAATGGATGTTTTCCACTCACTTTATCTCCAACCTAACCCTATACTTAAGAATTCTCAAAACTTTTATTTTCAAAGAACTACTTTCTTAATGAGCAATAAACAGGCCACTTCAGTGACTTATCTAAAAATATCTTTAGTAGTGCTTCCAGAAGTTTCTCAAATAAAATTCCTTCCTAACTGACGACAGAGCAAGGATTTCTGAAAGGCCACCTCACCAGAATACTCCTTCAGGAGGCCAGCGTAGCCTATATTTACTCATCAAGTGAGCCAGGCTAGCAAGCATCTCTGGATCTTAAATGTGCTACACATTTGGAGATGCTCTCTTTTCCTAACATCAATTCTCTGTGCCTGCAGTTTTGAAGTAGACTATAATAGATAGATAGATAGATAGATAGATAGATAGATAGATAGATAGATAGACAGATAGATACATAGATACATAGATACATACATACATACATACATACATACATACATACATACATACATAAATAAAATCAAGGTTGTCAAGAAATAGCCCTACATACCTACCGCTCTACAAGCAGCACAATCCACCCTGGAATTTCCAAAGCCTACAGATTCTCCTCCCTAACTTTATTAAAGTTGTTTCTTTAATTAGAGAGGGTAAAAAGCTTTTTAAAATTAACCCGTTTATCTTGCGGAATCTGATTAGTTTGCCAAAACTCAAATGATAGTTGAAAGAGCCGGTAAGACTATTACATAGACGTGCCTTGCTCAATGAATACTGAGACATTAAACCACCAAGCGCACCAAACAAAACAAAATTAGGTTAAAAGTTTAACGGGGTCTTCTAGAGGGCAGGGTCACAAGGAGCCATTTTGGAGCCTCATTGTGGTGTCCCTGGTCACCTAGTGCCAAGGCATTGAGGTCAGACGCGGCCAGGTCTCCCTGAGCCAAGCAAGGGAGAGCACGCCAAGGGGGTGCCCGGCTCGCAGCCGCCTCCAGGCTGGAAACCCTGGCCCAGAGCCAACCTCTCTGAGCTGGGTTGTTCTGGGACACGTGCTTTAGAGACCTTGGAACCAAACACCAACAGCAGAATCCCTAGGTTGAGTGAGCACCTCCTACGTGTTGATTTCTACTTGTCACTCATCCCCTGCGCACCTACCCAAGTGGCAGTCAGTTTGACAGTTGGATCCTCTGCCTGAAAGTCTGCCTAACCAATTGAGCTCCCCCAACCTGCTCAAAAAGAAAAGAAAAGAAAACCAGACGCGCGGAGCTGGCAGTGTTGGAGTCTTTTATTTCATGTTGTCACCAAGGTCACAGTCCCGACCCAGGTGATCAGCTGCTGATCCTGTGAGGATGTCCATGTTCTGAGGTTCCTGGTACCCAGCCCTCCAGGATCCTCTTGGTAGAACTGGATGCAGCTGTTGCCCTATCCAGGGGACTGGTCCTCAGGGAAGGCGGCAGTGCAGGCGGCAGTGTGGACAGCACACTGCAGACAAGCGCAAAGAGACCACACAGCACTGTACAGAACAGGGGAAGCAGACTCTAAGAGCTGGACCTGAAAGCTTGGGAATAGACACACCTCAGAAAGAGGACGTTTCTCTGGAGAAGAGAAGTCACCGGAGAAGTGCAGAGGAAACAGAGCAAGCAACAGAAGCAGAAGAGAGAAGAGTCTTTTCCTTTCTTGAATTCTTCAGGGTCACTTGCCATAGGAGAAGTAAAAGCATTTTACCTTCTGCCTCAATGGAAGACAGGAGAAGGGCCACGCCCAGGGCGGCCAGCGCTCGGGGAAGCCTGGTCTTCATGCTCTGGCCTCAGGCTCACAGACTCATGAAGGAATCTGCAGGAGGAATCAGTGATCCATCAGAACCCAGCCTGAGCAGGCCAGGAACAGGTTAGGCAGGAGCCTAAACATGATCCAGAACCCAGACAAATTTGCCTTAATAATACCAGCGCCCAGCCCAGCACATAACGGACCTATTGTGGAGCCAAGGAAGTCAAGTTCCTCCAACAGGTTTGATCAGGGAACTAGAAGGGAATTCTAGTTTAAAGAGGGTACTCTTCTCTGGGGTACTCATGCCCTGTGAAGTGCCTGACCAGATCGCACATGGCTTCCTCCTGCCAAGGTGATGGATAATTTCGAAGTCATTTTATCCCTGACTCAACCAAATGTCTCTTCCAGCTGGGGATTTCATTTGGCCACTTTTTCCTAACGTCTGAACTCTTTAGGTAACTGTGCTTTAGTGATGCCAGGATAATTCGGAAAGAATATTAAACCTCTTTTATTCTATTTTCTTCAGTTTGTCCTGAATAAAAATATGCAAGTCTTTAAGATCTGGAATAGATTATATAGGAGATGATATAGGGATATGCAAGGCCCAAATGAAAGCCCAATTCTTCTGATACCCATGTTGTTTTCACATCTGATAAATCCTTTACCAAGGATGAGGGGGAACCAACTCTAAAATGCATAACAAAGCGAGACAAAGCAGTAGAAAGAAGTAAAATACCCTTGTCTGTTTTCTAAAAGTTCTTATATTTTTAAAAACCTCACTAATTCATCTTTGCGTTTAACTAGTTCTTAATGCTGGAAGATTACAATTAATACAAGCGCTAGAGGCAAGAAGATTCTAGTCTGACTTTTTCCTGATTTTGCAACCAGGTTAATACCTTAATGACCAAGAGTCCTACTCTTCTTTTGTAGCTTCCCAACACACAGTGGCTGTTTAATCAGCAGAATGGAATGTCCTAATATACTCTAAGGTCCAATCTAGAAACAAAAGTTACCATCAAGGAGCTGGACTGAGAAGGTGCTTATGGCCACACACACACACACACACACACACACACACACACACACACACCACAAACACACACACCACACACACACACACACACACACACCACACACACACACACCACACACACACACACCACACACACACACACACACCACACACACACATACACACACAACACACATACACACACACACACACACACACACACACACACACACACGCATGCACATGTGCACACACAAACACCACACACACATGCACATGTGCACACACACACCACACACACCACACCACACACACACACACACACAAACACACACATGCACACGAGAAAATTCCGAGGAGTACACATTACTGTAAGGCAACACCACAGGTCTTGTGAGAAATGCAAGGGGGAGGGGGACTGGTGCTTGAGAATCCAAAAATAAGCCAAAACTTGGGCTCTCCTTGAGAAAAGAAACTGACAATCTCCAGCCATGCCTTTCCAAATCTCTGGCACATGGGTCAGGGAAGCTTTCTTCATCTGGGTGGAAATTGCATTTTACATGTCTGACGAGCAGGCAAGCCAAATTGCCCAGAGCTCCTTTTTATGAAGCCAAGATTAAAATTTTGGCGCAGCTCGGGGATTTAAGGGATTTTAGTAATGTCTTTTTTCCTAATTAACAACTGTGACATTCTAACCCTTTTCTACATTAGTTTAAAAAAAAAAGTTTTTAAGTAAAAAAGCATAACTGGCCCATTGTTGCCGTCACCCGGCCATAACGTTGATATAATAACGTGGAATGAAGTTGGCAGTTGGGTTCAAGAAGAGTTAAAGTGTAATAATCTACTCACAAAATTTTGTGTGCAGTTTTTTGGGGGTTGTCTTTAATATAAGCTGAACAAAAACTTGTCTTGAAAGTCCGTTTATCTGGGTCTAGTGCGCCACCTATCGGTTTCCTGACTCAGCATCAAGAATGAATCATCTCTCATTGGGGTATCCGATGAATAACTCAACCTTCTCAGCCAGCCAAGAATTCCGTCCATATACGTTTTGAAGAAAAGCTTCTCTCTCCTTCTTAGCCAAAACATTTATCGGAGTGCTTAGCAACACTTCATTGAGCATTCTCAGACATAGATGTCTGAAAGCGGCCGCCCCTACGTGGCAGTAGGATTTCCCTCACTTCCCCCTCATGAATGAAAATGAATCAGCTGCCTGGAGTGGGGGCGCTATGGGAACTGGTCCCTTTTGGACAACTCGCCCCTCCCCTACCCCTTGCTGGAAGAGGCCAACTCCTTAACTCTCTCAAGTTATTTTTTTTTCAAACGTACCCACAGGCACACATATGTTCCATGGGCCCATCCAGATTCCAGGAGTCACATACCTCTTCTATAACTGCAACCTTGACCTTAGTTAGCCAAGGACGAGCTTAGTTTCTTCTCCCCCCTCCCCCAATCCCTCCCCATGATTCCTTTGAAGGCTCCAACCTTGGAGTTGGGGGTGGGGAGGTATGCCAGAGATCCGAACTGGTCGCGGGAGGGTGGCTGAGAAAGCCAGATGCGGGTCCCGTTTGCCAGGGCTCTGTAAATGCACGGATTCCTTACACTCTGACTTCTGTACCCAAGGACTGGAGAGGAAACCTTTTCAAGGGTTCCACTGACTGACCCTAGGTAGGTCTTAATCCCAGTGCATTCAGGAGGAACTCAAAAGGATGTCTCAGAAGCTGTGAAAAGCCGGCCTAACCCACCAACCCTTTGAAAGCAGTGGAGGATGAGGCCAGGGCCACTCCCCGGGAGCATCTGGAAATGCCACTCGCGCCCAGCCACGCCACGCGGGAGCGCTTTCCACTGGCCCTCCAAGGAATTCTGCACCTCGTGTGCAGAACTTCACTTCGTTTTCCTGCAATGTCTTGTGCCCAGGTTGCAAGCCAACAACCCTGGCTAAGCTGCAGCCACCAGATAATAAAGAGCGACCTACGCAGCCCATGCACTTCACTGAGAGCGACAACGTCTATAGGGGGCATCCCCCTGCAGATGGACAAATTGAGCCGAACAAGTCACCTTTCCTTCTCCCTCCAAAACTCCAAAGAAATGGCAAAGTTCCTCTGTTGCTCCACAGATCTATCTCAGGCACACAAATCAATCGCTTCCCAAGCAACCCGGCTACTGCCGCGCGCTCTGCCTGGCCTGGGTTAAGGTGCAAGCAAAAAGCGGCTTTTCCCAGTTATCTTTGGGGAAGGCCGCGCGGGGTTGGGATGTGGGGGGACAGAAGCCATACTGACCTGAGCCGTCAGTGACAGAGGGAACCGGCGTCCAGCAGCCAGCGTGCGGGACCCCCTGGGCCGGTGAGGGCGCTGCGCTCCGGGAGCACCTGGCAGCCGCGAGCGTGGGAAGGACGACCGGAGCACCCAGGAGTGGCGAGTGGAGCGCGGAGCGGAGGCAGGGGGACTGACTGCAGCAGCGGGCGGACGCGTCTGCGGCGGCTGCCTTCGCCGACTGGGAAGAGGCTCAGCGCCGCGGGCTACTTAATAGAGGGCTGTTCCCGGCTCTCAGTTTACTCGGTTACGAAACGCCTGAGAAGGTGGAAGGCTGCCACGGGTGATGTATGCTACTCGGCGGTGAAGGAGGTCTACTTTTGGGAACGTGTGCATACTTCGAGCATTCCATCGGCGTGAGGTGGCGATCGCCGTAGTAGCAATGCCCCTCCGGGGGCGGGGAGGAGGGAGGGAGAGAGGGGGACAGCCGCAGCCGGGTTCCCTGCCAAGGGAGGCCGCGGACTCCTCCGCTTGGGGCGGGCAAGGGGCTCGGGTTTCCCTATCCGGATAAATTTCTTTTATACGTTTACTTTTCTAAGTTAAGAACAATGGAGACGGGGAAGCCGTTCTGGTTTCAGAACAGTGGGATGGGTAACCAACCCCTTGTCCCTCACTCTATGCCATCCCCTGACACTACCGTCTCCACCTTCTTCCCCCTCTGTCCTGGGTGCACTTAAAACCGATTTACAGGGTTTCCATTAACTAACTGTCTGTGCACGCGGCGGCGGGCCTCTGTCTTTCCCAGTCTCCAAGTGGAGACTGAAAACTCGACCAGTCTCCTGCTCCCGGTTCAGGGATGGGATGACTTTCCCAGGCCTGTCTGCCTAACCTGGTTTTTCAGGATAGAGCTGGGAAGCTTCGATTCAAACTGGAGGGAGGGAGAGGAAAACTACTGGTACCTGGGGGTCATCCCAGCAGGACACTCAAGAACAAGTTTTATTCACCACAGAAATGTCTTGCCAGGTTGAGAGCACAAACTTGGTCCAAGTTGGGGCTTCAGACTGTCAGCTCTGCCCTTAAAAGTTCCTAGAGGTGAAAAGGGCGAAGAGGTGTTCGTGAGCACGCGCGCGCGCACACACAGACAGACAGACACACGGAGAGAGAGAAAGAAAGAAACACGCACGTACACACGCTACTGAAAAGGCCAACTAGGAGCCGGACACTCTGCCAGCACATAGCCTTTTCTACAGCTCCCCTTTTCCCGGCACTCCACCCCTTGGCCGCAGTGGGAGTCTGGCACCTGAGGTTGCCAAATTGTACAAGACGCATGGGCGGAAGCGTCCAGTAGTCACACGATGTTATCCGAAGACGGATTCTTCATACTCAGGTTTGTGAGCTCGGAACTCTCCCCGCGGCTTTCGGCCTCTTGAAGCCCAGAGAAGTTGCCTCTGCAGGGTTGGGCTAGGGGGTACTGGGAACAGGAGTGAACCCTGGACCCAGGAATCAAGCGGCCCCTAACAGCAGAAGCTGAGGTCACACCTTTCTTGCTTGCTTCATCTCACCTCTGCCGACTTGACCTTGCCTCCTATAGGCACCATAGTCTTCAAAATGACAAAAACTTTCTGCACCTTCTTTCCCAGCCCTCTTGCGCCTCGCCCCACGCACAGACAGCCTCTGGCCAGAGCCAACCCGAGCAAGAGAGGAGTTTGGAAGGAAAGAAACGAGAAAAATGAGAATGGCCACCTCTGCACATTCTTGGAGCACGCAGTGCCCACTCAAAAGCCACTGAACAACTTGCACAAAGCACCCACACAGCGCGCAGACTTTTCTCTCTTTTCATCTCCACAGTTCTGACGTCCGACAGATCTCCAGCATGAGAGCGCATCTGGAGGGTGTAAACACCAAAGGGTACCACACAGCTGTTGACTCGCACCCCTATGGTGCTTAGAGCGCCCCAGGCAGCGAGCCCCTCTCAAGCCTGCAGGGACCTCTGCTTCCAAGCCTGCTCTTCAGCGCCACGGGCACATGTAGGGAACAGAGTCCAACATGGTTCCCAGGCACGTGAGGAAAGGCGGCAACAAGACAGAGCAGAGAAATCCCCAAGGGCCACGGTCCCAGCGCCCCATCGGGGCTATGCGGTGCAGGTGAAGGCCTACACCAGCCATAGGGGAGAGAGAGAGAGAGAGAGAGAGAGAGAGAGAGAGAGAGAGAGAGAGAGAGAGAGAGAGAGACAGAGAGAGAGAGACAGAGAGACAGAGAGACAGAGAGACAGACAGAGAGAGAGACAGACAGACAGACAGACAGAGACAGACAGACAGACACAGGCAGACACAGGCAGGCAGGCAGATAGACAGACGGACAGACAGACAGACAGAAGGACACTCCCTATGTAGAAAAGGAAAGCTGCCAGAGTGAAGAGTGTCTGCCCCTAGCTTCCTCTTGCTCAGTCTGCAGCCTGAATATTGTGTGGAAGAAGTTTCTGGGCGCACACACCCTCTCCAGCCTAGAGCACCCACGCGGGGGCTTTCTTTTGTTCTGGTCAGTCTTAAACAGGAAGGCTGGGAAATAATTGCTGCACGAAAAGTAATGAACGCAAACCAATAGCTGCAAAAAGCCTTCTCGCCCTCAGAAAAAAAAAACGATCCCTGCGCAAAATTTCAGGGTACTAGAAGAGGAAAGGGAGGCGACACGCGGGTGAAGTAGACAGGAACAGTTGCAAATGAACGCAAGCACACATATTCCCAAGGGAATACGGGGCAATTCAAATACTCCTCACAGCCTGAATTGTTTGGTCTCCTGGGGCCTGTACCCTGGACTCCCAGTACAGTAAATGGACAAACGCGGATGAACCCTCTTCTACCCGGTGCCTTTCAAATGGTGCAATTAGTTCTTAACTCCACTTGGAATCCGTTAGGTTTGCAGTAAAGCAGTGGCCGACTGAAGCACAGCTGGTTGTAGTCGGTCATTCAGTCTAGTTGCTTCCTGTGGGTCTTACTCTTCGGACGACCTCACCGGATCAACTTTCCTCGCTCTCCCTCTCTTCGGCTCCCACCTCATCTCCCTTCGAGTCCTGGGTTCCCGGGGGTTCAAGATCCTGAGATTTCTTGTCACACAGCGCAACCTAGCGGCCAACTAGAAGTCTGAGTTGGGAAGTCAAAATTACGGAGGTGGCCCTGAATTTTGAAAGCTCGGGGGGATTAGGGGCAAATCTGCCACTCGTCTACCTGACTCTTAAGGACTGATACTTCAGGGAGGGCGGAGGCAAGAGCTTGGCGTCTGTTAAGGCGCTCTCTGTAGAAATCCTGCCCCAGAGCTGTGAGGCTTGAGACAGTTTTTGAAGAAGTAAACGGGGGAAAGATCCATTTCAGAATGAAGCTAAGACTCCAGCGCCAACATGAACTCCCAAAGAAACTGAAAAGAGCATGAAATCGACTTAACTAAGGTCCCTAGAGACAGTGCAAACAGTTTCTGTTTCCGCTGCATATTCTTACCTGCCTCACCGAGAGGAAAGGAGAGGCCTAAGCAGAACATTCGGGCATTATCCAACGCTGAGGTCTCTGTGTGCCCAGCAAATGACTGTGAGCATCTGGAGACAAAGGAGAGAGGCGCTGGCGTTCCTCCTCCTGGTTCTCAGAGGCCAACGGGCAGCCTGACCAGGAGGAACAGAAAACCACGTGTCTGAACATTTCCTGTCCCTGTAGGCAACTCAATATGCATTTAACCAGCACCTTCGGTGTGCATCTTAGTCACTGTTCTATTGCTGTGAAAATACACCATGGGCCACACTTCCTAAGCCTTCTAAACCTTTCAAACAGTGCCGCTCTCTGGTGACCAAGCATTCAAATATATGAGCCTATGGTGGCCATTCGTATTCAAACCATCACACCATCAAAAGCTAAGCTCCAAGCAGCCAATATAAAGATAATGAAGACAAGGCCTTTCTCTCAAACAACAGCTGGCAACGTCATGTGCCCCACTCAAGTCTCCTGAGTAATGGGCCCCACAGACAACAGCCCTGCCTCATTAGCAAAGTTCCGGAACCCCAAGACTAAAGCCATTCTTAAAGGAAAGAAATGAGGTGCAGTTCACTCCCATCTTCTAGGTAGGCTCTGTGTCTTCACAGGGTTCCTTTCGGTAAAGCCAAAGATTCTGTATACTTCACCCAACCTCACTTATGCTAAAAACACAGTCTCCCTGACCAGTATCCAGGGTGTGAGCAGCTTTGGAGCAAAAAGCGGAAAGGAGAATTTTATCACATGTATCTTACTATGCAAGATCTCAGCTCAAAACTCAGAGGTTGCATAGAAAATTATAAAGTTTCTGAACCACAGAATTCACTTGCAACACCTGATTAGGACGGACAACTTAGGTTCATTGAAAGTCAAAGACTTCTGGGAAATTTATTTGGAAGTTAACTCTGACATCCTTGTGCAAAATGTAAAGGTGTGAGGAAATACACCCAATTATAGGTGAAAAAAGCAGTCACCTGCCACTTCTGCCCTCACTCTCTCCGTAGTCAAATACAGTCTCTCTTACCAACACAGGGGACATGGAGTCTGTTCGTTCATAGCTGTCAAAGTAGCCTAAAGTGCAAATTTCTAGTCAGGCTACTACTGTGTGTCTGCAGTCAGTATGTGCATGCTGACACACATTTTCAGGTTTGTAGAAATTGAAAAATCACGGGAACTCATGTTTTAAGATTTGATCTTCACTCTCACCCGGAGCTTCTGCATGATTCAGTGTAACTAAACGAAGGTTTTGTTTCCAAATATTTTCCATTTTTTTTTTTATACATTCACTAACTCATCCTGTTAAGTATATGACCGACCCTCAAGTCTCTAAAGCAGACGTTGAAATAATCCTTAAGCTACGGTGACATGCGCCCTCTGGTGGAAAAGATAACTAATTCCCTGATCCGATCCGGCTCAATTTCATCCCTTATCCAGAGCACTCATTCACAACTGTTTCTCTACTCACAGAGTTCACTAAGGCACTCTGGGAGATTATATTGAAGACCAAATCAAAAGAAGCACTTTTCACACAAAATGTATTATTGATGGGCAGAGCATTTGTAAAATTCAGGAAACAGCTAAGAGATTGTGTACCTGAAAGCTGAAGGAGCAGAGTAAAAAATAATTCGGGGAAAATAGGTAGAACAGAAGATAAATGATATCTAAAGTAGAAATGAGCTCAGTTCATCTCAGTGTCTCAATTTCCCCTCAAACAAATGACAACAGAAAAAGAGCAGTATACCTTGTTATGAGATATATTTTATGCTATAGAAACTAATTAAGAATTACAAAGGGTCTGTGGTAATTTGAATGAGAATGAACCCCACAGGCAGAACTGTTTTGAGAAGGACTAGGGACTGTGGTCTTGTTGGTGTGTTACTGGGGTAGGCTTTGAGATTTCAAAAGCCCACACCAGGCCCAGTATCTCTGTCTCTCCACTCCTCTTTTCTTCCTTCTTCCTCTTCTCCTCCTCCTCCTCCTCCTCCTCCTCCTCCTCCTTCTCTCTCTCTCTCTCTCTCCCCTCTCTCTCTCTCTCTCTCTCTCTCTCTCTCTCCTCTCTCTCTCTCTCTCTCTCTCTCTCTCCCCCTTCCTTCCCCACTGCCTCCTGCCATGCTTCCTACCATGATGGTTATGTACTCACCCTCTAGAACTATGAGTCCCAAATACAATGCTTTCTTTCATAGGTTGCCTTGCTCACAGTATCTCATCACAGCAATAGAAAAGTAACAAAGACAGATGAGATTGTAGCATATTGCTGTGGCAGGCCTGACCATACTGCTTTGTGGGGGAAAGAGGAAAACTTTAGGACTTTGGACTAGAAAAATCAGTTGAACACTGTAAGCAAGGATTAACAGGCAATCCCAGCAGGAGCTTGGAAGCCAATAGTGCTGAGAGCAATGTGGACTATGAAAGAGGCCTGGTTCAAGAGGTTTCAGGGGGAACAATATTAGCAACTAGACAAGAGATTATTCTTGTGGTATTTTGGCAAAGAACGTGGCTGCTTTCTGCCCTTGTCCTAAAAATCTGCAAAAGACTAAATTGAAGCGTTTTGAACTAATTTCATTGGCAGAGGTTTCAAGACAGCCTAACGGTGGTTCTGTTGGATAGTTATTAATGAACACTTTTATGCAAATCTACAATGAAAAAGAGCAAGCAGCGCAGGGCAAAAGGACGTTCAAAATACACAGTTTTGGAGGAAAAGAGCACCAGGGAATGTAATGCTGAAGCCAAGTCTTGTGCTCATAGAAATGGGTAGTTTAAAGAAAGGCCTGATGCTAAATGGAATACATGGAGTGATACACTCAAGGTGTGATCCCCCCACCCTGCTAATCCAGCAATCTGTAAAAAGGAAAAGGCTTAAAGAATTATCTGTTCCTAAAGAGCAACAATAAAGAAAAGCTTATGTAAATATAATTCAAGGAGGGGGCCAATATTCCATCCCCAGCAGGCAGCATCAGCCATGTGGTTCTAGCTTTAGAGTCAAGTTGTGGAATCTTCTTCCTTGGTAAAGGAAATCAGCTAAGGCCAGGCATATGTCAGGGATGTCCCTGCATGGAAGCCTGGAGAGGACATTGCCTGAAGCTGTGAAGATGAAGCCTAGATTTTGTTGGGGACTCCAAGATGTTGGAGATGCCAGAGCCATGGGATATCTGCCAGGGAACGCTGCATGCAGGGAATGGAACCAGGCCAAAAGAGAAGAGAAGGTTGCAGTCATTAAAGAAGGAATGGGAGAGATATTTGAGGAGCCATATAAGCCCTTTGACATGAGACATAGAGTTACAGGATTTAGAGTTTGCCCTGCTTGGTTTTGGTCTTGCTTTGGTCCAGTATCTCCTCACTGTGCCCCTATTCCTCCCTTTTGTAATGGTAATGTATATGCCACTGTATGTGTGAAGTATTTAATTTGCTTTTTGCTTTTGGTTTTACAAGGGGTTACAATTAAGAGATTGCCTTGGGTCTCAGAAGGTACTTTGGACTTGTAAAGTTTTAAGACTGAAAGATTGGTGGGAGGGGGTGTTAGAAGTTGAGCCAAATGCATTTTGCACTAGGATATGACTATAAACCTATAGGGACTAGGAAATAGAATGTGGTGGTATAAATGAAAATAGTCTCCACAAGGCTCATATATTTGAATGTTTGCTCCCTAGTTGATGGGACTATTTTGAGAAGGATTAGGAGATATGGCCTTATTGAAGGAGGTATGTCACTGGGTGGGCTTTGAAGATTTCAAAAGAACATACCATGCCCACCACTATCCCACTCTCTTCCTTGTGCTTAGGGATCAGATGTAAGCACTCAGCTACGGTTCCAACTCCATGTCTGTTTGCTTGCCGTGTTTCACACCATGATGGTTATAGACTCTGGACCTCTGAGACTCAAATTAAATGTTTCCTTTTATAAGTTGCCTTGGTCGTGGTGTCATGTCACAGCAATAGAAAAGTAACTAAGACAGGATTGAAAAATTTTTATCCCTGTTGCAAGCTAACAGTGATGCCTGCAGAATGTAAGAAGTCAAAGCCAAAGACTCTGTCGTCCACAGTGACAGCATCAATGGGCAATACAGCAGGCCCTTTGTCCCATAAACGTTACATTAGAGGAACAGCATCTGAGCATGGAGTCTTCATTAAGGGCAGGAAGCTTGTCTGGCCTTTGTCCAGGAGGAACTCTGCATCTGCACTATGCTGGACACACCTGGCCATTGCTCTGCAGAGAAATGATCACTACTTCCAGAAATTCTGTTATAAAGACACTCTCAAAGAGGTATCTTGGAACAAAGAAGAGTCCCTCTGCTGCACAGGAATGTAAAAATGTGAGAAAACCATGAAAAAAAAAAAAGAAATGTCTCCCAATAATAAACATTGTTGGGAACTCTTGGGAGGGAGCAAGCACTATATCTTTAAGTGATACCTGAAATTTTTCTGGAAGAGGCAACTATTAAAGGACTACTTCCATGATAATAAAAGCCAGATGATAATTAAACATAGAAATGATAATGGTTTAAGAAATATTTAAAAAATCATGTTTAATATCACAACAGAATTCCTTGTGTTTCTATGGGAAAACAGCCTGTACCAGCAAGGAAAGAGGACCTAAGGGAGAGTACCAGGGTGCACGTGAGAACTGAGGGCCTCACTTGAGGGAGATGGTTCAGTGGGCACATACTTGTTTCACAAGCATGAAGATCTGAGTTTGGATCCTCAGCAGCCATTTAAAGCTGAATATGGTAGCATTTGTCTGCAAATTCAGCAATGGAGGACAGGTTTGAAGTCTGGAGGATACCTGAAGCTTGCTAGCCAGCCAGCCTCCAGAAAAATTCAAACTCCAGAAGATTAAGGTAAGGACTAACCACTTCTAGGACTAGTCCCTAAATCATGGTTCAAGTGGATATTTAAACGTGGGTTTGGTATAAGGATTAGTATTAGGGAATTTATAAGGAAACAAAGTGGATTGCCCAGGGTCAGAGAACTGGTCAGCAGAGAAAGCAGAGTCAAAACCCAGGCTGCCTGCTTCCTAAGCCTCTTGTACTTCCACTTCCGAGTGGCACCCAGAAGCAATCTGTTCGCTGTCATCACTGATTTAAAATTTAAATCAGACAAAAAACATAGCACAATTTCATCTACCAATGGATACACTAAGTGCTGTTTTAATTTCTTGTTCTTACTAAAGTTTACACTACTATATATATATATATATATATATATATATATATATATATATATATATATATACCCAAAAATGAGATTAGGTTGTTTCTTCTGAAGAACTGCAGTTAATATTTTACTGCATTGATACCTAACAGATTAGAAATATACTTCTGACAAAGCAATGATACTGAGTGGTCGGCCTGATCTCATGGGGATAGAGATGCTCGCAGCAATGAGATCAAGGAAACAAGGCTCTTTGACATCCTATAACCAACTTCTTCCTCTTACAACAACAAAATCTGAGAGCCACAGGGGACAAGAGGCTTGCTCAATGTCTTGTCACTATCAGCAATGCCATGACTACACTCCAGGTGCCAACAGCCTGGATGATCTTCTTTCAGTTAATTCTGGTACCCTGTTTCTGGGGATTTTGTTAATTTTTACAAAACCTGTTAGACTTCATTGCCTCCCTGTCTCCAGAACGGGGCTGGAATATAGCCAGGAAGGCTGGTGCCTATCGACAATATATCTGCATCTGCAACCTTTTAAAGTCGAACACAGCAAACAAGCAGTGACTTATGTGACTGGATGTGCCTGGACCACCCAACACTGTCAGGCCAAAGGACACAGCTGCAAAGAAGACCACATGCCATGGCTCCTGCTCCAAGGCAAGCAAAATGGGAGGAATCATAGGTCTACATGCTGCATGTACTCAGTAGCATCAAGTATATACTCAGTTTCCAGGTGAAAGGACATATATAGACATGAAAGGCAAGATAGGCCTACTTCTCAAGCCTACCCCTGGAGTCCTTGAGAGCATTACCTCACCTTCCATACTCCTCTCCCAAGGTTCCCAACACTGGCACTCTACTACTTTGGCAACAAAACATTAATATCAAATACTGAACCTCCTAGAACTCATGAGAAGAAGTTCTCAACCCATAGGTTGCAACCCCTTTGGGGATCACATATCAGATATTCTGTATATCAGATATTGACATTACAACTCCTAACAGTAGCAAAATTACAGTAATAAAGTAGCAATAAAATAATTTTATG